CGGAAGCAAAATGCAGTGCTCAGCAAACTGATAAGCAAATACACTGACTGTGTTACTCTCTCTCTCTCTTTTTGTAAAATAGAACACCTTTCTGTATTGTGTATTTTAAAATCATGGATTGTAGTTCTTCCCTAGTCAGGCTGCTTTTTTAGCTCATATTTTGTCACTCAGGCATTTGCATTGCAGCTTTTGCTGTGCTGTGGGCCTTCTCCAGGATAAATGACACACAGGACCCAATCCACCAATCTCCAGGTCATTCATTCTGGCAGAACTTGTTGGAGGCTCCAGCCCATCTGCTCTTGAAATGAATGGAGCTTGTGCCGTAGTGGACAGTGGAAACACACAGGGCTCTTAGTGGAAAACTGAAGAATCACCTTGGATAAAGCTTAGAGGGCCACTGAATTCTCCAGCAACTGGCCTGCAACCTGGGATTTTGTTTACATGTAACTATTTAAATGGCACCTGTAGCAAGTTGGCGTGATGTCTCTGGTGTGAGGTGACTTGCAAAATCGGTTCTTGCAGAAGCCAGAGGTGGCTTTTGAACTGCCTTTCCAGAGTGTTTTGAGTGCCACCACATGTGCCTCAAGGAAGCGATGCCCGGGCAGTCAGACTCATTTTTTGCCATCATCCGAAAATAGTGCGTGTTAATTCTGAGCATTAATAAGCTGCCTTTGAGTACCCATTGGATGCTCTCAAGCTGGGGTTTTACCAGTTTTGGAAGCTATTCCAGTTGTTCTTATGCTCCTTTTTAACTAAGCTGAAATATGTGCCATTTCCATTCCCCAGAGGCTGTGCTCTCGGTTTCCGTTTTAGCTAAATAGGAACGCCTGGCCTTGAAATAAGTCAGATTTACCTGCAACTCAATAAAATTGCAGTAGGTACCTTCCCGCATATACTGACCTTTAGACTTCTGGTTGAGCGGGACCATGTTCCTAAGAGTATTGTGCAGGTTCAAGAGGCTTTTGTTCAGAGGAGGTTCATACAGATGGAAAGCTGTCATTTCCCCGGACTGCTTGGGATCGTCCTTCTCATTGCACAGCATGGTCCTTGAAGGTCTCACCTAGTTCAGGGTAGATAATTAATTTCACTTTCTAAAGGCCAGTTTTCAGTATCTTGCAAACATGATATTTAAAGGGTTGGGAAGGGACTACTATTTTAGGATGGAAATTCTAACATTCCTTGAGATGATTGATAGCTTTTAATAGTGCTTATTCTGCAAGACTGTGTTCCTAACTAAATGGCCTTGAGAAATCAAATTGTTACCTAAACGGCCCATAAGTGTTGGTGCAAAATGTATATTTAGCTAGGACAATTCTTATGCTTCAAAATTCTTTAAAGCCTCAGAAAAATGAAATAAATCTGAAGGCTCCATCTCCTTTTGACTATACATCTTTTCGGTGCCTCCCATCAGACAGACAACTCTCTGCTGCAGCCTAATTACAATATCCATTTGACTCTTATGTCCTTGTTGGAAGGTGTTGTATGCACATTTATTGTGGAGCTATTTCCTACATGAGACGTGTGCGCCTCTCTAGCAATTTCATAGTACTTTGATCAAAAAATGCAACAACAGAAAAACACATTTGTAGTCTTTTGACTTATTTAGGATCCAAAAATCTGAATTACCCCCTTTCTAGCATGTTCTAGTATTTCTGTGCTTACACGGCGTGGTGACTTCAGCTGGTATTATAAATATTTGGCATACATGGTCTATACCAGTTTATGCATCTTGCTAAATATAATAGTTCTTCCTTTGGGACTTTAAACAAGATGGAGGGGTTTCAGTTGTCCAAACATTGGATGCACAGGTTCCTGTTTAACCTCTTCTGGAAAAATAATAAGCAGTAATGCATGCTCTCGGTATTTAAAACTCTTCTAATGCCTAAAGCCACAGCGAGGGAAAGAGTTACCACTGGGTGCTAGAAGTTGGCCATTATTTCTGTGGGTGTCAGTGTGTTCTATTTCTCTCTGATTGTCAAAGCCAGTTTTAAAAAATGTAATAACTGTGTAAAATAAAATAAATAGCAATTTTTATATGTTACTTGATGTAGGGGGCAACATCTGTAATATTGACAGACTAAAGGCAGAGTATGTTTTTCATTACCTTGATTCAATCCTGCCTAAATCATTGTGATCATAATGGTGGAATTAATAATAATTAACCTATTATTTTTTAAAAAAACTAAGAGAATGCATGATGCATATACTTTTGAGAAGAAACAGCTTTGTCCCTCACTCAGATAATATCAAAGAGTATCACTGAGTGTATTTGATTGCTAGATATCTAAGTGCATTGCATCAAAAAAAAAGGAACTACAGATCTGCTGCTCCTGCACCTCTTAATATCTCGATTTGTCCTGTGCTGAGTTCCGCTGCCAGGCAAGATGGGCAGCTGTGAAGAAGAGTGTTGGTGATGTCACCCAACTGGGGGAAAGCAGAATAGCCTCTGAGAGAGAATTACCTGATCTTGCTTTTACGTTTCTTTTCATACTGAATGAAGACCCTTTTATTTCTTCCAGGCTTTTAAAATCTGTTTCTCTTAAACTGGGTTGTTGTTTTTTTTTTTAATCCCAGTGCTTGTACTGGATATTCTAGTTCTTCTGGAAGTTTTTGTGCTTGCCATTTTTATGCTTTTTCATTTTTGATCTTTGTGAGTTGTCCAGTAGGGCAAGTAATATAAATACTGCAAAAAATAAAATGTGTGTGGCTTTGTCCTTCAGAGAGCATTCATTCATTCATTCAGTCATTCCTGTACCATCCCATAGTGGAAGCTTTCTGGGCAGTTTACAACAATAAGATTAAGGCTGAGGTGACTTGCCGGTGTTCCTCACAGGTACTGGAGATTAAACATGAGGAATTGTACACTCTAGCAGGGAACCCCATCCCTCCCTCCCTCCATCCCTTCTTCGTCCAAACTCTGCAGGTTGCTGAGCATGGTGTGCAAAGCTTGACCGCTGGGTTGTTGAGCGAGACAACCGAGCAGTTAACTTTGATCTTTTTGCATGATGAGTGGCTTGTCTGCCCCATGAAGAATGCCATAGGGCATTGCTGGCAACTGTTGGCATACATAGCACTGGAAGATGAGCACATTAATTAATTAATTAATTAATTAATTAAAACATTTCTATGCTGCCCCATTCGCCGAAGCCTCGGGGCGGCTCACAACATAAAATACAAAAATAACAATATAAAATAAATAACAATATAAAAAGAAGTTGCCCTGGCCAGATAAATAAGCAAATACTGTTAACAATTAAAATGACGCTTGGGGATCCTTGATGTTGTCCTGTGGTAGCACTGCCAGAGTAAATAATGTTGGCACCCAAATATTCCCTTAACAGTGAGTTGACTATCAAGGCGGAAAACAATTGAGTTTTGGTTCAACATGTGAATCACCCTTAACACTTATGAACAACATAAAATCATTGTTAAATATTTCTTCAGTTGAGCAGTCTTGTCAACAGAGATGTTCATTATGCAAGGGCACAATTTGCAGAGTCTGGAGGGGGAAATATCCCGGAAAAAGCTCCGTCTAAATATATTTTTGTCACTTCTGATGCAGGCTGGGATTCGCAGGGGTGTTCTCGTGGGCGTGTAGCCATAAAACTGGCTTGCGATGTAAAGCTAACTTGCAAAAAAGTGACTTTTCACTTAGTGCCTGAGATTATTTGATAATATCATGTCCGGTACCTATTCCAGAATTTGGCCTCTGATCAGGTGCCCACCTTCAAGCAAGCTGCATTGGTAACACATACTGCCGCAGTGTATGCATATCTGAAATGTGTGATGTTGCGATTAGAGTACCAGATGATGGCCAGAGTTAAAGTCAACCTGAGCCTAGAAGCCCACTGAGTCACCTTGGATCAGTTCCTTTTAAACCTAAAATACTTCCACTGGGGGTGTAAGGTGACAAAATGGAGGGGAACAAAATGCATCACTCAGCTTAGAGGAGGGAGTTCTACAAATGTAACAAAATATGAGTGTGCAGTTTTCCTGCTTGTCATGTTAGGGCAAAATTGGTTTGCCATGTTTCAACAGAATTTTAAAATCGACAGCATGCATTTGATTTTTTTGTTGCCTTCAGAATAGCATTTGTTATTGCTCACCTTCAGAATAGCATTTTTTGTTGCTCACTCTGAGGAATTCAGGCGGTGAACACCTGAGAAATGGAGCCACACTGGGGCTGCGGAGAAATGAGGACGTATTGGCAGACTTAGGAGCATGGAGACTTGGAGAAAAGGCTTAAGCAGAGGGAGCTGGTTTAATAGCCATAGAATGTTGCTGACTTATCAGCTGGAAAAGAAACCGACGTACAGGAGATGCTAAGAAATGCGCAGTTTCCCTGCAAAGGTGCTATGCAGTTTCCAATAGGGTAGGGGATGAAAGGGAACGCTCAGCTCGAGCTTTGTTAGCTTACGGCAGCCCTCCTCCACCTAGTGTCCTCCGCATGCGATCCCAGCCAGTTAGGGAGGTGGGAGGTGCAGCAGGATAGATCTCGAAGGGCCCCGGGGATCGGGAAGGCTGGCGAACAGCTGCAGATGGACATCACTCGTAGGGGTGGGACCTGAGCAGAATCACTCCTACCAGGAAGTGAGCATGGGGCATTTGTCCTGTGCCTTTTTCAGTGGAAAAACGGATCAGAGATTAAGGAGCACTTAGTTTCAGCTCAGGGCCAGTAATGTTCCGTTTTCAGGGCAGTGGCCTCTTGGGACTGAGTCAGCTTTTAGAGTCCTTACAAGATAGAGTCTGACCACTTGCATTGCAGGGGTGCTTCAGACCCTGCCAGTCTAGACGATGCTTTCTGTCAAGTTGGTTGGATTCCACGTAATGCATTTAGTGAATAATTCCCTCATAATTTGCCATTTTTACTTTTTTTTTTAAACCAGACATGAGATGTGTCAAACACAGCTCTCTACAAAAAAGGCAGATGCTTATGGTACTGCAATTAAAGCAGATGTATATGTAGAAATACTTAATGTGTCTACTTTTTGTTTTGGCAGCCTGAGGAAGAGCTTGATCCTGAAGAGAGGGACAATTTCCTCCAACAGCTTTACAAGTTTATGGAAGACAGAGGTAATAGTATTGAACTTGAGCCAGGAATGGAGAAACTTTAAAATAATGTGGATGTGCATTTGCTAGTGCTATATCTTTGTGCAGAGAGCCAATGAGGGGCTTTGAATACTACATTGGTAGCTCCATTCTTTTGCATGCTTAACCCAAGAGCAAGTTCTGGTCAACTTGGTGGCAATTACCTTGAATAAACAAGCATTGAATGGAACTGTACTTTATAACGATGGAGCATTGCCGTGGCCTAAAACTCATCAAATATGCAACAGTTGTGTCACACAGAATTAAAGTAGCATTTGTGAGGCAAAGCACTTGCTTAGGTATGTGGGGGCTTTTCATTTAGTGGAATGCATGTTTCTACCCCTGTCTCATCGGGCAGTAGAAAGCAGGAATACCATCCTGGTGCAGCTTGCCCCGTGGCTGATTCTGTCACCCTGGGCACTGAGTTTTGCTGTTGTTGCAGCCTGTGCTGCCTCAAGGAGCAACCTTGCCAGATGACAAGGCAAAGACATTGTCTTGCCAGGGGTTGGTTGCAAAGTGTATATATGCCTGAATTTCATTCATCCATCTAAAATGTGGCCTATTCCTCACCCCAAGAATGGAGAGAAGAATTCATGTATCACTACGCTAGTAGAATTAGATTTCCTAATATAAGGCAATGCTGCAAGAATCTCTCTTGATTTGGACGCCAGAAATTTTGATATGTAGAAGCTCATCGTTGCTGCTAATTGTGGAATTCTTATTCCAGGTCCAGTGTAAAATTCTTGACCATGAATTACAGTGTGCCTGAATGAATTAACATATTTAGATCAGTGGACTAGAGGTTTTGCTAGCAGAAAGTCCCTGGTTCAATTACTGATCTGTCCAGTTTAAAAAAACAAAACAAACCCCGCTGGCAGCAGTACTGGAAAACCATTGTTTGTGATCCTGGGGAGGTAATGCTAGCCAAAATAAACTGTGCCAGACTTGGCGTAAGGGAGCTGCCTATATGAGCTGTAGAAACTCGTATCTCAAGGTAGACTAATGGCCTAGGAATGCCATTACAAGCTCGAGAAAGGCGGAACTATTTATTTATTTGTTTATTTCCTACGCTTATATGCTGCGCCCATAGCCATGAGGTTCTCTGAGCAGCTTACAGGACATACAGTATCAACAATTAAAACAATTACACATAAAACAATGCAAAGTAAATCAATAAAATAGTACAGTAAAACAATAAAATCAGACATTCAGTTAATAAAACCCTTTATTTTATTTTAAGCTTTTATATTCTGCCTTTCACCGTGTCTCAGGATGGTAATACAATGAAATACAATAAAATGCAGCATCAAAATACACAGTCAATAAAACATCTAAATTACCAAATTAAAACAATAAATAAAATTATCTGGTGACTATATCTAAATAAAATTATCTGGTGACTCTAATGTGGCAGTCACAGCATAAAATCAATATAGTAAACCATTATAAAGACCAACCAACTTACCATACCATTGATTGTGACCTCCAGAAATCAGAGGTTCATTGACTTGGAACTTTATTGGTAAATGTCTGAATTTTCTGGCACTTTTGTCTGGTTCTTACTGGTTTAGAATTACTGGTGAGCCATCATCTTTTACTAACTTTCTAATAATTCTCCTAACATGCATATAAATAAGGGTGATTGACTGTAATTATTTTCTGTAATAATTTCTGGATTAGGAATTGTTGAGCAGAAGGGTGATGATTTAAGGTCTCACTGCTGCTTAAGGTTTTTTGCTGCATCTCACTGCTCCTCTGCTGCTTCTTTAAAATGGTTCCTATTTGCGAGGAAAAATGATTCTGCAGAATCACTAATCGAATGATGGTGGAAGTGATTCTGTGACCCCAAGCAATGGATTCCCAGATCCAACCTGGAGACAGAGCTCTACTCTAGGAGCAGGGAATCGGAGCACCAACCTCCCTCGTTTGGAGCGAGCACAGAAAGAAAAGCTCCGGGGCTTGGTGGGGGTGGAGGAGTGGGGAGGCTGAGATAGAAGGTATTCTGAAGCCATTCTGGCATCCTTCCTTCCCCCCGAGGAACTCTGGATACATGAGCAAAAACAGCCTTTCCAGTGAAAATGCAGAATGGGGAGACACAGTGGCAAAGATCCCCTTGGCTGCTGCTCTCAGTCTGCATTGTATTGGATGCTCATCAATTTCCCAGTTTGGGGCATATGGGCATTGCAATAAGATTGATCAGATTGCCGCCTCCAGCAATCTGTGAATTTAAACAGTTGTTGATCTAACATCTTCTCCACTCTTTGGAAGAAAAGAATGTGCTGGGATCCCCATTACCAATACTAGTGACATTAAACCGGGAACATCTGCATCTCTATGCATTGCTGTATCTTATTTAGAATTATGTAGTTCACCAAGGCAGGTAATGAGTTTGAATTTCTCTGTTTTAAGATGCATCTTAGGGGTAAACAGTTAGAAGCAGGAGCCTGCAACAAAACTTTTCACTGTTCACTGTGGTCACAAAAAAAAAAAAAAAAGACAGGATCGGCTTTGGTTACATTGCACTGCTGTGTCAGCTGGAGGCCCTTGGGCATCGGTCCTGTTTACAAGCTTACCAAAATGAATGTCTGTGTGTGAGTTTGTGCTCAACAGCAAAATTACGGCTCTTGCGTGGCAATGGTTTTTAATCTGTCCTCTTTTTAATATCAGGAACTCCTATCAATAAACCACCTGTTCTGGGCTATAAGGATCTTAACCTCTTCAAACTTTTCAGACTGGTCTATCAGCAGGGTGGGTGTGACAACGTAAGTGATGTTTCTTAACATTGGCTTGCAATGGTACTTTAATTTCAGACTGAGTTAAAATCTTCGTTAGAAATACTGGCGCCTGGCGCCTACTTTGTATTGTTTTTGGCACCAGGTAAAGACCTTTTAATTTTCCCACAGTATGTTAATAGTTTAACTTTTTAACTTTGTTTTTATATATTCTGTTTTATTTTGTACCACTGAATCATAGCAGCTGCAACTGCCATTATGGTTTTATTCTTTTAAATTAATGTCTCTGTGTTTTTTTAAACATTTGTTTAATTTTAACTTTTGTTAACTGCCCAGAGGGCCTCAGATGTTGGCAGTATAATAAAGTTAACAGTGACATTGCCTGTGCCTTTTCCTTATCCCTACAGATTGATAGTGGAGCTGTATGGAAGCAAATTTATATGGACCTTGGTATTCCTATTTTGAACTCAGCTGCTTCCTACAATGTAAAAACTGCTTATAGAAAGTAAGTACTCTCCTTTTGCGTTTCGACTGTTTGGGTTGCAGCCTAAAAAGCCAGAGCTTCTATGTAGATTTTGCCAGCAAGCTGCTGTTTCAGCAGCTCTCATCCAAATACTCAGAATAACATGTACTCAAAGAATCAGGAATTGTGGAGGAGGTACAGAACAGGGAATGGGCACTAGTGATAGGAAATCTCGTGAACAATAACTTCACTGTGCTGCAAACACTTGGTTTCATCTGTTAAATATATATCTTTATATATTCTCCCACCCAGTGGCTAGCAACCAAAAACATAAAACATGATGTAATTAAAAGCAAAATAACAAGCTAGTTGACAACAACCAGAATTAATAAGTTGCATTTTCCACTCTCCTTCACATCCTGGCCCATTGTTTCTCAGTGTGTCAGAAAGATAGAGAGGGAGGGAATCTTCCCTCTGCTGCTTAAAAGGAGAAGAGGTTTGTGTGGTAAGGCTGGTGCTAGAGATGAAGCTAGGAATTCTTCCCTAGATCTGAGTATTGTGTAATCAGCATGAGACGATGGGGTTTATAAAAGTGTGTATTTTCCCTGTGTGCTGCAAGAGAATCAGAAGAATTTTTCTTACAGATTGAAAATACTGTCTTTTCAAAAACCTTTAGGTATCTTTATGGTTTTGAAGAATATTGCCGCTCTGCAAACATTCAGTTTAGAACCATTCACCACAATGAACCAAAAACAATAGAAGTGCAACAGAAAACAGAAGCGCCAATGGAGGAAAGTGTAAAAGAAGAGCCAGAGATGTCTCCTGTGGAGGTTCAGAACGAGGTGCAAGAAAATGACTGTAGCAGCGAAAGCGAAAAGGAAGAGATTGAACAGATGTCTCCAAGGGTAAGCTCTTTTAAAGAAGTTGTCTGCTGTTAAAATCATGCATTGCTCTCATAATTCAGACTGCACTGTGCGTGTCCTCAGATTCTTCCATTACCTTCTCGTTGCTGTCCGCAGCAGGCACAAATTCATTGATCGTTCATCCCTTCCAAGTTCCTGGGTTTGTTCCACCCTTTTAAATTTTTCATTCTATTTTTCAGTAATTGTAAACTGCCCTATAACATGTTCTCAGAGCAGAGTTCTGGAACAAAGCAAAACGAAATCACACAAGGAAACCATGCTGTCCCACAGCACAATGTCAAGGGCTTGTAACTGCTCCTAATCCAGTGGGCATGCATGTGAACCTGGGGCCAGATATGTTTTCCATTTCCCCATTCCTTTTCCAGAATCCTGCACACTAGTAAACCTGCTCCAGGTGATTAGGGGACCACCGTGAAACATGTGGGAGACAGTGCAGGGAGCTGTGAGAAAGGAAAGATGGCATATGTTGCCTCCTTTATCCGTTGGTTCCGGGAAATCTCTGCTGGATTGCACTCAGAGGAAGAGCAGCTCCACAGCTTCCTCCATACCTTGAACGCACTTCCTGAAGACTTGTACGGTTTTTTCCCTTCTCCCAAATCCATTATCAATACCTACTTTCCCCCAAAACCTTGAGCTTAATCTCTGACCTTACATTGCAACACATAGCAAATAAAAATGCAAGTAAGAGCTTTTGCTTGCAGCATCCCTTTTTATCTGTGCTTTTTTTTTTTTTTTTAGCAAAGGTGGTGTATTTCAGAGTGGAGATAACTTTGTGAGAGTGTTCTTTTCATAAATTTCCTTTTCATAGAGTTTTCACTGAAACCTGTTGAGAAATGCATCTGTCTTGGCGACTCCCTGTCTGGTTGTCTCTGTTGTTTCATACTAGGGCTGTGATTCGAATGGAGACCTGCTGAATCATCAAACTAGTATTCATTGATTTGGGTCTCCATTAACTTGCATGTGGCTGAAACAGTTCTGAAGGAAAAAACAGACTTCCTTTTGTTACTAGATGTGCGTGTGCGTGTCGCAGCAGGCATCCTCCTAGAATAAGCATCTCCCCTTCACTGTTCCACAGCAGGGAATCCCTCTTCTAAGAAGATGCCTGCCATCTCAGGTCTTTAGAAATGCTTAGTTAATTTTGTAAAGATAAAAGGTGTTGTTTCATTTAATCAGGATGTACGGCCAGTCTACTTGATTAATCATTTACAGCGTGCAGTCCTAGTTTACACAGAATTTGTTGAGGAACGGGCCTTCGGTGGGGGGGGGGGCTCCAAGGGGATTGCCTGAATTGCCCAGCAGTCTCAGCAATGTGGCTGCACTGCCCTTCTGTTGGCAGGGCTGAAATCTCTGGTGGAGCGTGTTTCTGCCTCTCTGTTCCTTTTTAGACAGGCTGGCAGCTTATTTCTTGTCTTTGCTGTTTCACCCTCCTGATTTTTCCGGAATTGTGTTCATGACTGCCTTATCTGTGCGATGATAGAATTCCCATTTATGATCTCGGAGCGGGAAAGCTTTGGCAGTGGAAAACCGGTCGTCTTGTACATGAATTTCTCCGATGCACTATTTGCAAGAGTGCGTGTTCCCCCAGTGCTGCAGTGCTGTTGCCTGGAAGGCATCCAGGCATCTTGAACAGCATTGTCGTTGCCTTTCTTCCTCCATGCAGGGACGAAGGAGACTTGTCCGGGATGTCACAGCTACTAAAAAGGAAGGTGAAGATGATAAAATGCAGGACAAGCTAAAAGACAGCAACAAAGAGAACAAAGACATTGAAGACATGTCCAATAATGCAGAAAAGAGGGAAAACGAGGTGGCACCTGGAAGCAGAAAGACCACACCAAAGCAAAAGGAAAAGAAAGCAAAACAGGAAGAAGAATCTGACAGGGAGTCGGAGGAGGAGGAGGAGAGAAGGCAAGGATTTTTTTTCTCTGATGTAGCATATGCTCCGAAATACAAAAGGCTTGAAATTGGACCGTTTGTGCAAATGACATTTAAGCTATATTAGCTTGAGAAAGTGCTTTTATTTGGCAGCATCAATTTTAAAAACAAATTAGACCTATATGAACTTTGGCCTCCTTAAGTTGTCGCTAGTTAGTCCTCATGGTTTTTGAGAACAGTATAGCAACTGTGGCTTAGCGGTGGGAACGTGAGCCTGGAGCTTCTGTTCTGTGTGTCCCTTTCTCCTGAAGGTGTACCCACAGAGAGGACACTGGAAGCTTTGGGCGAAGTGCAGTTTTCATGTTGTCTGAACCATAAACTGCAGCTAATCTCAAAAAAGGCCAGTGAAAATAAGCAGGAGTCATAAGATTAACCACAGTTTGGACAGTGCACAAGTGGCAGCTCCATTTAAACAGAAATTAAAAGTTCCAGTGAAGCTTTCAGTGAATTCCATGAAGCTGCTTGGTGGGATATTCATGACAGATGAAAGGAAAGACTGCTTTGCACAGCGCATGCTTAAGCTATGGAATTCGCCACTACAAGATGGAGTGGTAGCCGCCATTTTGGATGTTTTACAGGGAGGAGAAGGCTATGAATGACTAGTTGTCCTGATGGCTGTGTGCTTCCTCCATTAGCGGAGGATGTCTGCCTGGGTATGCCGGTTGTAGGAAAGACGGGCACAGATGTGCTGCTGCGCTCGGGTCGTGCTTGCGGGTTGCTGTGGGTAGCGGGTTGGCCACTGAGCAGAGTGCTGGGTAAGGTGAGCCCTCGGACTGATCCAGCACGACTGCGTTTGCTGTTAGGTTGCAAATGTCTCCTCGTGACCATGTCTGTGTCTGAAGAATCAAATTGCAAGGAGGGCGAGTCCTTCGTGCGCTAGCGGACCAAAACACTCCTCCTCCCTCCTGCAAAGGAAAGGGTGGCAGAGAGAAAAGTGGGTGGCTTTGCGCATGGTTGTCCACACCCACTAGCAGCACGCCCCCCCCCCCAAACACACTGTTCCCAAAGGAATGCAACCCTTGACAGAAAAGAAAATGCCTAACTTTGCTGTGGCTGCAGAACAGGAATTGTACCTCTCCCCGCCCCACCCAGTTGCTGCTTCCTCTAGCTCCTAATTGTGGTCTCGGTGCTGAATATTTTCCTCCTCTTTTAAACTGCGACCCAGGCTGTTATTGCATAGCCTTTTGGAGGAGACTCTTAATTTTAACAAAAATAAATGGCACAGTCTAAACCTGGAAAGCCAGTTTCTTCAGACTTTCAGGGAGTAGAATAGAATATGCGAGTTATATATTAGATGTAGTTTGATAAAGCCTTCACTGGGTCTTATCAGATCTAATCTCTGTTTCTGACATGCAGAGAAGATACTGCTTTTCCATTGCTTTTCCATTGCTAGGGTCCATATTAGCTAAGACTAACTCTCTGTTTCAGCTCTCTGTTTTGCAGTGCAATTCCATATGTATCTACTTGGAAGTAAGTCCCATTGAGTTCAGTGGGACTTTTGCCCAGGTAACAACGTATACTATAGTGCAGCAGCACCAGAGAGGGCGTAATTGAAAATCATGAAATGCTGGCTTGGGATAAGGCTGTGGAGTCATTGGTGAACAGGGCTGAGGTGTAAAGGATGCAGAGGTCTCATCCTGACAAAAGAGGTCCCAAGTCCCACTATTTCTTTCGTGCTCTTAGATGTTACTTTCACCCTTAAGCTTCTCTCCTATTTTAAAAGACACTCAGACACAAACATTCTTCCTTTAAAAGTCTAATTTTCAAGTTGGTCACCCTATTAAGGTTGCAATATTTTGTTCAGTTAAGTGTAATCAATTAAAATTAATTTACTGCGATGGTGCCCCAGTTGAATTGGGTAGCAGCTTTTTTTTTTTAAAGGAATTGCTAGTAAAAATGACAAGAGCACGTAGCATCTTGTGAAGCCATTTCTCCCTCTCCAGTGTTGTGTCAAGTACCTCAATAACACATTTATAGAACCAAAAAAAAAAAAAAAGCTTTTTGTTCAGAAATACTGCTAACCATAAAGAGATAAGACAAAACCATGGCAGATAAAGTTATCGGTGGCACCTGTCGTGAAGACCTCTCCCAGGATAAGAGGCAGTGTGCCTCTGTATATCAGCGTCTGGGGAACATGGGTGCAAGGGTGCTTTTGCACTCATGGCCTGTTTGGAGGCTTCCCAGCAGCAGTGGCACACAGGGATCCGTGCCTGGCAAGCGCCCTGCAGGCACAGACACACTCGGCAACGCTTGGACTCTGGGCTGCTGCAAAGTGGACTGGAGCCTGGGGGGCTGAGCCGAGCCCGGGGCATTTTCCTGCCTTTTTCCTACAAAGGGCTCAAGGCAGCTTACATCATTCTCCTCCTCCCTCTTATTCCCACAACAGCAACCCTGTGAGGTAGACTGGGCTGAGAGTCTGGGACTGGCCCAAAGCCACCCAGTTGGCTCCATGGCTGAGTGGGGACTAGAACCTGGATCGTCTGAATCCCAGTCCCATGCTCTTAACCACTAGGCCACACTGGCTCTCTTGACAGTTTTCTCATACATCCCTAGACAAGAGCACTTTCAAAAGAAGTATATGGGAACACAATTAAAGCCTTAATTTAAAAAAAATAATTTTATATAAAATATGCAGAAATGAAGCCATTACATCTTTGCTGTTAGTCTTGATCTGGTACATTAGCATAACAAGTCATGCTGAAGCATTGCCTCAAACCTTTGAGTACCCGTGCCTCCAATAAACTCTTCTCTGTGGGAAGAGAAGGCATAATTCAGCGGCTCGCCTTGGGCCCAGAGCAATAAACGGCCATGACCTGAGACACGGGTTGCTGGAGCTGCTGCTTCTGCCAGGCGTGAGTGCAGGGACTGATGGGCAGCTGAACTGAGGCAGCTTCGTGTGGGTCACTCTGTCCCGCCACACTGCAGCCAATGATGCTCCCAAATACCTCGTTGCACCTGCCTCTTTAGTCACTTGGGTTACATGTAGAGGTGTGCACTGCCGGCCCTGTGCCAACGACACGACGGCCTGTCTGGGCCTGCTTCGCTACCTCCTCGGGAATTGCACAAAGTGTGTGCGCATACACACCTCTTTTGGCTGCATGGACTCGCATTTGGAATTGATGAGTACTGGGTTTCCTCGGCATGTACCTGTGGCAGAATACGTGTGTTCATTTTGATTGCACGTATCTGTGTGTGCAGTTCTTGACATGGAAGGGACTGTGTGCTCAACAAATAGTTACTGTAGATGCTGTCTGGAGTTTTTTTCACCATTGTGTTCCACATCAAATCTAGCTAAAGGTACCACAGGAAAGAAAAGACGATGTGCTGACCAAAAAGTATTTTCTTGGAAAACTCTGCAAAAGCAAATTAAGTTACCACAACTTGCATTGAGATTGATTTGGGAAATTTCCATTGACTGCTCTGTCACTGGGAGCTTGATTAGGGGCATGTAAAAGATTCATTACTTGCAAAGCGCAGGTTTCGCCAAGATTCAGTTGCTGAGTCATGCTTCTCCAAGGCAGAGATTGGCAGCACTGCAGGCTGCTGTGACAGTCTAGCGAGGACAAAGAAGGTCAGAACTGCTGTCCACGTTTGGCCTCTGCTTAGTCCGCATCCTGGTGTCTTTCTCGCTGCAGGGACGAACTTGAAAACCAGGGAGAATCAGGAGAAGAGGGCGAAGAAGATGCAGAACCTTGTCTAACAGGAACCAAAGTGAAAGTAAAATATGGTCGTGGAAAAACTCAGAAAATTTATGAAGCCAGCATTAAAAGTACAGAAAATGATGATGGAGAGCTTTTGTATTTGGTGCATTACTATGGCTGGAATGTAAGGTAAGGAGAAGGAAGGTAGTCTGGCTCTGGTGGTGGCACAGAGTGGCTTGTAAAATTTGAGGTGGGCTACCTGAGGCTGCTGCAGAGAGGTGCCTAGTGCGGCCCTCCCTGCTTGCGTTTCCTTTTGCTGTGATTGCTCCTGGCAGTGGTCAGACAGAAGCACCGTCAGAGCTGCGGCTGGGCTATGTGAAGAGCTCCGTCTTGAGGTGCTGCTCTGCCATTGTGCTTCTCCTGTGTGCTTGCCCCAGGGCAGGCTCTGGGCAGAACCAGGTGCTTTTGTTTAGGTCCTGTTAGCCCTGCCCAAATAGTAAATCAAGGTATAGTCAAAATCCCCAGAGTGGTATCGATAAAGAAAAAATATATAGGATGCTTCTTCAGAAAAACACTTTGGTTTGGGAAAACAATCTTTTAACATTCTAGATGTAATCAAGATGTGAAGTGACTGCCAACGTACTGGGTTTCTTAGGAAAGTCTATTTATTTATAAGACTCTTATTAACCTTTAAAAAGAAATTAGAAGTATGGGACTAAGCTTTGCTCTCAGGTTTGCAGTCAAAAACGTTTAAGGATTCTGCATTAAGGGTTGAGGTTCTTTTTATAGGTAAACCCTTTGCTGACAAGAATAAGCATTTGGCATCTGTTTCTGTAGGTATGACGAATGGGTAAAAGCTGATAGGATTATCTGGCCGGCAGAGAAGGGAGGCCCAAAGAAGAAGCAAAAGAAAAAAGCAAAAGTAAGCAGCTTTATTCATCATTTTGATTTTTCACATAAAACAACTTTTTCTAAAGCCTGTCTCTTCCCCTCCTGATCATTCCATGGAAAGATCTCAGGTAACAGGAAGCGTTACGAAGTAATAAATGGACTAGGGTTGTGCATCTGGTCCAGGTATATCTCAAGCTGAATCACTCTGCTTACTCTCTGAATAACTCAGGGAATCACTCTGAAACAAACGCGTGCACTCGCAAAGCCTCACTGACAGCTCGGAGGCCACAGCTGCAAGCGCGTCGTGGCGCGTCGCCGTATCAGCCGGCCCTCTGGCCTCTCGGCGCTGCTGTTCAGTGTCAGGTCGGTCCGTAATAGGATTGCTTTTAATGTAATTCTGTCTAGTTTTATATTCATTTATGCCATAGTTTTATAAAGCATTTTAATGGTCTGTTGTTAGCTGCCTAGAGATGCCACGGCGAAACAGGCGGCATATAAATGACTAAATAAATAAATGAAAAAATTTGTACATTCCCTTCGCCAGAAAACATGAGGCGGAGGCAAGATGGCATTGTGGTTTTGCAGCTAACAGTCGTGGAATTGCTACCACATCTCTCCTTTTTGCCTCCAGTCAGTCAGGGTGCTTTTAAGAGAGATGCGTAAGGAACTTACGAGAAGCAACTCCTGTGCTCTCATCGTGTTTTGGAGCTGGGAGGCACTTAAAGCGTTGCGTGATTGTAGTGGTCTCAGGCCCTTGCCCATTACTTGCTCATCATAGCTCCTCATCCCTTGCACCTGACCTTCTGAAATGTTGCACGTACGTAATGTAGAGGCACACGGACGTCAATTTCATACTGATGTTCCCAAAACGAAAGGCAGAAAATGACATCCTTTTTTGAAAGCACTCTGGCTGGAAAGCCTTCTTGAGCGGAATCGAGCTGAATGTTCTGAATGATCAAACCGGGCTGCACGTTAAACTTTGATTAACGGACACCCCTAAAAAGGACTGCATTTGGTTTGTGTTCAGAGTAAAGAAGACTGTGAAAAAGATGAAAAGAAAGAAGAGGAAAAGCAAAAGGCGAAACGTGGACGCCCTCCTCTGAAGTCTGCGCTCCTTTCGAATCTGTCCTGCGGCCTGCCCAAAACGCCTCACGGGGAAGGCAAGCCAGGGATCCGCAGTGCACGCAGCAGCCTGCCAGATTGCTCGCTCTTGCCCAATGGGACAGAAGGTATTTCTGGTTCAGCGTTGGGGTGCACATCAAGGGCTCTTGCGCGAATGATGCTTGTTAGGCTGACGAGCTTTTGCTCGTGAAAGCCCGCAGAATGTGCATTGTGTTCAGGGGCCCGCATGCGTGTGTACACAGCCTTGCAGAACATTGTTTAATTCTTTTTCGGCGTTAAAGACTCTTTTTCTAATTTTTAGGTATGCCTCGCAGGCAGACAAGGCGTAGCTCAGGCGTATTGGATTCTGACAGGGGGTCAAATGGTGAGTCGACTTTTTAAATCAGTTGTGGGAAAATGTTTTACCATCTCAGGGTGAGGAGATGGGTGGCAAATGCAAGACACCTAGAGCTACAGCAAATAAATTTGGGGTAGTACCTGCAGTTGAGGGAAGGTCTGGACTTCACTTTTACTTTAGCCATAGCCAAAATGGTATTTTCTCTAGTATAAGTATCAGTTGGTTCCTCTGAATTCCTTATTTAGCTGCCCAGGCATTTGAAGGGTTTCCTCCAGGGACTGCTCCCAATGGGATGTTTGTACTTTTGATTCATGTATCAGCAGATAAAATGCAATGATGTTGCATTGGCTTGTAAAGGATTTCTGCTTACAAGTTGAAGCTTTTTATCCTTCTGAGTGATATTCCAGTCACCACTACCAAGGGGAGAAAAGCTGAGGACTATATGCATATGCACCTTTTGCATTTGATGGGGTCTGTGTGGATGTTGTATACAGGTATTTGCAAGAAGCATCTCCTGAGAAGTGGTCTTAAGTCAGCTCCCAATCTGCTGTTTCTGTCTCCTCCCGAACGAAATTGTGTGGGTTATCTTGTGGTTGGGAAGACACATTTTCAGAGAAGCATTTTCTTCTGTTGGGAAGCTAAAAACAAACCATTCTTTGAATAGAAAGAGTTTGCCTTCTACTGTAAAAGTAGACATGTTCAAATTGTACCTTTTCCTGATGCACTGTTTAGTTAACTCCATTTGAAGAATATTTTAGTAGATACTATCTGCAGTTGCTTGCCTTGCATTGATTGTGTCCTCTGTGGTATGTGTTTTTGCTAGACTCGGTTTCATCAGACAGTGATGCAGAAGAAGTTTCTGAAAAGAATGAAGAGTTTTTTCTGGTCAATTCAGAACTGGAAAAAGATGAGAAGCTAACTGTTGAAAAAGCTGGTGAAGAGAACTCAAAGATTTCACATGTGCTGAAAGAGAATGATAGGAATCAAGCTCACCCTTTAGAAGTGTTGAAACTAGAAGTTGAAGAGAATGAACAAGTAGTTCAGATTTTTGGAAGCAAAAGTGACCAAGTGGAAGAACTCAAGAGAGAGATGGAAAAATCGCCTAAAGGGAAAGGAAGAAGGAACAGGACAAGAGATTTGTCACTAGAGAGTGTAAAGATTGCGCAGCTAAACCAGGAAGAGGCAATAGGTGAACATCATACGGAAGCTGAAAGATTAGATGCACCTCCCTTGGATAGTAAAGGCCAGACCCCCTCCCCTGAGAGTGAAACAGAACCTTGTGCAAAAGATAAGAAACTTTCAAAACGGAAAACGGTGGAACAGCCATCACCTGATAAACGGATGCGATTGGAAGGTGAGATGGATGTGCCAAATATCATGACTGAGGGGAGGACAAATGAATGTTCTGGGACAGAAGAATGTAAAGGTTTCAGTGGCAGTGACTCCCTGCGAAATGAGAATGAGGAAATGCCATCTTTAGTGGCAGAATCAGATCAATGCCTTCAAGCTCGGGGAGGCGAGCATTTTGATTGCTCTTCGGAGGAAAATCACAGCACACCACTGAAAGATGAAGATGATTCTATGCCTCAGATTGGGCCAGAAACACTCCTTTGTCATGAAGTGGATCTGGATGACCCTGATGAAAAGGACAAAAGCGGATCTGAAACCTTGGTAGCAGAAAAACAGGACACTAGTAATCTCGGGGCAAACCCGCCTGCCTTACCTTCTGTGGTTCAGCCAAACTTCTCTGTGGCCTCACCTCTGACCCTCAGTCAGGATGAATCGCGAAGCATAAAAAGTGAGAGTGACATCACCATTGAGGTGGACAGCGTGGCTGAAGAGTCTCAGGAAGGTCTCTGCGAGAGCGAGTCCGCCAATGGGTTTGAGGCGTGTACCACATCCAGCAATTGTAGCACAGCCCTCCCCGACAGGGAGCCTGGAGAGAAGGGTATGTCTCTCCGCCTGTTTTGGTAATCCATAAAATTGAACTTCTGGTCCACTGCAGGGGTCAGAACATGCTGAAAATGTGGCTCCAGAATGCTGACAGATCAGGAACAAGGGAGTCAAAGGGACCCCCCCCCTCCCAATTTTGGCTCTGAGGGCTGACTCAAAAGCTTGAATGTTTCAGTTACTCATCCTTACTTGTTCCCTTTCAAGGCCACTAACGGTGAATTTCTTGTGGGATTAAATTACTGAAATTAGTTGCAGCTTGCAAGTCAGCAGCAATTGGTCACCCATCACCAGGCGTTCTCACGTGGCCTTACCCCCTGAAATAATCTTCCTTGTTTTACTGGGGCTGGGAGCCTCCAGTTGGATTTTCTTGTTCCTTTATTCCCTCCTACTGCTTCCCATGGCAGGGCCGACTTAACAGCATTATTACTCCCCTGCATTTCCTGCCACTTCCCCTCCTTCCCCTGTGGAACGTCGTGGCCTTCTGTTAGGGCATGTCTGTCTAAGGTTATTCCTTGTCCTACAGTTAGTACAGGCTTCTATTTTGACTTGTGTCCCTAATGGTACTTCTGGATATTCCGGGAGAGGTGAGTCTTCCAGGTACCTTCTTGTAGGCCTGGTTCACACACAACACTAAGCCACACAGTGCTTCAGTAAAATTTGGCTTCACGTGGTGTCCAGACCCATTCCCACAAACCAACCATGGTTCGCCAGCCACTGCAAATCACAAATTGAAGCCATGGTTTGTTCGTGGCATATAAAATCTGACTTGTTTAAGCTATAGTCCATGGTGATGTCTAAACCTGGAACCTTGCTTTTCCCTTGCCTTGTTTAGGTTGCAGTCTTCCCATGAACTCAAGTGTTTAGCAAAAGAAACCTAGAAATGTCTGTGCTCTGAAGGCTGGTAAAATGGGTTGGAGAAAAACCAGAAATAGGGAAAATGAACTTGTGGTTTTTTCCCTTGCTCCAAGACAGTTAATTGCTTAAAGCAGCAAGCCACAGTTAACATAAAGTGTGGCATAGTGTTTTGTGTGAGCACAGCTGCAGAGTTGGATGACAATTTACATCATAAAATTAAGTAAAGATTGCTAAAGGAAAAAGGTCACCATTCATTAAGAGAGCAACGTGGTATAATAGTTAAGACTGTGGAACTGGGACTCAGGTGATCTGGGTTCTAGTTCTCATTCAGCCATGGAGCCAGTTGGGTGACTTTGGGCCAGACTCTTGCCCCAACCTATCTCACAGGGTTGTTGTTGTGGGGATAAGATTGAGAGCAGGAGGCGAATGTTGTAAGCTGCTTTAAGTTATGTGGAAAATAGCAGGATATAAATATAATTAATAAATTACATTTTCAGGTCAAAAACGGTCTGGGGACAACAGTAGCAGCTCAGTGGCAAAGAAGCAAAAGCGTGCTCCAAAACGAGCAAGCACTGTAGCCAAAAATGAGAAAAATGGGACAGGTATGTTTGGTATCTTGTTGTGGAACCAGTTGTGCTCTACTTCATCAGTCCTAATTTGCTCATGTATCCCATGACTACAGATAAGTGGATTTCATTTTTGTTGATTCGACAGAAAGCTGACTGTTTTACCAGGAAGAAATGGTTTTGTGTCCAGGAAGTGATAGTTGGTGTCTTTTCACCAGTGGTAGTGGAAATGTTCAAGGTGGAATTTTGCAGCCACTGCAGATGTTTTTAATATGCTATATACTCCAGATTTGGCTGCTGTTCCACAACATGAATAGCCATCCTTTATAATGACTGAAGAAAAAACAAAAGCAACTCCTTTAGTTTTAAAGGTGAACTGTTGTTTTGGGTATAATATTTTACTCAGCATCAACAAATATTCCCTGCACTTGATTGCATACTAATAGAGCCAAAGCTGGAGACACAGAAGCTTGTAGTTTCGCTAACATGCTTCAGAATGCAATCTTGAAAATGTTATATTGTATGGCATCCCACAAGGAATACTTCTGAAGAGATTACACTTGGATTTGTTATTTAAAGGATTTGTAATTTAAAGCAGAGAATCAGTATTTGTACTGTAGTTGTGCCTTTTAAAAGGCTGGCTGAGTCACCCCCAAAACCTGCACTTTTCCAGGGCAAAGCAGTGATAGCGAAGATCTTCCTGCTCTGGACAGCTCGAGCAAATGTACTTCAGTGAAACACCTTGGCATGTCCAAGCCACAGAAGCTCACTCGATCACCTGCCAGAGTGATATCCCCAAACATCAAAGATGGGGAGAAGGACAAGCAGAGAGAGAAGAACAATCAGAACGTTTCTCCACGAGTGTACAAATGGAGTGTCCAGCTCAGTAAGTCCCTTGCGCAGTAATATGTTATAGTAACAGGAATAACAGAAACTATCAGCACCATAGTGCCAAGATCAGGAAACTTGGCCGCCTGAAACATGGCGTGCATCCTAAGGGGACTTTATGAATGTGCACCTCAAGGTTACCTGGTTCTAAAAACATTCCCATTTGAAGTCATTTAAATGGGCCTGTGTATCATTTAAGTGGCACCAGGCTGCAGTTCCATCTGGAGTCACTGAACAGCTGACCTTCCTAACTAGAGCTTTGCGTCTGCTTGTTGCCCTGCAGAGTAACTGGCTAGGCAGTGACTGGGCAACCCGTTCAGGGGAATGGAACAGATGGAGCCTTAGCGGGGGAGTTACAGGAAGTACACCAGGACAAGAGCCGTTTTTTAATTTGGGAAGGTGTTGCTTTATCAAACAAAGAACTACTCCAGCCTGGATCTGTTTGTGCAGATGGGTGTACAGGGAGGACTTAGATACTCCTTTTGGATCTTGAAATTTATGCCTCTGTTTTCAAAATGTGTACTTCTGGGGGCCGCACTGGAGAACCTTCCATGCTTCTGTCATCAAGAGTAGACACGATCTTTTTGCCCAGCACAGATTGGCAAGTGGCTCAGAATTGGGGAGTGGGTTCCCCCCTTCTCTACCTTATGGGGTGCACTAGGCTGTACTGGTCGCACCTGGTGCTCTGAATGGAGGAGCGGAGGTGCAGAATGCTTACCTTGTGGCAAAAGGGCCTGGGTTAGATTTTGATCACTGTAAGCAATAATTTTGTGTGGGGGGGTGTTCATATTCTCTCCCCCTTTGGGAGTTATTTTTATATTTAATTACAAAAAGGAAAGAGATTGATTTTATCCAAGGTTTTTGCATTTGGAAAAACACATGCCTTTCTCGGTACCTGTTTGCAAGTGGGAAAAAAGACTTAAAGTGTTTCTTTTTTAATATCATTGATTCTTTAAGATGAACTGGACAACATGAGTAGCACAGAGAGGATCTCCTTTCTACAAGAAAAACTTCAGGAAATCAGGAAATATTATATGTCTCTAAAGTCTGAAGTAGCCACCATAGACAGGAGAAGAAAAAGATTGAAAAAGAAAGACCGAGAAGGCAAGTTAATTCTTCATAAGACATACAAGCTTTTGTTTAATTATTTACTTTGCTTTTAGGGTATAATCCTGTGGAGAAATCTTAAGGCCCCCAATTTGGAGGCCTTTACTTAACCAGCACATTTTTGCTAGATGCCTGTTTTCAGCTGTGCCGTTGATTGTTTAGAGGAGGAGGCTGGAGAGGCCCCAGGATGCCTCAAATTGTGGTTTTCCCAGGCTCCCTTGACCCCAGAGTGCCCCTCACCTCCTCTTTAACATCAGTTTCCTGCAGTTCTTTTGGGTGAGCAGGCCTGAAGCACCAATCCCCATGTCCAGGGTCGGTGCCATCACAAGCCTTGGCTCTGGGAAGCTGGAAAACCCTTTGGCCACTCAGACAATGACTAGGGGCCACCAGATCCCTCCCTCCCTTGTACCTCTCAGGGTTCAGTTGCATGCCTGTTTCAATAGAAAAAGGTCCTAGAGCTTCCAGTGTTTCCCAGAGAGCAAGGCTGATCATAAAGTGCTAGTAAATGCATTACTTTTCTCCTGTCCAAACACCTGTAGGATTGCACTCTGAATATATTACAATCCTTAGGCAGTTTTGTGTGAGTGGCCTCATCAGAAGTCTTAGGCAGTTTCTATTCCTGGACACTGACTTAGACCTTCATTATTGGAGTTTTTTCCCACATTAAAAAAATATTAATCCTAATGGAAAATGTGTGTGCCATTGCAAATACACTTGAAAAATTGTCTAGGGGTGTGTGCTTATTGGGCAGAGGAAAGGAGGCACCCCTCCCAGCCTCCCACAACGTGATGCTCTCTAAATGTTTTACACTACAGCTTCCTAACCACCATGGCCGTTGGCAGTAAAACTGAAGACCCAAGCTTGGCGGAGGCTGCCCTAACCAAGCTTGGTGCTTCAGCAGTTATTACGGAAACACAGAGGCTTATATGTATGGAGAAACATGCCAGATACTTTCTGCAAAAGCGAAGGACAAAATGAGACGTGTTAAGTGCCCGTTTATACTTGTCGAATTAGAATACAGAAAGACCTGTAGCCCTGTGTGCACTGGGCTTTAGCACTGACACATTTATTCCTGCTAGAGAAGCAGCTCTTCACTGTACAGAATTTGGTTTCGAAGTGTCCTTGAACCTTTGGGGAGCTAGTTTCCGCGTAAGATTTGCAGGGCTACAGAGGGAATGGTGGTTCTGAAATGAGCATTTTTTCATCCAAGCATGTTAATTTCTTATTTTTTACTACACATCTAAAGTTGTACTTGGGGTCGGGGGGGAGGTCTTGAACATTTCACCCTACAAAATACTGCTGCTGGTTTGTTTCCATCTGCTGCTGTACGAAGTAGAGGTGTTGGAAGTGTCTTACAGCACAGTGGTGTCATGGTTTGGGGGCTCACTGAAGGGCTTTTTAGCTCCAGCTGAGTGGGTGTGTGGAGATCCAGCCCCCCCCCCGACACACACACACCCCCTTGAAGTTGGTGGTAAAGGCCCATGCTAGCAGCCCCAAGGCAGCAACAGGGAGCCCAGAGGAGAGGGCCAAGAAGAGACCCCAAGGCAGCTCCTGCTTCCTTCCCTGCCTCTCCAGATGCCCTTGGTAGAAAGGCTCAGGAGGAATGACGCCTGCCCCCCAAGAGGTGGGTGCCGCCGTCGCCACCTCTCTTGCCCTTCCCAGCCTGCCACCAAGAGTCCTGCCCTGCTTTGGAGGATGAGAAGTCCCCAGATTTAGAGGGCTTCTGGGTGGAGAGGGCACGGCCCATGGGCAAAGGCAGCGGCTGCTGGAGCTGGTGAAGAGGGTGCCTCATTCTTTTCTCCCTTTTCCAGTGACCCATCCAGGAGCTTCCATGTCCTCCGCTTCCTCCGACACTGGAATGAGCCCGTCGTCGTCCTCTCCTCCACAGAACGTGCTGGCTGTGGAGTGCAGGTGATGCTGGTCTCCTCTGCCGTGTTCAGCACATGGCTGTCATGGACAGAACTCCTGAAATACCATAGAAAGCACTCGGCTGGTTTGACATTGCCAAGTATGTTCTGTGTACTCTTCCACTGCTGGACTGTGTCTTCCCCCTCTCCTCCTCGCATCCCTCCCTCCATTTTGTCATTGTGGATTTTTAAACATGCTTTTTATTAAGAAAATTAAGCTAATTGGCAACGGAAGGTTTGTGGGTGCACGAGGACACCTCTGTCTTTGTGCTTATTGTTTTTGTGTGTGTTTTTGGTTAAAACAGAAAAAGGGCACTTAATCAAATTTGGAAACCTGAATATCCAATGAAGCATTTGCGGGTTTATAAGGATTTTTTTTTTAAGGAATAAGCAAAGAACAAGTGCACCAAACTGGCATCGAATAAGTTCACCTGAAAAGAGCTACTGCTGCACTTTTTTCACCAAACGGTATCTTAATCCTAAATGAGAGTCCCATTTTTGTTTATTTTTGGAGAAGCACTTGCTATACAGACCTGCCAAAGTGTGTATTCAGCAATGTGCCCAATTTTAAAGGTGTAAATTGGACAAAATAAATTGTGAAAGGAAGTGTAGTTGACTGGAAACTACCGTTGTAATGAGTCTTCCACTTTTTATAGGATTTTTGAGCACATGATTATGCAAATATTTTAATGTTTAATGTTTACAGTGGAATTGTGAATAGGTTTTCAGTGGACTATCTTATCCCTTGACAAAGGTATTTTGTCTTTTTTTTCTATGTATTTCAGAGTTTTTATTTTGTTACAAAAAGGCAAAAAAATAAAATATATAACAATGAAGTTATTTAACAAGATTTCTAAAGGTGAATTTTTGTGTAAAATAAGGTATCTTGCAACTTGTTAAATATATTTATTCAGACATTGGATGTTGTATTTTTATGTATTTTTTAAAAAAATAATAAAATTGGGGAGAAAAAGTCTAAGTTAGGTTCACTCTTTCAAGAAAATATGCCTGTCACTTAGGAAAAAAAATACAGGTGGCAGTATGTGCTAGCCAGTCCTGTATACGAAGTGGGTTTTGTCTGTTCAACCTTTCACAGTGTAAACTGTAATCTGGCATCTGGATTAAACTATAATCTTTCTTGAAAACTTTGGCAGTCCTAGTACTTTTGTTGCTTTTGAGGAACAGATTTTCTTGGGTTGCCCTTCCAATGCTTTTTGTCACACCCTTTCATTTTCTGTAGTGCTGAAATTAGTCTTCTATTATCTGCCAAAGTTGAGTTGTATCATCAAAGAGTTAAGCTAACTGCTTTGGCTGTGGATTGTCCCACAGACTGAAAACAGTTTGTAAATAACTTTCCCAAAACCATGTATTTAAGGCGGTTTGCATATACATTGTGTATAAAGTGATTTTTTATTCATTTTTTAAATTCACCTTTGTACATTGAAAAGGGGTTTTCTGCCATTTTTCCTTGTTAATACGGTAAAGAGTTATAACAGATTCTCTAGACTTGTCCAGATATTAAAATCCACAAAATCCAAAGGTCTCAGGAGAGACTGGTAAAGGGGTTGTGGAGCTAAAATTGGGTGTCTCCCACTGTTCATTTTACCACTTTGTTGTCAACTTGTGATTCCAATTCCTTCCATTTTCACAGAGAACTAAAGGAAAAAGTACTCTTGTAAAAATGCACTTTTTCTGTCTTTTTCTTAAGCAGAGCTATTTCAATGTATGATAAAAATGAAGCTCAATGGAGAGCATTAATAAAGGTTATGTTTTTAAACATAGGCTTTATTTTATTTTTTTAAGTGATTTTGTAAACTTGTCGTCATGTCCAAACAATAGAAAGATATGGCTTCATAATGTGTTGTAAAGACTCTTCAGCGCTAACTTGATTATATATTTAATAATAAAAGAAATTATCATTACAGTAAAAACTTGGGTCACATGTTATCATGTTCAACATTTCCATTAATAACTTAATTTGAGCCTGGGCAGAACTTGCATATTTAGGGTTGATTCTAATTGTGCCCTTTCCTTTATAGAAGAACATTAACCTAGCTAATGGGGACAGGGGAGAGGATTTTCTCAAATTCCTCCTGCACCCTCAAAATCTTAAGAGGGCTGTGGGAGCATCAGATCAATATGGAAGTACATGTGGAGCTTCAAGGACAGGGGAAATATCTGAAGATCGCCTCCCTCTTCTTTCATTAGCAGCAGTTTCCACTAATCCGGTGGAAGATTTCTGCAAATAAAGGGCTTCTGTTGGCAAAAAGGCACATTTGGATTCAGGCTGTATTTCTGGAACCTTTATCCCTTGTCCTTTAGTGGTCGATACACATTCTCAAACATCTGCACTGTCTCCAACACCCTGGGGCAGCAAAATGGGTTTAACATTCGGATTATTACTTTAAAATGTTAGAGATCTTTACATAGCACTTGGACGTCATGACAAAAGTTGATTAATTATATAGATGCTAACTTAACAAGTAGCAGTGGGCCATTAAAGTCATCTAAACATATTGAAAGTATGTTGGCCTTCACCACTAGTCTGTACTGCATCTTAAGTAGGAGTGTGTTTATCTGGATGAACCACCCAAGAGAATCACGTCCCCTTGGACAGTTTCTGGTGCTTTCTGGAGTGAAGCTCTTGAGCTCCCTGTCAAAGCTAGGTCTCAGTGAGGCTTCATGACCAATTCCTACTCTGAGTTGCGGGCTTTCTCCCAATAGTGCTTTGGTTTTGTTACTCTAAAACGCCAATGAGTAAGTTGAAGGACACCTGAGTGACTGACAGGTCCACCTTCTAATCCAAGGACACGGTTTGCCAAGAGCACTCAGTCTAAGTTTTGGGGAAAGCAAGAGCAGGACTATGAACTGCTTTCTACAGCACCAGCCTTTGCTATGGAAAAGCCCTTGAACTGGTTTCCAACCATCCTGTCTCCCCAGTTCATGCACCTATTTTGAACAGGTTTCTTGCATATCTCTGATGTGAGTTACTTTCATACACAAGTAGGGAAGGCATCCACCCCCCCACACAAGAACTATAGATGGTCTATCCTACACAATTTCCTGCACCTGCCCTGAAGCTGGATTTCTTACAGGGGGTCACCATTAGGCTTGTATTTTCACAATGGTACGTATGAACCCTAGACAAATTGAAATGCCCTCTTCAGACACCCTAGTCAAGGCTGTTCTTTCTCAAATAATTAAAAAAATGCACCTGTTCATCAAGCCTAGCAGGCTTGATCCCCTTAGAAGGGGCACTTCTCCTTCAGCCGTGTCCAAAAGTCCATTGGCAGTTCCCTTTTTAAAAAAGCAAGAATGTATAAACACCAAAATGTCTACACTGATTTCTCTGATAAATGGCTTGACATAATCGCTCCCTAAGGGGCCACTGAACCTGCCAATACACCCAATTCTACCAAAAGTATAGCTAGTTCTTAATTCCCATGCTTCTTGAAGTACAGAGCCTCAAATTCCTGCATGGAGTCCTGCACTGAGCAAGGGGGTTGGACTTGATGGCCCTCTGACCCCTTCCAACTCTGCTGTTCTACCATTCCATTAATCTCAGCTTTGTAACAAAGGCTAAGTGGACTGCCTGTAAATTTGGGGCATTCCCTGAAGTGCAAAATTGGGGTTAAGCAAATGGGAAGGTGGATAAGTCAGTACGCAGCCCTAACCCTTAATTGTTCAGTGATAGCAAAGTGCTGTCCTAAAGCCACAGAAGAAGTTCATAAGAGCTGGTGAAACTGAGTGGAAGGGGTAAGTCTTTTTCCAAATGACAATGACACAATTGTGAGTGCACTTTCACATTCTCCAGGCTTGAAGTTAAGGAAAAATGGGGCATTGGGGAAAGCAGCACATCATACTGGAGCCCAGTAACAAGCCTTAAGACAGGATTGTTAGTTTTAATTGGGTGAATTAATTGAATTAACCTTAATTTGATGAGATTTTCCACATAATGGAAAGACCAGCATAGACTGGAGAGCAACCTTCATTCACACTGCCCTTTGGAGCTCTATGCAAGTTAAAAGTTGCATACCGGCATTTTGTTAACATGGGCAGTGCTGCTTCTGGGAAGCCCACAAGTGGTGCCTGAAGGCTGCCTTCCTCTGCTAGTTGTTCCTCTCAGCAATGGAGCAGGCTAGCTGAAAGACTGCATTCCCCACACGTTTGCCCAAGTTTTACGCTCTTCAGGAGGGGCCCTCCTGGTTCCACCACCATCAGAAGCGTATTCAGAGGGAACATAAGGATCTTCCCGGTGGCCGCTCACAGGCTTTGAAGTCTGGCTGAGAGAGGAAAGATTGCCCTTTTCCGTTCTGCTGCAGAAATGCTTTTATTCATATGTTGGCCTGCTGCAGAAGGGTTTTATCTTTAATTTGGGCAGTCCCTTTCTTGGTTTGTATTCATTTTTATGTTGTCTTATTAATATTTTGTTTTTAAATTGTATTTCATTGTTGGCGGTCTGCAGCACAACTGAGCGAGCTCAGGGCAGCCAAGCAGATGGGATAGATGGAAGATCTGAAGCCTGCAAGCCAACTGGAACAGTCTCCAGGGAAGATGATTTAAAAAGGAGCTGGCAGTTGTGGGTGTGATGTTGAGGTCCTCAGGCTGTTGGTCTTGGGGGATGTAAACATCTGTGCCAAAGACACCCTATCTGTGGCAGCTCAGAATTTCATGAACTTCATGACAACCATGAGGCTGTCCTAATACATCATCAGTCCAAAGCATGCAACATGGCACACTCTGGATTGTTTTTGTTTTCAGACAGGCATGAGGGACTTTGGATTTGCCTTGGTTAGATCCCTGCATGCTGAGATTTGGATGAGCAGTAACTTTCCCCCGCTGCAATGGTGGGGAAACCTATTGAAATGATCTGCTCCCAGAGGCTACTGGCTCCAGGTAGCTTTCCGGGTGATACAGTTCTGGTCCTGATGAATCCCTGGTCATACCAGAATACAGAGATCCTGGCAGTTGACTTGATCGCTCCTGAGTGCCATCTTTGCAGAGCTCATGCAGCTCTGTGGTAAGTAAAAGCAGTAAAACAAAACAGGATGACTTGCATGCAGGTGGCAAAAGCTCCCGGTGAACACATCCAAGCCCTGGCATGTGCCTCTAATCAGGTATTTCTGGGGGTGGTGAGAGCAGCAAAGAAATCACATTTCACCACCTCTGTTCAGTCTTGGCCACCCAGCAGAGCTCTTTAGGGTTGTCCAGGACCTATTATATTGTGGCCCCAATGACGTTTTAGACCCATCTGAGGTCTGCTGCAAATACATCTGCTAGGCATTTCCAGAAAAAAAATCTCTTCCATCTGCCAGCACTTCAGATGGCAATGCTAGGCCAGCTGAACTGGTGAAGTACCTAAGCCACAGCCTAGTCAGGTTCTACTGGATGAGTTGCTGCTGGTACAGCTCAAAGATGTCAGCAAGGTGCTTAGACAAATCCACACAACCCTATCTGTACTGAATCCTTGTCGTTCTTGACTTATAAAAACCAGCAGGAAGGGAACAAGCCGGCTGAGCAGGGAGGTGAGCAAAGCTTCCTTGCAAGAGGAAGTGGTCCCATGGGATATGAAACAGACAGCAGTGAGGCTGCTTCTAAAGAGACTCTCTCTGGACCTGGAAGATCTCAACAGCTTGCACTGATTCTGCTCTTGCTTTCATGGTCAACTTCAGAAAGTGGTGGCTGGGGAATAATACTTGGCCTCATGGACTCTCCAATATGGGGTTCCTCAGGGGTCAGTTTTGTCTACCATGCTGCTCAGCATCATGCAGAGTTTTGCAGTGTGCTGCCACAGGTGCACTGACGACATGCAGCTTTTTACTTCCAGCAGGTGAGGTTGTGGGTGTGCTATCTCAATGCTAACCCAGACCACAGCGGACTGAATAAGAGCTAACAAACTGGAGCTCAGTCCAGACAAGACGGAAATGCTGATAGTGGGTGCTTCCTCTGACCAGATGAGGGTGTTCAGCCCCATTCTCAGTGGGGTCACACTCTCCTTGAAGGAGCAGGTTCATAGCTTGGAGGTCCTCCTTGAGCCAATTCTGATGGCTTCAGCAGCATGGGATACCTCTACCAGCTTCAGGATGTCCCAGCTACCACCCTATCTAGACAGGGCAAGCTTGGTAATCGCTGACCCAGACTACTGCAATACATGCTAAGTGGCACTGCCCTTGAAGACTGTTCAGAAACTGTAGCTTGTGCAAAACACAGCGGGCAGACTAAGAACCAGAATCTGAAGATATGCACATGAATCCACCATTTCTGCCTCACTTGCATTGGCTGCTTCTATGCTTCTAGGCCCAAATCTAGGTGCCCTGTGGCAGCAATACTTGGGAAAACACCTCTCCCAACTGCAGTTTGCCTGGACACTGCTCAACATCTGCTACCTTCCTTGAATTGCTGCCTCCAGGAAGGCTTGTTTTGGGGCAACCAGGAAGAGGGTCTTCACAATTACAGCCTGTAATTATGGAACAAACTCTCCACAAAAGCCCCCAGGGACCAATGTCACCATTTTTTTCCACAGCTTAAGGCTGTTCTCTATGCCAAGGCAACCAAAGGGTGGTGTGTGCCTGGGAGGTTAAGTCCACTGTTTTAAGAAACCTGGCTGTGTTAACCTTATTCAGGTTATTTAAATTCAATTCTTAAACTTAGTTTTTACATTTCTTTCTTGAATTTGGTTGTGTTTATATTGTTTGCCTTACAAACTCTGGGTGGTTTCCAGCAATTCATACAATACCACGAAAGCCTGTATCAAATGCAAACAGTCTTTGATGGTATTGCATGAATTGCTGGAAACCACCCAGAGTTTTGGCTACTGGGCACTACAGAAATAAAATTCGTAACAGTAGCAGAAGAAAGGGCGCTTCAGCAGTTCCCTGCTGCTGAAACAGGAAAGGTCCCATCTTGCTGCTGCCCCTAAACGTTGTCAGGTAAGCAGCATCCACCGTCTCCCAAGCACCGTGCAGGGAGCAAGGTAAGCGCTCTTCCCGCAGCTCCACAAAATGGAAAGGCCCGAGTCCTCCTCCTCCTGCAGCCTCCTGGGGCAGCCGCCCGAGTAAGCTGAGCACCGAGTAGACCCACTGAAATAAACGAGGCTTCAGCTACTCGGGCCTCACTGGGGCTTCCCCCCTTTTCACACGTGCTCCCCAAGCAGGGCAAACCCCGGGTCCCGCTCCCTCGGGACTCGCCCGCTGCGATGGGTCTGCTCCCAGCAGCGCAACTCACGGAGTCGGGCGCCCCCGCAAGCAAGTCCGGCGGGGCCCCGGCGCCGCGGCCTTCCCGGATCTGCTGGCGCCGAGCGCGGCGAGCTTCCTCGGCAGACGAAGCGCCGAGGCCCCCTGCGCTCGCCTGAGGCGGCGGCCGGGCCGGGGAGGGCGGCGCGGGCGGGCGCGGGCGGCCATGGAGCGCGGGGCGCGGCGGGCGCTGCCCTGGCTGCTGGCGGCCGCGTGCGGCCTGGCCGTGCTCGGCTTCTGCCTCTACTTCGACGCCAAGCGGCGGAGCGCGCCCGACTTCCCGCGGAGGCTGAGGGAAAGTGAGTGGCGGCGGCGGCGGCGGGGACGGCGATGGCTCGCCCCCCTCGGCCCGGAGGCGGCCGAGGAGCCGGGGGGGGGGGGGCGTGACGCGCGGTTCGCCCCGCGGGCGCGCCTTATCCTCACAACAGCCCTGTGAGGTAGGCCAGGACAGAGGCCGCGACGGGAAGGCGGAGCCGGACTCGCCCTCTCCCGCTCTCTAGGGGAGGCTCGCAGTGCTGCTGCTACTAGTAGCAACGCCAGGGCTGCCGATAGCAGTGGTTCTATAGGCGACGCAGACCTTGGGCAGGGCGCAGACGTTAAAGCGGACGCGCCGCCTACGATGCAGCCCGCCAGGCGGGACCCGCAGCGGGTGTCGTGGAGAGCCCGCCGCTCCCACGGGTCATGCCCGAGGCCGCTCAGGCCGGGAGGAGGCCCTGCAGCGACTGCGGGTGGCGAGCTAGGCTGAGGGCCTGCGGCTGGGCCAAGGCTGCGTGGCCGAGCGCTGGCCGGAGCCCCGGGCTCCTGCGTCGCAGGCCTCACGGCCCGCCAAGCCACACTGGCTCGGAGTTGCCCCTGTGTCGTCAGGTTGCCTGTGCTATCAAGTCATGGCTTGTAACCATGAATAGCCAACAAAGAGAATGCATGGTTTGTTGTCAGGTTGTGAACTGGTGCTTGTTGACCATGGGTTGCTGTCTTGGCTGGGTTCGGACAATACACAATGTCAAGGGCTGAGCATGGCTTATCGTGTTTGTCCAAACCCATTCACACATTTGCGGCTGTTGCCAGCCTGTGGCTTGCGCATCATTGGCCCCATTTATTTAATTGAACCTTTTACAGGGAATCTGCCTAAACCTCCATCCAATTGCACCCTTACTTTATTTTTAATGTTTGCTTTTCACCCTGCAAGCCACCAGAACAAGCTTCTCCAGGCTGGAATTTGGAACTCTGACTGCATTATACTTAGTAGAATTATTATTCCATTTACTTAGTCCATCTACATTCTTCTCACACCAACTGCCAGCATCTCAGACTCCAGGGTTTCAGACAGGAACCTTCCTAACCTTTCCTTTGCATTCATATCAGGTGTTTTACTGTAGTAATGTGTTCAGTCTGCCTTCCAGCATTTAAAAGCAAAGAGAATGTTTCTTTTGATGGTTAAAGATTGAGGGGGCAACCAGGCAGAGAATATCTTACATTTTCAACAGTTTAAAATGATCCTCACCAAGCTGTGACATATGAGATGACAGACAGTGTACATAATAGTAACTTAACATTCATACATAAGGACCCCCCCAATTACATACATTACTTGCAAAGTAATCTTATGCCTATTTATTCCAAATTATGTTCCAGTTTGCTTAATGCAGCTTATTCCAGAGAAGGTGCGATAGAATTGCAGCCTCACAAGGTTTAACTTTCGGAGATCCAGGGGAAGAGAAGGCTAAACTGTCATCCTTCTTTTTAAAAGGTGTTACACAAACCTTCCCAGAAGTGAATTTGCACACAGTGATTACCAGGAGCAGGTACCAGAAATTAGACACAGTTGGCATACGCTGTAAAATGCACCCACACTTTATCCTTTCAAATAGTACCTTACTCCAAGAATGACTTTAGATGTGAAGTCCTTCCTTTTACTGCCTGCACTGACAAAGTGAGGGAGATTAAACAATCCCTCTTTACTTTAGTGCTGTTGCATCTTCTGCATCTTTTCCTGCTGAAGTCACTGTTGGAGCACACAGTGGCTGTTTGAGAGGAAGCAAGCAAACTCTCAAATAGGCTCAAACCTTATAATTTCTGTCTCATCCCCTCCCTCATCCTACTGCTACTTTCCCTGACAGCAAAATTTTCAACATGAGAACCAGAAACCACTCAAAATGTATAGGCTTCTTTCCCCCTAGTGACATACCATTTTCTCATTGGAAGTTAAGTATATATGAAGTTCATACTACTCAGGATGAGGGAGAGCCTTAATCAAATCTCCCAACAGTTCTGCTTTTAATTTAAAAAAGCTACCTTGAGCTCTAATTGCTTTCCATAAAGAGTTTCATATTTTTTTTCCTGTGCAAGAACAACTGGGACCAGAAAGCTTAATTTGAGAAGAAGGACAAATGTTGGAAGATCCCGTTAGCCTTTAGCCTTTACATTCAGAGTTCTGGGCTATTTAATACAGATACTAAACATTCCATATTACCATTACAGAAAGAAGAAAAGAACGTGAAAAGGCAAAAGAACGTGAAGCAGAGGTGAAAGATAACATTTGGAAATAGTGCAGTTTTTTCAGATGGTGTATTAGCCTTAAAGTACAACCTAATTCATCTTTGTGGGGCAGGGTATACAAAAAAGCCACTTCTCTGATGTACTCTGTGTATCCCAGCCTTCATGGAAGTTGCTATGCAGATCTGAGGGCTAAAAATCAGCACATGCCATAGTTGCCAGTGAAAACCGCCTTTTGGATGGCAATCCTGTGCATGTTTAGACAGCAAAAAAGGTCAACTACATCCCCCAGTTTTTTATCTAAACATGCACAGAGCTGTATCTTTAAAGCATTTTTCTTCCAGGCCTGTTCATTGTAGTTACTTTTGTTTTATCAACAACAAATTAACATAATTAAGGGGACAGCTTCAGTGCATCACATAGTCCCTCTGTTTATGTCAGAGAATCTTCATAGACCCTTGAGAATCTTAGTTTTCGCTTAAAGAGAAAACTAGCCTTCATGGTTCAGGAGGCCTAACTTGGCAATTGATTTAAACTGCATTTTGGCTACTGACAAACAGAAAGAAGCCAAAAATATGCATTAATTTTCATGTTTTCTATGCCTATGATTATTTTTCAACATTGGTTAAGTTAGAGGGTATAGACATCAGAGCAAAGATGTTATAGAAACACATTTACTGTCATTTTCCTTGCAGTTAAAAGCACTCACAGCTGTGCAAATTTTATCCACGATCTTCCTATGTGAATGTTCTATGTAGCTTTTAATACTGAACAGATTGTCAGTTCTGCCTCCATCTCTAATCCTTTCTGATAAGGCAGGGATGGGTATTGTATTCATCTCTGAAGGCTGTATATGTAATGCATGCATTTCTTGTGGCACTTATACTGTGCAATATCTGTACAGCCAGCCACCAATTTCACAAGACTGCATATCAGGTTGACAATTATTTTTGGAATACTGAAATCTAGTTCTAATAGTATGAAAATAATTCTGGAACTACATATGCCCTTTTACATGTCAGTAGCTATTGAGTGCAAAAGTTAATGGGTTTATTTACAAAATGCAGGCATGGAAACTCTGCAGGAAAAGTAATCTTAGAAAATGACATATTTTTTACTTCTATCACAGCCTCACTCTCATTAACCCTTAAGCAGATTAACTGATACTCCATTTTTCTAAGATGAAAATATGTTTATGATACCCTCAGTTACGTGAACTGAAAGATACGGCTAAGGTACAAGAGTTCTTTCTGCAAGAGATACAGCTGGGGGAACTCTGGTTGGCACGAGGTAAGGACAGGAGGAATTGCTTTTAGTTGGAATATTTGTCCAAAAATGCTTGGAAACAGTCCGTTACTAGTATTATGTAATGCATATCTTAATAATGCAGATGAGCCAGATAATTTGGACATACCACAGGCATATACCTGTCTCATACTCTTCGTGAGGGGCATCCTGTGGGAATATGTTATATAGAGTGCTGAATGAAAAATTGAATATTGAAGAGAGCTGTAACCATTTCACTTGTTTATAAACTTTTCCTTCCATGACAATGGAAAAAAGGAGATGTAAAAGTGTGTAACTGAAGTTCTGCCAGGTTTCAACCCAGAGGTAAGTTCTCCCTTTAAAAGCAGCTCTGAGTTGCAGACTGGATACAGCTTTGATCCAGATTCAGAATCAGAGGCAGTACATCTGCGAACATACAAGAGGGGTTTGGAAAAAAGCAACACTGCATTTGTTTTAATGGTCATCATTCAACTTGAGGATCCAAAATCATTCAGATGTTTTCATAATGACTGGAACAGAAAAGAGCAAAAAGGAAGTCAAGGGCAAATGAACAGGTGAAAGGGAAAGGCTACAGCTCTGCAACAGGACAAGTGCTTTTGTGTGTCAAAATCAGTCAAAGCATCACCAGTTAAAGGAGCTTTTCTTGACACGGTGCCCTCCAGATAGGCTGGACTGCAGCTCCCATTATTGCCAGCCAGAGTAGCATGAGGGTTGCAGTCAGAAAAATCAGGAAGCATCAGGCAGGGAAGGGTGAGTTAGGGGAACACGTGTGACGGGTCGGGGAGCTTGCAGACCTTGCCAAATGGTGAAGTCAGTCTTAGACTGATGTGTCAAGGGCCAAACTTAGAACAGGAGAAACACCTGAGCACTGTATTCCCTCAGGAAGTACAAGAGTAGAACCGGGGGAAGGGGGCGCACACTTTCCTCCATATCCTATTATAAATCCCATGCGTTATACATCCCATGCCGTATTATACATCATTCTATAAAAGAATTGGCAAACATTTGTGCTTTTAAATTAATCCAGCCAACTGGGGTTTTGCTTGAATCAAGGTAATGTAAGCTGGAAACCAAAAAGGACTCGATTCAAATGTCACTTTGGCTGCAGTGTTTCCCCGTCTTACCTCCCCTCCTCCCTGGAACTCACACCTATACAAGGACAGCAGTATCCACATATATTCCTGGATTTTTCTAAGTAGCAGTGAGAGGTCATAAGCGTAAACGTTTTAGAATGTACCAAATCCTGTTTTTACAGAAGAATGAGTATTTTAGATGCTCTGCTTGAGCTGGATTTTTCAGTGGCAGTGGTTCTATTGTATTGGACATGCATATAATATTAATACTAGACAGGCATTCAGAGCCTTCCCTGTAGCATCTGCCCGGAAGCAGCAAAGAGCAGATAACGTCTGTCTTTGTTTTCCTGAAGTCCCTTCACCACCCTGTCTGTCAATAATCGGAGGAAGCAGAAATACTGTTTTCCTTCACAGCAGCGAGCTGGACAAAGGCAGGAGGGGGCAGGGCAGGTGCATACGGAGGTCGATGGCACCGGGCACGCAAGTGCCGACAGTAGTTTTAAAAATCATGTTGACTGAGATTTAGGAGTGTGAATTCGTTCCAGGAGAGCACAAGAAGAGCATCGGACACCTTGCCAATGCTGTGGCCGTGTGCACACATCCAAACCAGCTCATGCAAGTCTTCGAGCAGACGCTGCCTCCCCAGGTGTTTGAGATGCTTGTGCGCAGCATTCCGTATGCGATGCAAGTAGGTACCTTTTTCAAGCCCCGGGAACACAGCCCTGCAACGCGTTAGGCTTGCTGTATGACTACACGGTGTTCACACACGGAGCCTCCTTAATCCACAAGGCCCCCTTTTCTGCACTGGTAGAGGTCGGAGCCCCTGGCTCCAGAGACAGGATGCAACAGGTATTTAGCTACATCAGACCAGGCCTCTGCACTGCAGCAAAAGTGCTGAGTAACACTACATGAATACGGTGCACCGAAGAACTCTTGTGCTGGCTAGATCCAACTCTTGCCAAGAGATTCTAAGTGACAGTGCTGCATTTCACGTAGAACACAGTCCTACAGCTCCCTGTGTGACTCTGGACCAGTCTTCATGCCACAGAACGTGGCACTCATGTCCGCTGGGTCATTTTAAATTCTCTGCAAACTCTGTTCTGCCCAACTTGTCTGTATCGAGGAAGAATTAAGAGTCCCCCACATGTTTAGTCCGGCCTGTTATGTTCCAACAGCCTGCTTCCATTTGTTCACTGTAGGAGTTATTTTTCCCTGTGAGTTGGAAGGCAAGCTGTGGAAGCAGCCTAGTTCTAAACATCCAAAGCTCAAGTGTTTTCCTGCATTAGCACTCTTGCAGCTGACTGTTTTCCCTTTCTGCTAGCGGCTTGAGACAGCCCTGAACGAGCAGGATGCTAGAGATGAATGAGAATGCAGCATCACCCCAAAGGCAACTCTTAAGGCAGGACCTTATAAAACCCACTTCAAAAGACTCTCTGTACAAACAGTAATTTCCATTTATTTTAGTTTGATTAAATAAAAAATAAACCTTGCTTTAGACACTTTAAGATATAATTTCTGGATAACTCGCTTGTTTTAAAATGAACAGTCATTGTACGGGAAACAATTTCTTTAAAGTGTTTGCTCCCTTCCCATGTTTAACCTAGTGACTGGCAGGGCCAGTCCAGAGGCCTGCAGAAAAGGCAGCATCAAGATTACGCCACTGCACGGGAAAACAGGATCTCAGAATGGACTCCATCAGTTGCCTGGCCACTGCCAACTCCAGCTCCATGGCCACTGCCAGCCCCCGATAGTTCCCGCAGCCCAATTGTTCCCAGAGCTGTTCTGTGCTAGAAGGTGTTCCTGCAGCAGCAGTGGAAAATGAGGCACCCTCACATGCAGGGCAGTCAGCGCTGGCAATCCTTTGTGTACCCATCTGCCTTCTAGCGAGGCTGGCTGAGAAGTCCCGCTTTGGCAGCCAGTGCTTCGTTCTGCTGGATGTGGTACTCCTGGAATCTCATAGATATCCTCTGGGTCATTTTTAAATACTTCTGCAAACAGTGCTCTGCACAACTCATCTGTATCAAGAAGGAAGAGTTGAGTCACCCTGGCAGTCACCCACATTTTTAGAAATTTAATGCTTTTAACGACCCAGTATTTTCCAGTGGCTTTCCATAATACCGTTTTGGCCTACCATTCCTAGCTCCTCTTACCACTGGCTAGGACTATGGGACCTGTTGGCCAACCTCCTTTGGAGGGCGGCAATGCTATCTTGGTTAAGGTATTCCAGGGCAATTTCAAAGCAATTAAGCAATGTGTTTACAGGGCCCTCTGCTGGGATAGAGGGTCACTTGGCCCATGATTTTCTAACTTCCAGGGGCACCTCAAGGGAACAACTGCAAGCAAAGCACCTGCTGTGCTGGGGGTCTCGGTGGTGCGTTGGCTCCTGCAGGATGCAGAGTTTGGCAGGAGAGATCTACCCACCACAAAACCAGTCCCACATGATCAGAAGTCAGTCCAGGCAGGAGGACCCTGTTCAGGCAATTCCCCCCACACGCAGTTCTAGGCCAGCACCTCAGGCAAGTCCTCTCTAACTGGGGAGCCCTTTGTGGGGGTACATGTGGAACTGGAACTTTCAGATTTACACAGAAGTTCCACTGTGTGGCAGGGGAGGGGCAGAAGGAGAGAAATGAAAGATCCACTGTGCGAGCTTGTCTTCCACCTGTGCAATGTCGGATTTCACCCATTCATAGCTAGATGGACCTTCATGGTCAGAGGCAGCACAATGCCAGATATCAGGTACTAGGGACATACAAGGTGATAAGACAACTGCCTTCCTGCTCCATGTACAGTGGTACCTTGGCTCACAAACTTAATCTGTTCCAGGACTCTGATCGTGATCCAAACTGATTGTGAGCCAAGTCAAATTTCCCCATAAGGTTCAATGTAAATAAGTTTAATCCGTTCTGTAACTATTTTTCTTTAATCACAAAAATCTGAAGCAGCCATGCTGGGGGGTGGTCAGGCGTGATCGTGGGCACGATCCGGTGGGGAGGCGGACGCATTGTGGTCGTGCTCGGGGGGGGGGGCAGGTGCGATCGTAATCATCACCTAATGCGGAGTTCACGACTCCAGGCAAAATTTTTCAGAAATTTCTGTTCGCTATCTGATTTGGTCATGAACTGAGGCATTCGTGAGCCGAGATACCACTGTACTTAGCTGGTGTGAAAAAAGCCAATTCCGTGATGGGATTCACCAGGAAAGGAATCAAAAAGGACTGCTAATATCATAATGGCCTTACAGAACACTGCGGTGTGACCACAATTGGAATACTATGTATGACTCTGGATACTGCACCTAAAAAAGGATACTGTAGTGCTGGAAAAGCATAATCACCGTGATCAAAGGGCCAGAGCAGCTCCCCTTCAGGACAGATTACAATGTTCGGGGATTTTAACTTAGAAAAACATGAGTAACAGGAGGACTTGATATTTAAAATTATGTGTGCCATGGAGAAAGTGGATACTAGACCCCTGTGGCATCTCCTATTATTGGAACTGGAACTGGGAGAGGGGGGTATCTCTTGAAGCTGAATAGTGGGGGATTCAGGAGCAGATAAAAAAAGCACTTCTTCACACAATACACAGTTAAACCATGACATTCCCTATGATAACATGCAGTAACATCTATCAATTTGGACTTTTTAAAAAGGGGATTGAACACATTTGTGAAGGAGAAGGCTATCAACGGCTACAAGTCATTATCGCCATATGCCTCTCAATACTTAATTTGAGAACCTATGTGCAGTGGTCGGCCGCTGTGTGAAAATGTGGCACAAAATGGGTTTTCGCATGATTGCTAGATTAGATAATCCTTTGGCCTAATCCTGAAGGGTTCTCTTTATGTCTGTTCAAATTAAGATATGATCAGGGAGCCACATGGACAGAGAAGTTGGATATTTTTGTATTGGTTTAGCTAACCTGTCTTGATTGAACTGGAACTTTCAGATTTACACAGAAGTTCCACTGGGTAAAAATCCAAAGCAGATAGAACTGTGTACCTCTTCTTGCTTAACTTCTCGGCTAGTGAAATCTTTCACACAATCCAGGAAGCAGGTTTCTGTCAGTTTGTTGTACGTCCCAAGAAATTCCTTGAACTGCGAATAAACCAAACAGGTCTTCAGAACTGGCTGAATCCTTCCTTCACAGGATAATACGTATGGGGTAACAGGGATACACCCACCAAAGTGAAGGGTACAGGGAGCATATAATAATTATGCACTCTGCAAACTGATAAATCCATGGCTAAGTACGGCTATTAAGAATGTCATTCAAGTTGCCAAACTTAGATAATGCAAAAACCCTTTAAAGATGCACCATTTACCTGCTTGATCTGATCTGATTCCGATATTTGCCCCGCCATGACTTAGCACTTGCTCAGCCAGACACCACCTAAACTAAATACATGATATATAGATCAACACTGATTCCAACATTGATAATTGAAAAGCAACACTCTACATTTCAAACATTTATTTTAAATTTGTATCAACTGAGTGAGGAGAAGCAAGAAAGGACATAAGGGAAAGGTAAGTAACTTTATTTTGATCCTGGCTGCCCAGGGACGCATCCTCAGCATGTCCTTCCATTTACATTTCATACATCATTTTTGAACCAACAGAGGCTGATGATGTACATCACCATTTAAAGGGATCTGACATGCTAGTAATCCTGTAGAGTCTGATTACTTATTGTGACCTCTTTAAGAAGCATCAAAAAAGACACCATTGACTCTAAGGGTATGTCCTTGGGGGAAAAAACCAACCTCCCATACACACAAGCCAGCTTTACTGGCATGGGCGGGTTGGGAGTTGTAAAACATTTTTTGGTCCAAATAGGCATGAATTTGTGCCCCTCATTTCCCTGAATATGGGCCCGCCGACCCTTTGTGATCTTCCCTGTAAGGTGCAAACAAAGGGGAGTATGGGATCCACTCTGCATGTGCTCTGGCCGGCTGGGGCACGCTGGAAGTTTTGAGGTTTTTCCTGTCTCAATTCACATAGGATTGCACCCTTCAACACAAAGTGAGTGTTCTGCACTTCAACTCAAATTCAACATGGCACAGATGGATTTCCATTTGTAAAACAGGACTTCCTCATCCCCTGCAGCTCCCTCTACACTGCAAAATCTGGATGCACAGATCTGAGAAGGCATATGAGGTTAGGAGGAGGGGAAATTCCTTCTTTGGATTTCATTCTGCTGGTAGAAGGACACCATAGGATTCAAGCTATGGTTACAAGTTGAGCACTTCCTGATAATGTCAAATATTCACTAACCATCACTTGTTCAAACTCTCATTGCCCTAACAGCCGAATGACCAAAGTCCTGGGCAGTCCTTGTGTCCTTCCTCAGCAGAAGACAGACAGTGCTAGCTACTGAATTTGGGGTTGGAAGCTCTTGGACAAAGCATCTGGCACAGTTGGAGCTACCTAAACTTCCTGTCACTGTTTCTGGAATGGCAATGCTGATGTGCCAATGGCCTCTCTGAAGTTCCAGCAAGCAGCCAAGGTCTTCACAGCTGACGCCGACCATGTACTCATCCTCCCTCCTCCTGCCATGAAGATTAGGCAACAATACACCTTTCCCCTGAGAAATAGCTTTGCTGGTGGTTAGGGAAGAGAAAACAAGGCCTAGGAAATATAGCACAGGTATAACAGAAGACGGACCAGGGTCTATCAGCAGATTTCTGGTTGACTTCCAATATTATTTAGGGTTTTTGTCTCCCAATGTAAAAAAGAACAGGTTAAAAAAGATTCACTGTCACACACAAACTTGGTTACAGAGAAAGAACATTTTGGGAAAAAGCAGAAGGGTAATTTTGTGTTAAAGAGCTTGTGAGCTTGGTTCTGGCCCTGACACATTCCCCAGCTCGGTGGCACCCTGTTCCTTAATCCCGAATGTGTCTGAGCCATTATGTTGCACTTGGTTCTGACTGGTTGCTATCGTGGTTCTTTTGAAAAATCAGATAGATCCTGTAAACCTGAACTCTGCCTTTCCCTTGAAGTCCCGAGTATAATGCATCCACTACACTATTCTCTCTTCTTCTTGAGCTTGGCACAGGCAATATCCAAGTTGCTAGCTTTGAAGGCTTCTTGGGAATTTACTTAAAACAAACATCTCCCCATTCCCACCCAAAACTGACAAGCAGGATGAGCCATCCTCTGTTAATACACAGGACTACACTCAGAAATATACTTTTTGCAACACCAGAGCAGTGATGGGCAGCTGTTTGCTTACTCATCAGTGTCTTTGTCATGTGGAACATACAAGTGCTTATACACTTTATGCGGTCATCCCCCAACAAGCCTTCTACGCTCTTTTGCATATTGCATTTTCACATGGAAATGTAAACCTAAGGTGCAAATGCAACAGATTTGAGTATCCAAGGCAGCAGAAGATGCACATCTCTGGCCACATACTCGTTTGAAGCAATAATCTTCATGCTTGAATTCGAAGGCTTAAAACGAAGAGGTACATAACTTGCTCAAGGCACATCCATTACACAGGAGGCACGTGAGCTCAAGTCTTTCAGTTTCCATTCACTTGTCTATGCCCTAAACCTCATTCACTAGCTTCCAGGTGTCTCCTAGAGCGAAGGACATTGGATGGCAGCTCAGGGGACTGCCAAGGTCAGGCTGAATTCTTCTGAACCTTCTTGCTTTGGGAGAGTAACGTTGGAAGACAGTCAGGAACCCAACGCCCAGCCTGCCGATCTCTTCCTACCTCCACGCGTCATCCCCGAGTTGCCATGTTTCCATTTTTTTTCCAACTTGCCCTGCTCCAGTGCCCTTAACAGCAGCCCAATATGCGAAAAATTTTACGCAAGCGAAGCGTCCCCCAGCTCTTTTCCTCCCTGTTCCCCACCACGCAATATTAGCCCCCTACCACCGCGCAATATTTTTAACCGATTAAAACAGTAAAGCCCATAAAGGCAAAATACAGATATAATGCAAAGTAACGCTAAAGCATGCCGATTTGCAGCAACAAATAGGATCCTCTGCTGTTAAAGACACCGGCACAGTTCCCGATTTTGAAAGCTGGCAACCCCATTCCGTTCACAGCGTGGGCCCACGATGCCGGGGCTCCTTCCCTGGCCCCCCACACGCTCCGTCCCTCGCCGAACCCGCGCTCGCCGCAGGCAGCGCCTTGGCCCCGTCTTACCTACCTCGTGCTGCGGGCGAAACAGCGATGGCGAAATGCGGATAGGTTTACCTGCCCTCCACCGCGTGGGGTGCACCACTATAAAGTGTCCCCCTCGCCTCAAACAATCATGACCATCGCTCCCAAGACCGGTCTCGGTCCTATCCCCTCTGGACAAGACCCATGAATTCTGAGGCCTCGTGTGGGTCGGATGGCCCTCTACAGCAGGACGGATTAAAAAGCGAGGCCGCTTGTACAGCGGATTTGTTTCCACCCGGACAGTCCTTCAACCAGAGCGAGAGAAAGGAAAGAAAGAGAGAGAGTGTCGGAGGGAACGACCCAATCCAGGCGCATGCGCAGGGCATCCCCGAAGCCTCGATAGCGGGATGGGTTCTGAGCTGCGCAGGCGCATTGCTCCACCCAAGTCCTTTTTAGGAAAGGATGAGGAAGGGGTTGGGCTAAACTCGCCAGTTTGGAAGCGGCGCGAATTTCTGGCGTGGGTGTTGCTGTTACCATGGCAACCGGTGTTTCCGGTGGGCGGGGGTCGTGCGTGGCCGCAGGGCAAGTAGTCTGTCCCAGAGAGAGAAATGGTGGGCGGGAAGGTGGGTCTCTCCTGAGGGGAGGAAGGCACGGCGTGTGGGGGGGAGCCTCTGCGCTGCACGGGGGTAGAGACTTGCCGGGCTTCTGTCCCCCCACCCCGTCCCCTAGTTCTATGTGGAGGGAGGCTTTGACCCGAAATCGTGGGAGCTACAATAATAATGATAATTATGATCTGCTATTGCTGCGGTTTCTGGTATATCTCAGATCCGATTGTGCGCCGCAGCGAGGCACAATGCTTGCATCCCAAGTGCCGCTGAAGCCGAGAGGGGTTTCTCGGAAGGAAGTCCCACAAAGGCCTTTGGGGTCTTCCTCCTGCGTCGCTGTGCTCAGGCTGGCAGCCCACGGCCGAGGCCTTGCATAACATTGTGGGTGAACCGACTGGAGAGCTGACTGTGGCTTCTCCTTCACTTGTCACAAGAGGTGTCAGTGGCCAGCACTTCGGGGACGGGGGGGGGGGGGGGGGTTCAAAGGTGCTTTGCCTGCATCCATGGTGAAGAGGGCTATTAACTGGGGGCAGAGGGTATTAGATGCAGCGGAGTTTGAGGCATTTTCATGGCCTTCCCATAAACAGATTATTGCCAGGATGGAACTCGATTGTCTAAAGAATGGGAGTCCTTGTGTGGGGACCACTTGTGTGCATCTTAGGGAGATGGCTTATGAGTTTGGGATGCCTCTAGAAAGTGGTGTGCATTTCTCCTTCCTTAAAACAAGATTTAAGTAACTCCAGCATCCCTGTGGAGCCAGTGGAGAGTGAGTGTCCCTTTGAAGCCCTGTGAATTTGGCCTGAGTTGAATAGGACTCCTTATCCCAGTTCACAGTCTATGATAGCTGTGCATCCCTTGTGGTATAGGAAAATGTGGAATGGGGGGCAGGGGTTGTCTTGGAATGCGGTTTGGAAGGTCCTTGAGATCCCAGGCAAGTTGACTAGATCATTTTCTGTTGTGGTTTTTCTCTGCAGAAAGTCTTCTGAGAGAGGCTTAACTGAGATTCCTCTAATGCAGGTTTTTATTCTAAGGTCATCTGTGATTAGAACCTTTCTTGGGACTCAAACACACACTCTGTTGATTTTTGGTATTAAATTTGGTGATGGGGCTTATCATTGGAGTGTTTTATCATAATGAGTAGGCACTCATTGCCTCCCACTTTTCTCACTTTGGTTTGTCTTTAACTCTGTCATTTAGTGTTTAGTGTCTTGTGCTTTCTTTAACAGAAACAAACTGAAAGCTGTGCTGTGGGTTGTTAATGGAAGTGGAGGAGACAAGCAACTTGAGTGAGGGTTCTTTGGCTGGCCTCACTGCCAGGGACATTCCTATCCACTCCACCAGCTTCCACATGAAAAAGAAATCCTCCGACAGCCAGATCACATCTGCTGACAGCAAGCTTACTGCTTGCACGAAGAAGAAGGTTTGCATTTCAGTGAAGAAACTTCGGGAAGTGGCTCCACCACATCACCCAGAATGTTCTGGGCCGATACATGATAATGCAGTTTATATTCCTCCAGCTTTGTTGGCAAACAGACCCACATCTCAGAAGCCAACAGCAGGAAGTCCTGAAGAAGTAGCAGAAGGTATGTATGCGTGTAATGTTCAATTCTCAGTGTTTTGCACTTCTGCAGTTAGCATCATTTAGATATCATCAGTTAGATGTAGATACGTGTAACACTGGAGCTTCTGATTGACAACATATTTGAGGTTGTCAGCTTAATAGATCTAACCTTCCCTATGAAAAATGTGTGTTTCTTTAGGGTATAACACATTTAAAAGTAAGCCACTAACAAAATGTCCATTGAATGGCAAGAGAGGGCAGGCTCACCATTCCAGCTGTTTTATCCCTTCCTGTTTTCCCTTGGCCTTTGTTTTCTGTGTTTGCTGCCTTGCCTGCACCCTCAGCCCTTTGGTGAAAGGTTCACAGCCCTTCTGGTTGCCATTGGTACAGATGCTGTGAGGTAAAAGAGAAACTGTGAGGTCCCTGAGTACTGAGATGGAACCTGAATTTCCACTTCCACGAGCAGATTAAGCAGCGTTTGATATTGCCAGTGTGGTCTGGGATTTTGGTGATTGGTGTGTACAATGATGTGTATTGGTTGAATGATTCTGGAGGCTGCCTGCAAAAATAGGCAGGACACTCACTATTTATCTGAATAGATTAGAATCTATGTATGTTGTAGTACTTCTGAAAGAGTTGCGATGTGTGTTAACAGCATGCGCAACACATCTAGTTCTTCCCTATGCCTTTTAGCAGGACTTTGTTGGGCTTACGTGTGCTGAAATAAGCCATGGAGTCAACTAAAATAGATAATGCAGTAAGTGAGCATTTCTTCTAGGTGCCTTAAGCAAGAGTACTGGCAGACATTCTGAACAGCTGTTGTCACCTGAAAAAGATGGGCAGCCCTCACAGCCGTCTCCAGAGGTAAGAACAGTGATGTTCCGTCCTTCATTCCACAAAGCATAGTTCACCTGCTCTTTTCCATATGGTTACATCTTGCTGACCCGACATCAGAGTGTCTGTATTTCTCTTTGGCAGAATCTCTTTGCTTGTTCATTACTAAAGGACTGTTACCACCCTAAATGTTTCCTCAATTTCATAATGTGCCTATTCTGAAGTTATTACAATCAAACTGGAGAAGCTGACTTGGATGTTGACAATTTTTTTAAGGACCTGGAATTTATGATAGTTGAACATAATCCTGATTGCTTTTTCCTTCTTTCCCTTTCAGCTGAAAACTTTGCCATCATCTGAACTTTGCCACTATTTAAGTCTATAAACTGTTTGTTTAAGCCACGTATGGGCATTGCGTAACCCCCAGTTCCCCTTCCCTCCCCACAACTCCCCTCCTCACACTTTGCTCTCTATGTTTGGAGCCTGTAATGGATGTTCTTACTATTGTAGTCAAGTGCACTCTGGAATACAGCAGGCTAGGTTAGCAAAAGTTGCTCTCAGTCCCTGGGCTCCACGGTTTCTCTTTCACGAATCCAGTTCTTGAGGAAGTAACTCTGGAGTAAGGTAGTCTACATCCGTTTCCTCCCCAAACAGGAAGCCAGAAAAGGGAAGTTGTGGTGATGAAGAGATTTAACCAGCACCTCCTTCAGGATCCTAACAGAGACTCTCCCCCACCAAGGATGATAAGGGAGTGGTGCGAGTGAGAGTCAAGTAGTGAATTGGGACAGCAAGGCAATAATTCTGGGAAGGAGAAGATGGGGCTTGTGTGGCATGTATATCTTTGAGTGGCAACGGGGAAAGAGAACTCCGCCCTCGCCCGTCTCTGCTCTGCCTACACCCTCAACTTGCCAAGAGACCCTTTGCTGCATGCCATGAGTCTCCAGGCATCTTAAAAGCTAGCAAATGTATTGTTATGCCACAGTATATCTCTTAGTCTTAACGAGTCAGAAGACTTTTTGTGGCATCCAGTTCAAGAGTCAACCCATCTGGAGCTAAGTTGCATCCTCACCACCACCACCACCACCACCACCACCACCACCATAATAATAATAATAATAATAATTATTATTATTATTATTATAACATTTCTATGCCGCCCCTTGCCGAAACCTCGGGGCGGCTTACAACATGATAAAATACATTGAAATACAATAGTACATAATAAATTACCATTAAATATAAAAATACAAAAAATACATTGATTTACAAATACAAAATTAAAATTATCAGTATAAATACCTCGGTTAATAAATAATAAACTCTGATGCTTGTTAGGACGGAAGCTTCTGACATGCGCTGCTCTTCTCCCCCTGCTTTGTTTCCCCAGGCTGCCACCCTTGACTTTGCAGTACCCGTCCCTTCGCACCTGAAAGGGGATGCAGGTAAAGAAAAAGGTAACATAATTTGCAGCGCAGTGCACCTATACTCCAGAATGACAAATGTGTACTACAAGGCTCACATCCTCAGCATGCGTAGGACTGCAGGCTTGGTCCTTTGTTTTTTGGGAATAAAATTCCATATTTCTGTCATGAATGTGACTCGGAAGTGGGGATGAACTTGTACTTCTTCCTGATCAGAAATGGAGCCTGAACCTTTCTCTAAACCGATGCAGACCTGGGCAGGCGGTGGGTGTGCAGGGGGGTGCGATTTAGCTAACCTTTTCGTGATGAGGGTTGAATGAATATCTGCCATGTGACCTTACTGGCTCCACAAGAAGAAACCCATAAAGTAGAACCAGTATCTGAGTGGATTTATATACAGTGGTACCTCAATTCTCGAACTTAATTCATTCCACAATTCTGGTTGTGAACCAGATTGGTCACGAACGGAATCAAATTTCCCCGTAAGATTCAATCTAAAATAAGGTTAATCAGTTCTGAACCATATGTAAATTTTTTAACCACAAAAATATGAAACAAAGTACAATACAGTACAGTATGAAGAGAGAGAACACTAACCTTGCTTGGGGTGACTTCTGGCGTGGAGGACAGGAAGGTGGGTGGGGAGGAGGTTATTGTTTGGAGGGAGAGTCTGTGACCGCGATCTCAACTAGAAGAAGCCACGACCACATGCCAGAGCGGAGAAGATGGCCGCAGTCGTGTTCATCATGGCCATCTTCCCCGCTCGAACACGCTCTGACATGTGGTGCGGGGAAGATGGCCGTGATCATGTTTGTCACCTGATGCGGAGTTCGCGAACAGAAGCAAAATTTTGCCCAACTTTCTGTTCGCTGACCAAATTGTTCGCGAGCAGAAGCATTCATTAACCGAGGTATTACTGTATTTGGGGTTTGTTCAAACTTGTGCTTTTTGCGCTCTTCAAATGCTTGCTTTGGCGCAAGCATGCAGGGATTAGCTTCCCCCTTTCTGACAGGACAAAGAACTCATCTGCTTTAGGGTGTTTATCTCTCTCATTTTGTTGACTCAATTGGAAAACACTTTGCGCTGGATCTGGGATCTGCCTCTGTGGTGGGAAGGGCTCATGCCACTGGTGAGGTTTGTGTTCCGGTGCAGGCGTTTTACTTGCACAAAGGTCGATGCTGCAATATTTTTCAGTCTCACTCCCACTAAATTAGCTTGTTTCAATCCAAAGTATGATCATTATAAATGGGCCTGATGTAAATTTTTTTCGTGTGAACCAGAACTGAACTGGTTCATTATGTGTTCCAAACTGAACCTATATTGACCAGACTGAAATAACTTCAGTTGTGGCTGAACCTGAACTGAGTCAAAACTGCCCAATGAGACAAAGTGCATATTTTACAGTGCCTCCTTCCTGGAACCCCGTATCTTCCACAGAGAGCAATGACTGATGGCGAGATGCTAAGTTTGGAAGGCGTGTGCTTTCTTGTTGGCCCTCTGATCCACAGTCCCCTGGCAAGCAAGAGAATGACCAGATCTCAGCAAACCCTGAAACCTCCACCTCTGGCATTATGTGCTATGTGAGGTTGGAGCAGGGTGTGTGTGGACCTGCAGTCTAGTCCTGCCGTGTGCAGAGGTGCTGCTGCGCCACAGTGCCCACCACAAGGCACTTCCTTTCTCAAAAGATGGTGTTTCGTGGTGTATTTGTTTCTGCTTAGCATGTTTTATTCTCCCTTTGTTCCACAGCAGCTGACATTTTCATCTCCCAGTTTGATCCTGGACAGAAGGATGCTGTCCGAGCTGTATTCAAACAGCGGTAAGAGTCACCGCTCAGAAAAAAGTGACGTTCTGCTCTCTTTTAATGACTCTTGACTTCCACATCCCACACACAGCTTGCACAGGAATGTTTGAGGACCCCAAAAGTGCTTGAAGAGCTGATGGAATAAGTAGCATCTTCCTCTGAATGTACCTTGGCCACGTCCTGTCTTCAAGGCAGTCCAAGTGTTAGGTCATTCTGACTGGCTAGTGGACTTGCAAAGTTAGAAGCGCTGCTGGACATCTGGCCTTACAGTCCACTGTGTCTGGGTTATTCTACACTTCTTGGGGTGTGGTCAAGCTAAATGACTTGGAAAATGAACTGAACTATCTGGGTATCGGAAGAGTCAAGGGCAAGAATATCGTCCTTGCAACCTTTCCTTGGTATCAGCTAGATCTAAATAAATGGTATTAAAAACAGTTTGTAGATGGCATTTGTGCCCCACAAAGTTACATAAAGCTAATAATGAGTTATGTGATATGTGTTGGAGAAACTACAGCTTAAGAGAATGCTTAAACATATATGGCATTTGAGCACTCCGAAGATCAAGCTGTTTTGGCCTGAGGTGGTAGAGTGCCTGAATAAACCAACACAAGAAAATATGACTGCTAAGAAAACCTTATTTCTGTTTCACTGTTTGCTGTGGAGAATGAGGATTGTGTTATACAGAATTGTTGGTGGAGCCTGTAGGGGCTGCGAAAACAGAGACTGCCAGAACTTGGAAAAATGCCCAAGGGCTCTCATTCCATCAAGGTATTTGAGCAATATGGTAGATGGCACTGGTGGAAAAACCAGTCAGTTGCTTTTGTGCAGCTAGAGGATAAATAAGAAAAGATTTTTTTTAACAACTTGGTACAACAGTGTTTCCTTCCATATGTGCCCGACCGCCCCTTAAGATCTGGGGCAGAGGCCCTTCTCTGGGAGCCCTCCTTGAAGGAGATTAGAAGGGTGACTACCAGGGAAGGGCCTTCTCTGCAGTGATGTCCCAGTTGTGGAACTCATTCCCCAGAGGGGTTTGCCTGGCGCTGTCACTTTATTCTTTTTGGCACCAGGCTAAAACCTTTTAATTTTCCCAAAGTGTTAAGGTTTGACAGTTTTTAACATGGGTTTTACTGTTTACTGGTTAAGAATTTGATTAGGATGCTGTGTTTTGTTTTATTTTTGTCTTACTGTTAAACCGTCCTGAGACTATGGTAAGGGATGGTCTAAAAGACTGACTGGCTGACTGACTGACTGACTGACTTGTATTCTTCAGATCTGAACAGTGAAGAATGAATTATCTTGATTTCTGAAGTAGTAGATTCTAATTTGTCATACAAATGGACAAACTAATAATAGTTTTAATTTTCTAATTGTATTATTTACAAACGTATGAATAAGGTTGAGTACATGACTGTAATTTAACATTGTTAAAATATTCTTTAAAAAAAGAGAAGCGGTCATGAAAAATGTGTTTAAAAGGAACCCCACTTATCCTTGCATCTGTTTTGTATATTTAGAATTCAAAGTGTTCCTGTATTTAAGGAGGTGAAGGTTCAGCTTCTGGATAATGTGCAGCCAGATAAAAAGGATAGCACCAAATCAGCCCTTAGTGAGATGGATTCGGCTGCGACCATCGCGGCTGCAACAGCGGCAGCCATTGCTTCTACTGCCCCACTTCTCAAAGTAAGGAGCCACTTTTAATAAGTCCGTCAAGTTAAACCCTCCGTGTTTGAGAATGGTGCTCGGAAGCGCACACACGGGAAATGGAGCTGTCCTGTGCCTGGAATGTGTCAGGCAAGGGATGCGTGGGTTTTAACGACTGAGCAGAGAACATTCCGTACTGGATATGTGCCATGTTTCCATATTTGCCCTCCCACCCCCTGAGATCAGCAGCAGAGGCCCTCCTCTGGGAACCCTCCGTGAAAGACATTAGGAGGCAAAGTACCCGGAGGAGGGCTTTCTCTGTGGTGGCGCCCCATCCGTGGAATGCGCTCCCCAGAGAGGTCCGCCTGGCGCCATCGTTATTTGTTTTTTGGTGCCAGGCCAAGACCTTTTTATTTAAACAATATTTTAATAACTTTTAATATCATCTATAGGTTTTAATTTGCAGCCAGGGTGAATCTGGATTTTATTTGTATTATGTTTGTTTATTTTATGTAAGCCATCCCAAGGCTATGCGATGGGATGGCATACAAAAAATTCTAAATAAATAAATAAATATTAGAAATGTAATAAATATTTTGCTTAGTCATTCTGCTATGTTTTTCCTCTTACAGAGCTTGAAAAGTTGTCTTTGTGATTGGGAGGGGATTCTTAAATACTCTGTTTCTACATGTAGCCAAGAATTAGACATAGAAAATCAGGATTAAGGTTGTCTTAATATTTGTGGATACAGGTTTGGGCCAGACATTTTTTGATCCAGCTTCCTCATCTTTGTCCCTGCAGTTTGCTATGTCTGCTTGAGGCACTGATTTCTACCTGGCAGTGCATCCATTTCGGCTGGAACCTGAGTTAATTCTAATGGCCTTTTTGTGGTCAGTGCTATTTTTAGCAGCTTCTTATTTTGAAGAATACTTATAGCAGACAAATATTGCCTTGAATAACCCCAGGAAGTAACTAACTCTTGTTCTGATTCAAGTTGGAGGACTGAAGCAGTGGCTTGCCTCGGGTCACCTCATGAGTCGTTGGCCCACTTCTCACGTATGGAAAGGCACCACAGGTGAATTGTCCCGCAGGGCCTCTCATGGCAGTGGCCAATTTAAAAAATAGGGGGGCACGCTTCTCTGTGCAACCCCAGAGAAGGTGGATTGGCTGATAAGCCACATGCCACCCTAAAACAGGCCATGGGTTTTGGGTGGCTTCTCAATACCCTGGCAGCCCACTCTGGCTAGGCTCACAGGTAGCGAGAGGCTGTGGCTGTGTGCGCTCGTCTCGGCAGCCTGGTCCTGGTGGGCACCAGAACATGGCGTGCCCAGCTGGGCTTTGATGGTTGAATGAACCGGGCTAGTGACTGAGCAGGCGTCTGGATCTTGCTCTAGAGTTCTGCAGGGAACGTGTGCACTGCGCTTGGGCAGAAAGGGTTCCACTCCTAACCTGCTTGTGGGTTTCCTATGAGCAGCTGGTGGGCCACTGTGCACGCAGAATGCCGGACTTGGTAGACCTTGGCTTGGTCCTGGAGGGCTCTTGATGTTCTTGCGTTCTTGCTCAGTTCTACATATGAATCGTGTTTTGCTAGTGCAGATCAAAGCACGGTTCTGGGAAAGGCTGCACTCCCCTTTAAAATGAGGAATAGAGACCAGATCGTTGACAATGCGTTGTGATGCGTGTGTGAAGGTATCCCAATCCAAGAGCGCCATCCACATGCAGAAGACATTTCCATGTACGTGTGGGAGAGCGAATCAGAGTTTTGTCAGCCCTTCATTTCATGTGGGTTGAAGAAGCCGCTCTGGAGAGAGGGGCCCAGGAGTGCGGGTAGCAGATGCGGAAAGGGGAAGCTGGCACCTGGGGGAAGCCCTCTTACACCCAAGTCATGGAACTGAAGTGTTTGCCCAGCTGAAAAGTCAGTGTGGTATAAACTTGCTAGGCAGGTGCGTGGATGGAAGCTTCCCCAGTCTGGTGCCCCCCGAATGCGTTGAGCTGCGAGTCCCGCCTTGGCTGGCTGGGAGAAGCTGGGAGTTGCGTCGGCGCATCAGGTTGGAGGAGGCTGCTGTACAGGGAGGCAAAAACGTTTCATGCTGCCGTGATGCCAGCATGTCTCTGGTGAGAAAGTTTTCATGGTGAGCCTTTCTCCTAATGGAACACGAGAATCATTATTTTGCATTTTCCTCGGTATTTTAAAAAGCTAAATGTCAGATTCATGGCTCTGGGAGAGGCCAGTTTAACTCAAGGACTGAACCTCATAGGGTGAAATCCTTTGCAAATTTGGACAGTCCTCCAAATTGTCAGGCCAGGCTCAGCTGTGCTGAAGGACAGTTTTCGTGCTGGTGAGACCAACCTGCAAGCAGCTTCAGCTGCAGGTGGGAGAGGACAAAGAAGGCTCGTCTTTCGCAGCTCCTCCAATTTTAACGAGAGCCTTTTCCTGCAGGTCCAGAATGAGTTGGAAGCAAAAGTGAGTTCTGTGTCTGAAATCCTGAGCAAGTTACAGGAGACAGACAAGCATTTGCAGCGTGTTGCTGAGCAGCAAGCCAACATGAAGGCTCAGCAGCTGGAGCAGCTCCCTTGCCATCAGAGAGTCGGCGAGCTTGAGAAGCAGGTGAATCTGTTCATGGGACCGCGAATTCAGCATCTGGAAAACCTGCAGCAGCGGCAAATGGATATTCAGGTATCGGCAAGAGCACATAAGGAGCCCTGCAGTGTTGCATTCATCCAGCTGTGGCCATGCTGGTGGGAGAGGAAAGGAGCAGCGCATCTGGAGGGCTCCACATGGGGGGAAGTCGGCTTTATGCCGATCCTGTATCAATCATTTTGTGCTGCTGTCCAAACAGCCGATATGCATTACTGTGGAAATCCCATAATAATTATTATGGCTGTAGTCACCTGAGTAGTTAGAGTTAGCCTAAACATCTCTTATTCTGTGTCAGACAAACTTAATAAGCCGTTGGGTGTGGTGATTTGATGGATTCCAGTATGACATGGTGGTAGTGTTCATGTTTTTATTTATTATTTGTTTGTTTAGGATATTTATATGCCGTCCTTTGCAAAAGCCTCAGGATGGCTTACACAGATAAAATATAAATTTCACCAAACATAAATAAATAATCAACCCACTCTGGCTGCGGTTAAAATATAATGGTAAAAATACAATATTAAAACTTATTAAAATGTTGATCCAATAAAAAGGTCTTCCCCTGTGCATGTTGCCCTTTCCAAAGTGAAAGTAGCAGCTGCTGGGGAATGTTGACCTTGGGGATCCTGCACATTAAAGGAGTGTGATGAGACCTTTCCTCCAGATAAAACACAGCAGCTTCAGAGAAGCCATTTTCAGCAGGACCGCAGCCAGTGTGTTGAGCACGCCCTGCCTGCTGCAGTGATTTATACATTAAATTACCAGGACTGCATTTAATGGCTTTCTCTCTCAAGGTCAGGTAGGCTAGGTAGCTAACCAGTTGGCAGCTGTAGCCCTTGATGTCTGCCTGGTGACAGGGATGGGAGAGAAAGTGCCCATGAACCTGGGCTGAATCCTGATTTCCCACAGGTAAAGCAGCAGCTGAACTAGGTCTGGGGACATGCCAGCTTGGGATATGAAATCATACCACACTCTGTTCTGGCAGTTTTCCTCCCTCCTCTCCCCCTCCCTGGCCCAGTTTCAATCCTTGATGCCCAGTTTGAATCCGTGTATTTCTGATGCTCCTGTCGACGATCGCTCGCTTTGTAGCAGGGGCCAACTTTTGAACAGGCTTGGCTTGTTGACTTGCTGACGTGAGCTCAGATGCAGGCAAAGGCTCTTTATCCAGCCCCCTTCTCCCCAATGAGACCGGCCACTGAGAACGTTGGTCCATTTTTTTCCTACGCCCAAAAAGTACTCCCTCGTTTGCCGTGGATGGGAATTGGCATGCCAGTTGCAGAAGAACGTTTCTGACTGCCTTTCTGTTGCTGCTGATGCTTGCCGAGGGGTGGTGGTGGTTGGGGACCCGTTATTTGTTAGATCCCTGTCCCAGCTTTTTCTCCAGAGAGCCCTGGGCAACATACACAATCCCCCTCTTCCATTTTATCCTCACAACCACGCTTCAAGGGAGCTGATTTAACCGGAGGGGTGCAGTTCACCCAAGGTTCTTAGCTTTGATTCAAGGATGCCTGAGAAGAAGCTAAACCTTTGTGTTATCCCTAAAAACTAATTAAAGGAATCCACACACGTTAATAGAAAATGGGTGTAGATAAGAAAGCAGAGCAGGGCTTATACACGTGGCCCTTCAGATTGCAGGCCTTGTGGGACGGATGTCACCCGGGGGCTGTCAAGAACCCCGGGCGCCTGCGTGCTCCTGATTCTGTGGAGAAGGCCACTTACACCAAGCAGTGCTGTGTGTTGTATAGATGCCTCTGCACTTTCCTGAAGCTCCAGGCTAGCAGCCTGGGAGTGGGGAGGAGCGAGATGAAGAGGACCCAGCTGTCCCAGTTAATCCTCCTCTCAGGAACATGATGTGTGTAATGATCACATCACGGTGTCTTGCACCTGTTTATCTCCTGGGACCCTTATAGAGAATCTAGGCCTAAATGCTACATACTCCAATGCCTCTAATTTAGGACTGTACCAGACACTGCCAACAGTTCATACTGATGTCGTCTTACAATATCTTCCTGTCAGTTCCAACACGCATGGTTTTACTGAGATTCAAGGACTAGCTCCAACCATTTAGCAAGTTTTGTGGCCAAACAGGCTAGAACCTCTCAAGTCTCATGGCATCCCTCTAACCACTGTTCCACACTGGCTGTTATTAGCTGTGTGCTTCTGCTGTGGGAAAAGATGACTGAGGGGATTTTTAAAGGGGGCAGGTAAGTCCTTGAAGTCTGGGGCTAAGTAGAGTCCAGAATGGAAGTCCCTAGAGGCTGGATTGCGCCGCTAATCTCCTAGTTGCCTAGTCTTTATAGAAGCTTGCCTCGGGGGGGTGGGGGCTGTATGCCTCTCTTCAAACATTGCAGAACCCCAGGCTGTTGTGGTATTTTCTCTGAGTGTACAGAGGTTGACTTTTATGTGACTTTTTATCAAGTGACTTTTATGTTAAACAATGACCTCTTCTTTCTAGTCCCATTTAATTAACTCCGCACTCAACTCGGGTCAGTTCCGAGCTCTCAGTGCAGCACCTTCCGAAGAAATGGCAGTTCATGATCGGAAGGGAGGGAACTTGCTTGCCCGCCAGCCTTCCTCTCTTCAGCAGCATCCGTTTTCTTCTACAGCAGCACATGCTCCGGGTAAGAACACCCAGGTTCTCTTTTCTACTCTGTCTTCTTGTCAACGTAAACAGAACCGCAAAAGACCAAAGAGCATGGCTGCATACCTCCTTTTTCTCTTGTTCAAGTCATGTGCTTTTCGGTCCTTGGCAATCTAGGTTTTTTATAAATCTTCATAACATTTGAATGAAGTATAGCATTAAAATTGTTTAATTCCCCTGTGCATAGATTGAGAAATTCTTGCCTTCCTTGTCCTGCTCAGATGGTGGTTCAACTCAGATCTCAGCAAGCCATGGTTTGAATTAATCACAGTTCAGAATCTAAACTATGATATGAGCTTCCAGGCATACAGTAGGCAAACCACAGGGCAGTATTTCTTGTCTGTTTTCACACTGTCCACTTATTGTTGTGCGGTCTGTGCTGATGAGCAGGAGCTGGGCAACTTGGCCTCAGCTCCCTTCAGTCCTCACCATTGGCTGGGGCTGATGGCAGTGGTAGGCCAAAATATCTGAGGAGGAACTAGTGGGCATACTTGTGGTGGGAGAAATTCATGCAGCAGCAGCAAACCAGGGTTTCCGAACCTACTTCACACCATGGTTTCTAGGTCTGGTTTGCCAGCCAAATATAAAACATGGTTTCTCAGTCCAGCCATCTCATGAAATGGGTTAAATGTCCTTAAACCATGGGCTGATGTGTTATCTGGAGTTGATTGTATGTTCAAATAGCTTCTGCTGTGAATAGCTGAAAATTCCGAACTGGAATGAAATGGTCGAGCTTGTACTTGGCCATTTCTTCCCATCCCAAGGAGTACGCCAGTCAGTTTTGCGGATGAATGAAAGGCACGTTAATGAAAAATCCACTTACCAAACATGTTCAGGTTCTGACATTACCCTGGAGCACTTGCTGATGTGGCAGCATCCATGACAATCTTGCCAAAGATTGCTTGCAGTAGATGATTAGTCTTCCCCGCGGGGCCTCGTGCTCTCAGAGGTGTTGGCCATCTGGGTTGCACCAATTTGGGCAAAGCTACTGTAGAAGTTTGTCACTTAACATTGTTTATGACACACCCATTTTCAGCTTGCGGTGTGTCAGTTATCCTTTCTGATCCTTTGGGATGATTTGCTCTTGGTAAATGTCTAACTTTTGCATGTTCTGGTGGCTTTAGAACAGTAGTGAGGAAACTACAGCCTTTAGGATGTTATTGGACTGCAGTGTTCATCAACCTTAGCCGACAAGACCAGTGGTGAGGGGTGATGGGAATTGCAATTGAACCGTATCTGGAGACCCACATGATCCCCAGCCCTGCTTTTGAACACAATCTGTAATTTCTGGCCCTCTCTTTAAATGTGTGTTTTTCCCACTGGTAAAGTGATTCCCTCCTCTACTTTGCAGTCTTTTCTCAGCACTCTGGAAACCATGTTCATAGACAAAAGTCCCCCCTGCGAACGCCCACACCGCGTAGATATGCGCCTGTGCCCGTTTCTAAAGATGCTAAAATGTCACAGAAAATGTCAGGGAGGGAGCAACCTATTGGAGAAAAAGAAAATGTGCACCAGTCTTCTTGTGGAGGAACTGCAGGTGAGGCCTGGGAGGGTTCCAAGGTGCTTCTCCTTTTCATCCAACCAGGTGTGCCACTGGCTGGTGTACCCTGTTGCCCTTCAGCCTGTTCGTTCTGGACTTAACTGGATGGCATTCTGAATTGCTTTAGAATATGTAGTTTTTGAGCACCAGGAATTTCAAGTATCTCAGACAATTAAAATGTACTCTAGTCCTTTATACAGTAATTGTCTGTTATAGGTCAGGCATTGTTAATTGACATTTCCTTGTCTGGCTTACAAATATCAGATATTGGTCAGATCAATTCACTGTTGCTCCAGAGCTTTAACAAGTGGCTTGTACAGTAGATTTACTGTAGAAGTTTGTTGTCCATAGATGAGGTATTGGTCTTCATGCCTAGAGATGAATTCTAAATCGATAAAAGTGTTCTTTCTCTGGAGGAGAAACTAATAATACTCCCTATGTATTGAACGTGCTCACACAGACCATACAAAGCACATTTCACCACAATATGGCATGTTCTCTTCCAGGTGGAGGGAAACTTCTAGAGCAAATCCTGAATTCGCAGGAAACCCCATTAAGTCAGACAACATCTTGGAAGAAGCCAGCGGACAAACGTGTGATGCCGTGGTATTTTGAAAGAGAGCGGTAAGTATGTTCCTTGTCAATTTAAGCCATGGGTGGGCAACTTATGGTCTCCAGGTGTGCTACCCGGCAGCACACGTAATTTGTCAGGGCGCAGAATGCCACCTGTTCCCCACCTGGTGCCTTCTGCTGCTGGCAGCCCCACCCAATATGACCAGCAGGCTGGAATGCTGGGAATTCCATCAGGCTGGGGAAGGCTGGGCTGTCCTTGGTGGTACTGGTGACTGTTCTAGGCTAAAATATCTGGGGGGGCGCTGGTTGCTCCCCACTACTTTGTTTTTTAGCAGGACACAGAGAAGGCCTGTAAAAACTGAACAAAACTAAATCATGTTTCACCTGATCAGCAGGAATTACTCCGCTATCAGTTCAATCAATCAAAGCTTTAGAAAACTAAGATGCTTCCTTAGATTACTTCTGTATCACCGCTTGCTTAATTCTTGGCACATTGTTCCTATAATGCACTTATGTACTTGCTTGAAATGGAAGAGGCAGTTTTATTTCTGTGTGAAAGGGAGAGATTTGCATGGGCACAAGGTTCAAAAGTGTCCATTGTACACCTTGTTTCCTTCATTTATTTATTTAAAAAATTTCTATGCCGCTCCCCATCGCAACAAAGCCTCAGGGCGGCTCACAAAAAATACAAAAAAAAAAAAGTAAAAAAATTTACATTTGAGCTTATAAACTATGGGAATTCCTCTTTGTACTTTGTCTGTCTCTCTTGGACTACCTAATCTTAATTACCTAATTAGAATCAAACTAGTATGACCTACAACAAAATGTTGCAGTATATACTCCAGCCACCCATTTCCTTTTTTTCTCCCCAACTTACAGTCGGCATTCCATTGCTACTAAACATGCCCAGTCTTGATAGGCTGTTTTTTTCTGCTCTTTGTTCCCTTAGGATTATTTTAAACAATTGTACTTCTGGAAAGCTTGGGTTTCTCGCATGCTGCCTTCTCCCCCAGACCCTCTTTCTTCCTCTTTTTTTCTTTCTGCCACCCCATTATTTCTGTTACTTCCCAGTAGGCTGCCAGGGAAGGATCAAATTGCTGTTGCTAGAAGTCTGAACCAAATGCACCTAGAAACCTTTGACTCACTTCTGCTCTAGGCACACTTATAAAGAGAAATATATAATATGATCAAAAGATTAACGAGTACCTGAAATATGCTTTTTGGCAGACCCAGTGTTTTGCAGAAAGAGCCATTTAAAAGCACAAATCCATATATCAATCCAATTGAGAAAACAGTTAAGAAAGCAGACGATGTCCTCCATGAACTCGGGCAACTGAAGAGAGAAATGCATAATATCCTGCAGGTAACTTAACTGTTTCAGTAATGCAATTATATTTTAACTTTGAACAAGGTGAAAGGACCTATAAGTTAGAATCCTGAAAAGCAGGCACTTGGAGATATGGACAGCAAACAGAAACATGACCGCCTGGACATTCAGTCTTCAGCCTTAGCTGTAAGCAGGTTAAGTCAGGCAGGCAGCATGCAGTGGCACAGCACTCCCCATTTTAGGTCAGAAGCCGTTTGCATCCCCTTGCGGGGTGGAGGGGGTTGGGGTTAGGGTTGCTTCTGAAGGAAAGGGGAGGGCTTGCGGCACGTACGGAGTGGTGGTGTGGAAAGAGAGTCTTGAACCCGGGAAACTGCTCTGCCTGGCCATGAAGCTTGCTCAGCCAGTCTTCCCTATATCAGACCATCATGTACAAATCATGTTTCTGCGAGCTGCACTTTTATTAGACCTGGAGAGTAATTTTAGACTTGAAGGAGTCAAGATCTTTCTTTAATCAGAGTGTAAAGTGTTCCAAGAATAAGAGAATGCTAGGATTTGATGTACCAGCATGATCATAAAGGGACTGTATGGTCTTGCATGCCACTGCGCTCTCCGTAGGAATGAAGAGCAGTTTGAAAGCACTTTTAATAAACAGGCGGAAGAATTTGTGGCTGTGTTCGATGCAATCTTCAGCAAGAGTACACAGTTGTATTAGCAGCTGCTGCAGTTATACAGAGTGGATCTTAACAGAGTTCTAGTGTATCTGTTAAGACATTTGCCTTAAGCATAATGTATTTTTATTTTTTGTCTTACAGGATGCAAAGGAATGGAAATCAGACACACATAATTTCATAAAGGTCCTACGTCACATTTATTTATTTATTTACTGATTGGTTGATATTTATCAACTGCCTTTCTGTTCCAAGAGACCAAAAGAATAAGATAAAAACCTTGGTAAAATAGATGTGCCAAAACATAGCAATGCAACAACTAAACTGTAGCAGCAGCACTTGTCTTGTTTCTGTTCCTGAAATGGGGCAACATTAAAAATTGTCTTGAAGGCTATTTACATAGTCATTTAACATGTTTACCACTCAATAGCCAAAACCCTTTGAGTGGCTTACAGTAGTTTCTAAACAGAATCCTGATACAATAAAAATCATGTTAACATATTCCATAATAAAGAATTGAATTAAAAAAAATCATAGCTAGAACAGTGCTTAATGACCAGTTCAAACCCCAGATGTGGGTGTTCCCATTGGCCGTAAGATCTTTAATATGTTTAAATGCCTCTGCACAGAGGATTGTCTTAACCTGGTGCTGAAAAGATGACCAAGTTGCAGCCGGGGGGGGGGGGGGGGGCGGGGGGGGGGCGTTCCAGAGGTTGGGGGAGGGGCTGCCACTGAGATGACCTTCCTCCTTTTTGCCACCCTCTGAGCCTCCTTGGAGGTGGCACTCAGGGAAAGTCCTCAGATGTTGATTGTAGCATCCTGGTAGACCACTTCTAGAAGCATTCTGCCAAGAATTGTGGTCTAAAGCTGTGTAAAGCTTTACAGGTTAAGCCAGGGGTCCTCAAACTTTTTCAATAGGGGGCCAGTGGAAAGGTGGCAGCTACACACTCGGGCTGGTGAGGGGGGCAGGTTGGGCACGTGGGCCGGTGAGGCGTCATAGAATGCGCGCAAAGTGGTGTTGGGTGCGCGCGGCACCGACTTGCTCACTTGGAGATCTCCCAGCGAGTCCAAAACCATCTCGGAGCGAGCAAGCCACCGCCTCCTGCCCCCACGGCAATTGCGTGCGAGGGCGGCAGCACGGGCTGGATGAAAGGGCATGGTGGGCCGGATCGTTCCTGCAGGCCATAGTCTGAGGACGCATGGGTTAAGCTGAACAAATTTGCATCAGGCCTGAAAGCATAATAGGCTACTAATGCAAACTGGCCAGAACTGGTGTGGGTGCTCAGATATTTGGGTCCTGGGGATTGGCCTGCCTGCCACAGGTTTCACAAGCTGCAGTTTCCGAAGAATCTTCAAGGGCAGCCCCATGGGAGTGTGTAGCAGTCCCCTAATTCAGAGTTTATCTCCACTAATAAAGAAAATGTGGCTGACGATGCCAGTTGCTGGGAAACACAAGCAGAAGCGTGCAGTTGTCGTCATGTCCTGCCTCTGGGCTCCCCAAAAGCATCTGGTAGGGTAGTGTGGGAACACGTTGCTTGGCTACATAGGACATTGCCTGATTCAGTACAGCTCTTCATATGTTCTTAGTTTTTTTTTAAATAAGAACATGAAACAGTTGAAATCCTCCAAAGCAGCAGTGGTCTGTGCACAACTTAAATAAGTCTGGCCATCAGACTTTCAGTTTGTGGACACGTCTAGCTTAATGCACTGGTGTCAAACTTCTGGTCACCATATATTAGCAAAATGGGTGTTGCTTTATTTAAAAAAAAACCCTGCTGACAGTATAGTGCTGCTTCTGTACAGCTTGGGCAGTAGTGGGGACTGGCAGTCCCATGGTCCGAAGCAGGCCGCCTCTGCTTCGAAGGCACTCCTGTTTTTCTTCCTCATGCAGTAAGAATCAAGGTTCCCCAGTGGGACTTGGAGCTGGTTTTCCTGGCTTCTGCTATCGCAGATTGCCCCCGGCTGCCCTCCAAACACATAGCAAGACTGGGCAATGTTTTTTTAGTAGTGAAGATTCCGTCACTTCCTTTTTCTGTTCACTTGTAGACTACCTCACACTTAAGAGAAGCCGTCCGAGGGAAGGACCGTGTAGTTCCAGAACAGGCCGCCTGCTCGTTGCAGTCGTCATCAGAGGCTCTTCACCAGGTGCTCCCACTGACTCAGGTACAGTTGGTGACAAGCAGGTGCAGGTCTACATTAGCTGCTATGTTCTGTCTGTTGGAGTGCTCTTCACAAAAATGCTCACCTGATACTCACATTGCTCTGCTTTTGACTCCAGACAAAACCTGCTCATTTTTCAGCTTTTAAAATAACTTAGTCACTGGACTGATTTAATGCTGCTTTTAATGGCAATTCTGTTATATTTATGCTGAGTTTTTACATTTCATAGTTATGATCTTTCCATAGAAAAAAAGAAGTGAAGGGCAAGGGAAAATGTATACAGTTTGTATGGAATTTTAGAAAGGTTGCTTTTAGGTGGCCTAGGCATGTTTTCACTCTGCATATTCACTGAAAATTAGTTCATTTTCTAGAAGCAAAAAGAGTTAAATTGAATTCCGAGAAGCTCTGTGCAGTGGGCTATCCCATTAAATGCTGTGTTATCAGAATGAAGTATGCTTAAATACCCAGAGCTACTTCTACTTAGCTTTCTGGTAACATTTCCCTGCAGACTGCAGTCTTATATTTATTTATTCATTTGAAAAATTTGTATGCCGTCCAATTACTAACGTTTCTGGACAGCTAACAGCATAAATAAATTGACGACCCACTCTGGCTGCAAATTAATAAAATACAATAATAAAATTCAATATTAAAACATATTAAAATATTGATTAAATAAAAAGGTCTTAACCTGGTGCCAAAAAACATATAACGACAGTGCCAGGTGGACCTCTCTGGGGAGCGCATACCATAGTCAGGGTGCCACCGCAGAGAAGGCCCTCCTCTGGGTACTCTGTCTCCTAACATCTTTCACGGAGGGTTCCCGGAGGAGGGCCTCCGGAGGAGGGCCTCTGCTGCCGATCTCGGGGCGGGAGGGCAAATAGGGAAAAAGGCATTCCTTTAGGTATCCTGGTCCCAAGCCGTTAAGGGCTTTATAGGTAATAACCAGCACCTTGAATTGAGCCTGGACTTTGATGGGAAGCCAATGGAGCTGACGGAGGATTGGGGTTATATGAGAATAACACCCAGTCCCCAACAGCATCCTGGCAGCTCTGTTTTGCACCATCTTAAATATCCGGCCTGTCTTCAAGGGCAGCCCCACATAAAGCATGTTACAGAAGTCCAACCGGGAAGTAACCAGTGCGTGTGTTGCTGTTGCCAGGCAGTCGTTCTCCAGGTAGGGATGCAGCTGATAGATTAGCCGAAGCTGAAGGAAAGCGCTCCTCGCCACCGCCGTCACTTGGGCTTCCAAGGACTGCTCCAGGTCGAGGAACACTCCTAAGCTGCGGACTCTGTCCTTTAGAGGGAGTGCAACCCCGTCCAGGGCAAGGCCGGAGTCACACACATGTGCAAGCAAGCTCCATTGAACTCAGTGGGACTGACTTTTGAGTAGATGTTTATAGAACTGTGCTTGCAGTCTTCATTGTGAAACACTATAGCTATACTTCAGTGCTTTAACAACAGGTAGGCTCCTTTATGAATGTTGTGATCTGTGTTTGCCTTTGGCAATGATATTCATATAATGCTAGTCCCATTGGAAGGCTTCTGTATTTCAAGAGGTGCTTATTTGACAGTAGATAACAAAGTAAAACAACGCAAAGCTGCTTCCCTTCCTTCCCTCCTGCAGCCCCCATCTAATCTGTCCTTGACCCCATGGAACAGATTCTGAGGGGATGTGAGGGGCCTGCAGGAAGAGGGAGAGTTCCCTGGGAAAAGCACTTCTGTCAGCAGGTAGAGGCTAATGGCGTGCTATCCAGTATATCTCAAATGGCTGGATATTAGGGGCTGATATTTCCATTGCTGATTTTGCTTGAAATCTAGCAAAAAGATCCCATTGCCCCAAATTTGACGGAACTTCAGCAGATTTCTAAGTCATCCATTCTCCAGTCAACCAAGGCATCAAAATCCATACTGAGAGATGCCGAAAAGATCCTGAGAACAGTACGCAAGAACAAGAAGCTCCTTGAAGAAAACCTTGAAGCCATAATTCGTGCCAAGGATGGCAATGCCTTGCATTCCTTCATAGATGAGCTGACAGCAGACAGGTAGAGTTCGGTTGCTTTTTAATCTGTGTTTGTTAGTTTGTTAGCTTTTTATCCCACTCCATTAGCCACAAGGCTGCACTGATATTCATCCACTCTCCTCCCCTATCGAACATTACATATTTGAAAGTGGTCGTGACTGACCTTTCAGATTGGTAATTAAAAAGGTTGTTGTTGTTGTTGAGAAGTCGTGTCCGACCCATCATGACCCCATGGACAACATTACTCCAGGCCTTCCTGTCCTCCACCATCCCCCAGAGTCCACTTAAGCTCATGCCGACTGCTTCAGTGACTCCATCCAGCCACTTCATTCTCTGCCATCCCCTTCTTCTTTTGCCCTCAATTGTTCCCAGCATTAGGCTCTTCTCCAGGGAGTCCTTCCTTCTCATTAGGTGGCCAAAGTATTTGAGCTTCATCTTCAGGATCTGGCCTTCTAAAGAGCAGCCAGGGTTGATCTCCTCTGGACTGACCGGTTTGATCGCCTTGCGGTCCAAGGGACTCGCAGGAGTCTCCACCAGCACCGCAATTCAAAGGCCTCAGTTCTTCAGCGCTCAGCCTTCCTTATGGTCCAGCTTTCACAGCCATACATTGCAACTGGGAAAACCATAGCCTTGACTATACGCACTTTTGTTGGCAGGGTGATGTCTCTGCTTTTTAGTGTGCTGTCTAGATTTGCCATAGCTTTCCTCCCCAGAAGCAAGCGTCTTTTAATTTCTTGGCTGCAGTCCCCATCCGAGGTGATCTTGGAGCCCAGGAAAATAAAATGTGTCACTACCTCCATTTCTTCTGCATCTATTTGCCAGGAAGTGAGAGGACTGGATGCCATGATCTTAGTTTTCTTAATGTTGAGTTTCAAGCCAACTTTTGCAAAAAGAAATTTAACTTAAAATGCTCTGTATTTCCTGAACTGTAAGACCTAGTCTGGAAGTCTAGAAGTAAGAAATACATCTGCATTTCAAAAATTCCTTCCATTAGACCTAGCTGACAAGGGGCTTAGGTGCAGAAAATATAGAAGGAGGAATAATAATGGAAGCGGGAGGGTTTCAGCTGTTGATTTTCTGAAATTCTGCTGGGATTGCAGATCACAAACTGTAGCTTCCCATGGATACCAATGAGCACTGAGGACAAGATGGAGTCTCGCAGGGCCCCACAGCTCCAGTGCTACTTTCTGAAACCAGCCGACGCATGCGCATGGGGCTGCGGTGTGGCAGCGGCCCAGAGCTCTAGCTGCAGTGCACAGAGGCAGTGCCACAAGATAGCGAGCATGATGGTGTCCGAAGCTCCCAAGAGATCGGGGAGACTCGGCAGCACAGTTGGTGCATCCCAGAATTACTTATAGAAGTTACACTGGAGAGAGCAGGGAGATAAACAAAGTTTAAAGTGCACATTCCTGTCACTCAAAAAGAGAATCCACTTCTGCACAAGGTCAAAATTCTTCCTTGGGGACAATGTTTCACTTCAGCAGGTGCTGGAATGCTCTGCTACCTAGCCTTCTCCTCCTTTCTTCTAGAGATGTCCTGGAGGAGATAAGGATCAGAAAGACTGTAGACGAATGGATTAAAGCCATCAGCAAGGAAATCCAGGTATGGCCTCTTGACCTATGGCTAACGGAGCAAGAGGATATTTGACTTCTTAACTGACTTTAGGTGGCCTCGAAGATGATTTAACAGCAATCTGGATGAGCTTCCCACCCATTCCTTGGTGGCTCTTCCAAGGCAAGGGAGAGTCCATATTTCAGTTGTGTATCTCTGTCATGTGCAGAGTCATTCTTGTGTTGAATAATTCAGTGGTCGAGATACCAGGGCCTCATAATGGTGAAGACCATATTTATTTTGGGACTGCCATCATTCATTTTCGCTCTGTACTGCCCTAGAGCAAAAGCTCATCAGGACATTTGTAAAAGTTATCTAGAGTATAGGGTGGTTCCTGAAAATACAGCAGTGGGCTGCGTTAGACATGTCTGTTGCCCTGTCTGGGGGCGGGATGTTTTTTAGATAATTTCCAGAGAGTGATATGCCACCTCCAGGTTTACTAAGATCTAATGTCTTAAGTCTTTACTAAGGTCATTTATTCATTCGTTCGTTCTCCCTCCCTCCCTCCCTCCCTCCCATATATTTATACCCCGTCCTATCACTTCAAGTGCTTAGGACAGCTTATTTATTTATTTATTAATTTATTAAAACATTTCTATGCCGCCCCTTGCCGAAGCCTCGGGGCGGCTTACAACACAATAAAATACAATAAAATACAAAAATAACAATATAAAATTAAAATTAACAATATAAAATAAATAAAAAATATAAAAGAAGCTTACAAAATAATAATATCCAAACATACTAGCTAGCCTTCCAAAACTGTTAGCAGCAGGCCTCTTACACCACACAGCAAGGGCTCCTGCAAGGTAGGACTCCAGTCAGCTAGGTTCAGAAAAAAAAGCAGACTCCCCCTTGAAAAGACTCTGAACCAAAGAACAAAGAAAGTGGCTAGCTTGTATAGATTAAAACCCTGTGGCCTTGCAATGTATGCATACAACATTCTACGTAATCAAAATATATGGTTATAGGAGTTACATTGTTTACACAGGTGCTAAGAGAGAATGAAGTATAGTGAGTTAGCAAGGAAGAGGCCTCCCTGATGGCCGATGTTTCATCTCTCTGAACATCAAAGCATAGCTCATTACTGCCTCTTGCTCACAGAAGTAACACCTGATAAAGAGTGTTTAAGGGCAGTGTGCATTGTCCTTGTGCCATCTCGACATCAGGAAAGGAAAACTCCCTAGTTTTGTGAACGCAGACTGTCAGAGCAATGCTGACTAAAGCGCTTCTGTACTAGCAGCTTCAAGGGCTGGAGACCCAGGTCTGACTTCTTGGGGTTCAGGCCTGTTACAGTGCCCTGATTTGAACCTGTAGACGTGATAAAGGCTATTTATTTATTTATATTATTTATTAAGACATTTTTATGCCGCCCCATTCGCCGAAGCCTTGGGGTGGCTTACAACATTAAGTTAAAATACAAATACATTAATGCTTTAGCTGTCTGGGCATCGTTGGAATTGCAGTGCTTTTTGCTGCTTCGGCATATGTAGGATCGTGCCTTTCGTCACATTTACTTTATGGAAAAGACTGGCCAACAGGGCCACCATACGTAAGGCGTTGACAGGGCCCAGGCATCAGCAGCCTCCAGCACACTGGTGTACGTTAGTGTGACAGGTTTCCCACAAAAACGTCCACTACTGGTGTAGTGCTAGAGGTCGCTTATCCTTGCACTGTGTGAATTGACTGAGCACTGGTGGCCTAGTGGAAATGCACCTTTGAGGGCTTATTTGAAAAACAGACAATGGTTGGTTGAATGGCTCAATATGACCTTCATGGTCTTGTGTCATCGGACGCCTTACCTGCCCTCCTGTATCCTAGTACCATCTGTTGGAACCATAACTGATGTGTCAGATCTGTTCACGGGAGCATTGCAGAGTGTAAACTTACTGCTGCTTTTTCATTCTGTTTTCAGGATGAAATGGCAAAGAACGACTGCCTCAAGACACAGCAGGCCATCAGGACTGTGAAGGGCAGCAGGGAAATGAATGCAAAATCTCGATCTGCTCCGGGAATCCCTGCTAAGAAGCCTTTTCCTGTGGCAAGGCCCTCTCAAAAGCTAGCAGATAAGGTGAGACTGCACAGCCTGGAGACGCTGGGGGTTCAGCCTAGGAGCCTTGTGGCTTGAGGCTGTGCTTAGCCCTAGATCTTTGTGTGTTTATAATCCTCTTTGGGTAAACACAAAAGGTGTATAGTTTCAGGTCCTCTAATTATCAGACTTTTAGATAGACCAGACCCTGTACAACTGCTGGGGGTTTGGCTCTTGCACGCTCAGCCGAGCAGCATCAGCCTCCAGCAGTAGGACTGGATCTCAGAGAACTTGGGCAAGAAGAGTTCCAGACCACACAGCCCCGTCTTGGCAGAAGCTCTGCTTCCAGACGCTTCCAGCAGAACTTCATAAGGACAGCAGTAGCCAATTGAGAAAAATGCCAGTTGTTCTAATTCAGATGATGATCGAGGTCCAATCCTGTTGCCTTTACCAGTTATACAGATTGACGGCATTTGTAGATACATGCTGCACCGTTTCATTTTGCTTCTGCTCTCCACCCGTCAAAGTGTTATGCCAGGTATTAACACTGTGCATCCTAAGCACTGGAAATGCTGCTTATCTAGTTTTTATATAGCTTCTGGAATTTAGAAAGATGTTATCTGCATACTTCCAAGCCTGTCAGGAAGCTTGAGAGAAAGATTCTGAGGAGGCTAACTTCTCTGCCCACTAAGTCTTTTTGTTTGTACTAACATGGTTATAGAATCGTGGAAAACTTTAAATGGTGTCCCGGTGTCACTGCTTTCTATGCCCTTCTATTTTGTTTGTCCCGGTGAAGCGGACTGAAAACTGAAGCTACTTTTCCATGGGATATGTTCTATTCCTAAAAAGGCTTTGTTCTCATAAAGGTAGTAATGAATGGATACAGTGCCAGTAAGATGCTTGCTCAGTGTTGCAATGAACTGGTTTCTATTAACTGTTGGAAACATTAGTTATTTTTAGTATGTCAGAATGTGCACTGTGCTTTGTATATGTACATGCGAGTCTGTCCGATCGTAAAGGCGTGAAGGAGATAAAGGGGACGTCAGCAGTACAACTAAGCCAAACCAGAAATCAAATCCTGAATGCATATGATTGGCTGTAAGTTGGATCAAAATGCACACAGAAATTCCCAAATTGGGCCCTACTAAGCACCCTATTATGATGTCAAACGCCTGGGAATAGAGGAAGGAATTAACCTGGTGCCCAGAAGATGACAATGTTGGGACTGAGCTGACCTCTCTGGGAGGCCACCACCAAAAAGGCCCCATCATTGCCATCTCTTGAAGAAAGTCCTCTTGTTATCTCCTTTGTTACTTTTCCCTTTGCCTTGCCCTCCCCTCCTCTTTATTTCCTCCCAGTGCTGGCATTTTAGATTATACATTTTACTAGGGTTTTGATCCCTTTCTGAAAAGGTTTTTAGCTGCCTGTCTTGTCCGCCAGGATGGAGGACTTAGTAGGATGGTCTGTCCCCAAAGGCTTGTGGGATCTGATGGAATTACAGAAGCAGCTGGTTGCCACGGCTGCCGTTCCTATAGATAAACCGGTCCCTCTGGAACATGGAGGTGACTCGAATAGCTGAAAGAACTGCCTGGTTCCTACATAACAACCCACAATGGGTTCTTTTCTGACTTACTGGGGGAACAACGAGGCAGAAGTCATAGTTCATGTGATGCTAAGCAAGTCTCAGAAAGAAGGTTAGTAGGTTGTTCTGCTCCTGCTTGCAACAGGAGCCTTTTTTTTTTCTTTTCAAATTTTGAGTTCTCATTACTTGCAAACTGGCCCAGTAGCTCCTGAGAGCCCCTTCTCGGTTACTGGCGCCTGGTCTGCTGTTGCTTATGCAGGGGGAAAAAGAGCATTCAGCAGGAGTGGAGATGGCTGGAACACAACTGTGAGCTGGACTGCATGCTAGTTCACCACCCCCACCACCATTTTGTCCACAGATCTCTTTCAGGTGGTTCAGGGTACAGTCTGGCAGAAGAGGAGAAGGAACCCGCAGAGGCCTTCCCCGACATGTTCACAAGACACTTTTAAGTTAATGTAACTCTTTTCTACTGCAGCTTGGATCCTATACTTAGCTCATGTTAGCCTCTGGAGGCCTCCTGAATAATTTTAAGTTATTAATTTGTGCATTTATTGCAGTATATTTGTGTAATTCTAACTTGCATGTGACAAGTGTGTTTTATTGAAGGTTATCCTGGGAATTTTATTGAAGGATGGGATATATATTCCAAAAAAATCAATAAATGGAGCATGATTTTCATCTCTTGCTGATCTTTCTTTCTAAAAAAACCATGTCAGTTGGTGCCACAGAAATTACAGGAGCACTTGTAATCAGATGCATTTCCATCCTGTCCTCTAATAAGTTGTTGTTGTTGTTGTTGTTGTTATTAGAACATCTCTATGCCGCCCCTTGCCGAAGCCTCGGGGCGGCTTACAACACAATACAATACAATATAAAAATAACAATATAAAATTAAAATTAATAATATAAAATAAATAAAAAATATAAACGATATAAAAGAAGTTATAAAAGAAAAGTTATAAAAGAAAAGAAAAGTTATAAAAGTTATAAAAGAAAAGAAAAGTTGTTATTCTACTTTATTCTTGCAACAGCCTTGTGAAGCAGCTAGGTGGAAAGAGCAGCTTAGCCAGGGCCACCCTGTCAGCTTTTGTGGCTGAACTTCCTGGTCCAAATCCAACACTCTGTTGAAAATGGGCAGCTTGTTGCCCCCGAGATGCTTTGACCCACACTTCCACCCAAGCGCAGCCAGCACTGCTAATAGTGTGGGAGTTCTAATCCAAATCATCTGGGGGGCCAGCAGCTGCCCATCCCGGTGTGCCAACACACGTTAACTCTTCCTTGGTTTCCTACCGTTTAAAAATACACATTTCAAAATAATTCTCTGTTTTTGCAGGGGCCCTTGAGACCAAGGATGGGGTTACAGAATGAAGACACCCTTTCTCAGGTTTATGGTCGGCCTGTTTATCAGGGTCGCAGGAGTACACTTAAGAAGTCTCCATATCTCAGGTTCAACTCCCCACCTCCCAAATCAAAACCTCCAAGACCTAAACTGATAGAGAGCGTTAGAGGTAGGTAATACCTTTTCCTCTTCAAAAGCCAATACTTCAAAATGGCCTATTAAACACCCTCTTTTGCCCTGACCTTGTGAGATGCCTTTTTGGCTGTATCTTTATGGCCTGCAGTAAATGATCTCTTGGTGAAGCTCATTCTGTTGTGACCACTGCTGCCCATGTATAAAGGATGCAGAAGGCAATAGCAAGAGTTGAGAGAATTTGCCCATCAGCCTCCCCTGACCAGATCCACTCCAGATGTGCTGATCTGTGATGCCCATCATTCCCAGCCAGCATGGGCATTGGAATCACAGGAACTGCAGTCCAGCACACCTGGAGGACCACCAGGTCAGGGAAAGCTGCTACAGAGGTGTTTAATCCCCTGGCCTTGCAGAGAATGGCTTTCCTGCATAGGATGGAGACTCTCGGCAGCCCTACTGTGGTGGGAAGTGGTCCCTCGTGGGCACTTCTCCCTGCAACCTTTGCTGTGCAAAGGGACCTCATGAGGGCCGTGGGGTTTCCCCGCCTCTGGGAATGAACATTTCTCAGTCAATGGGTGTTCCATGGTCAGGGTGCACTTTTATCGGAAGCTGCTGTTCCATCCTTGTTCAAACCCCTAGGAGCACAGTGTAACTGCGGAAGAAATTCTGCTTGTTTGCTCTAAAATGGCATGGTTTTCTCTGCTCACAGCAGTGATGAGTTTCGTGATTTATCTGACCTTCAGGGAACCAAGGTTCGATTTGGATGCCAGGAAGCACTTCCTGACAGTTAGGACCCTGAGGTTATGGAATGGGCTTCAATGGGAGGTGGTTGAGGCCCCACCGGTGCGGGTGTTCAAGGATAGGCTGGACATGCACATGGCAGTCATGTCATGAGCAGAGCTGGCTGGAGCCGGGGTTCAGACTAGATGGCCCAGGAGGACCCTTCTGACTCGCTCTGTTTCTACATTTCTTCCCAGGCACAAAAGTAAAATCGGCAAAGACACAAACCAACCCCTGTCCGCCCGGCAGAGCCACTCACCCGACAAGACCCTGCCTAGGATCTGCGTCTCATCAAGAGCTGCACTACCTCTTCAGCCCTACGAAGGAGAGGCACACGGACTCTGGACCTCTGGAAGGCCACCTCATCCCCATGGCCATTCCCTTAGGTGTGGGCACAAGCCGGAGAGGCCTTGGGGCGCATGGGCTGCGCTCACTCAGAGTGCACCTTTGTGTGGAGAATCGTCCTTTTGTTTTGCATTGTTTTGTTGCCTTGCTTGGTTTTGTAGTTTGAGTGCTGAGGCCTGGCTGCTTTTCTCACCTGGAGATCTATATGTGAGGGAGAAACTGGGGCTCCTGGTGCAAAACGCCACAGGCCAGAATTACACGCTGAGCCCCAGAATGCATTTCTGCTCTGTCGTTTGACTATGCTGTCTGTGAAGTGAGGCTCTCTCAGGATGGGTCCAGTCTCACTCTCTGGCATCCCTGAATTTGTGCTGACAAATTCTGTTTGTTACGTAGGCATGTGATTTAGCTGCTCTTGGACGCCCTACTGTTTATTTATTTATTTAAAACATTTCTATGCTGCCCCCATCGCATCAAAGCCTCAGGACAGCTCACAACATAATTAAAAACATATAAATAACTCTAAATAAAATAAAGATTAAAAAGCCCGTTAACATCTCGGCTAAACATTTAAAATCCTATAAATACATAATAAATTAACAGCTTCACTGGATAGCCCATTTGGGTTCTAGTATTATGAAAGAAGGAAAGCCATCTTTTACCATGCATAATTTTAGAAACCTCAGCCACGTGTCTTCTGAGCTTTTTTTACACTAAAGAACCAGAGGCTGCTGTTCTTTTTGCTATCTTGTGATCTATTAGTTTTTTAAAAATGGTTGTTTTAAACCCAAATCCTTCAGTCTTTCTTTGTAATAAGGTTGCTCCTTCACCCCAATAATTTCCCCCTTTCTGCACTTTTCCCAGCTCTTGCAATGTCCGTTTTGAGGTCTGACACCCAGGACTTGATAGGGTATCCCAAGTGTGGTTGCACTATAGATTATAGTGCCGGTGTTTTTATTTTCAGCTCCTCTTCCCTCTAATAATCCCCAGTATGGAATTTGCCTCTTTCACAGCCACCAGACAGTGGAAAGGTTATTTTTTTTCAGCTGAGCATTGCAACCTTAAGGGCCTTTCCTGCCATTCTCCTCAAGCTCACATTCCACCAAGCCATATATGCAGTTAATTCCTCTCTTCACTTCTGTTCTTTGGATGTCCCGCATTCCCCAGAATGATTCGAGCCTGGCAGCTCTTCTTCATATTCTGCAGCTGTGAAGAATCCATTCAGGGTCTCTGCAGGATCCTTGTCTCTTGTCAACACAGCGTGTGTGTTTGTGGAACATTTTCTTTTAGCTCTGACGATTGTCTCCATAGTTCCATTTTTCCATCTCTAGATGTCAGTGCAATAAACCAAAAAGGGACTTGAGGGAAACTGCAGAAGCAAATTGGAAACGGGTTGAACTTGACATGGTCTCAGCAGTGGGATAACCATTCAGACATAGTCCTGGACGTGCCTGGCTTAGAACTGCGTCTTGTTAGATGGAAAATCCGGATATTAAGTTAATCTCTGGCTTGTTCACTCTTGGTCCCAGCATGTAGTCGTTGTATGTGCCGGGGTGAAGGAGAAGCTTCAGGATCTTTTTTGTCCTCTTTCCCCTCTGCACCCCCCTTATCTTACTCTCTAGTACAGAAAGTCACATTTTTTTCAAGGCTACAACCGTGCATGGGTCGTCTCAGTGTGGCAAACTCTTGGCATCCCTTGCCATAATTTGCCTTTGCTCCTGGTCTGGCGTAGGTAGCCTTGACTGCACCCACCCTTCCCCCCAAAGCACTGCATTTATTCAGCATTCTTTCCACTTGAAATTGGTGTCCTGCACCAGGATTTATCGTGTTTTGTTTTCAACTTGCATCAGGTCAAAAACAGATCGACAGTGTCTCTCCTCAGCCTGCAGGAGCAAATATAGGTGAATTCCATCCTGTTACCGTGGCAGCTTCTGTTCCTCCTCTCCCAAAGCCCCAATCCAGGGTGAAGAAGCCAAATGCTGCAGTCATAGAGATGAAATCGGAGAAAAGGGACCCTCCAAAGCTGACTGTGCAGGTAAGAAAAAAGAACGGCAGGAGTTAGATTAACAAATTGAACCTGACTGCTATTTCATCTTTCATTTGAGTTTACTCAGAGCTTCTGAGCAACTTGATATCAGTATTTCCTGGTGGAAATATGTGCCATAGATTTGCTGACAGTGGTTCCTCGGCAGTTATAGGCGACCCATAAATACATGTATAAATAAACAAGTAAGTGACAAAAGGAAACTCCTCTCCCCCTTTTGCTCAGCTGGTGGGATCTTGTGGTATCCTGATTTAATATGCAAACAAAACTAAGGTTCTAGTCCTCCTAATCTGTACAGTAAAAACATGATAGCAAAAATCTTGGGAGAATCAGCAGGTTAAAGGAATGAAGACAACTTTTACCCCATCTGTCGTGTGGCTCTAACATACCTGACTAAAATGATGCTCAGGCTGTTGTGCTCCTGCCACGTGGATGTTGTTGCTGGCCTACTGACCACAGGTGCTTGTAATGGAGGCACCCAAATGAATATCTAGCGTGTGGTGGGGAAAAACCGTCACCAGGAGGTCAGCCCCTCAGCTGATTTTTGGGTGTGGCTTGCGAGAATATAAAGGAGCTGGCAGGTAAGCCTTGTTTTTGTATGGAATAAAGTTTCCTTACAGAAAGTTTATATACTTTATGAATAAAGTACATAAATATGAATAGTTTGTTATTTTTAATAACCTCATCTACTAGGAGTCTATTCAGAAAATCAGAATGATTTGGTGCTTGCCTGACCTTTCTCAGTTATTTCTCTCCCTCACATTCCCTCTATTCCAAGTGTCTTCCAAGTGCTTGCCCACACATATTTGGAAATTTCTTCAGGACCTGAACTGCTCAGAAGTATGATTTTGGCGACCATTTCCTCCTCCCGAAGTAGATTTTCTTTTAAATCTGACTTACACTGAAGACATTACTGTTTTCATTGTTAGCAGTTGGGATTTTGGTGGTGGTGGTGGTGTTGTTTCCAAACCAAAATTTCATATGTGGAATCTTACAAAAACTTTCTCCAAAGAGAGAAAGCAGACACATGTAACGTATTTCCTGACCCTCGGGGTGTTTTCCTATGAGTGCCTGTCGTCATCCTGCTGAACTGTCATCCAGTTTCTGACACACTGGAATGGTTTTACTGTTAGCACTTGCTAGCGGTTTGTTAAAGTCAGTGTCTCATTCACACCGGCTAGACCTCTTCTCTTTCCAGCAGTTGGCAGACCGTTCTCTGAATGGTTCTAGCTCCTCCTCTTGAGTGGGAATAGAAGTAGTTGCTGGTTCGATGAAAAGGTAGTTGGAGGATTTCTGCTTTCAGATTCTCTTTTTCCATGAAATGCAGGCCTGCTCAGGAGATGGTCTTCCAGGGAGTATTTCCAGCTGCAATATTCTTTATAGAGGCTACTGTCCGGCTCATAATATTTAGTTACTGTTGTAATATTGATCAGTAATTTAATATTTATTAAAGCCTGTAGGGTGGTTGGAATGTTGGACCGGGATTCAAGAGATCTGGGTTCTAGTCCCTGCTCATCCGTGACCATCCTGCTTATCACCCTGGGCCAGCCACTTACTCTCAGTCTGACCTACCTCACAGGGTTGTTATGAAGATAAATGGCGAATAGGAGGCATATGCAAACAGCTTTGAGCTTCTGCAGAGCAGCTTCTTCCTTTTCGACCAGAGGCGTAGTGGAGCCAGGTCTGGCAGGATCCAAGTGCCAGGATGGTTTGATTAGCAAGGTTAACATCATCATCTCCACTCCCTCCAATGCCACTGTTTCCCTTGTGTTCAGGTGCAGTCCTCCCAGAGGCTGAGCGAAAACGGATTTCCCCAGCAGCTCAGCGTATTACTGCAATGCTATGATTTGCTGTGGGTTGGTATGGAATAGGCAATTAAGACCCATTTGCTTGGCTGAGTACCTGTCCCTGGAAGAGGCAAAATGGCCAAACTTGTTTAATGTGAATCTTTGCATCTCCTGGGGGCTGTGCAGACTAATCTGATGAGCATCTCCACTATACCACTACTCTTGACCCTTCCGAATTGGAGAAATGAGTTTAAGACAGTGAGCTCTTTTCTTTCCAGGTGTTGCCCAACGTTGACATTGACAGCATTTCAAGCTGCAGCACAAGTGTAAGCCAGATTCCTGCACCATCTCTTCCTGCAAAGGCAGGTATCTCAATTCACTTCTGTTGGTTGCTGACACATACGTGCTGAATTAGTACCAAGTCGTGTCCTGGTGGGCTTCCTTGACCAGAGAGAAGGAAGGTGTTTGTTGGGGGAAAGAATGTCACAGAAAGGGATGCTTTGCATATGACTAATTGCTTACAAGGAGAAACAATTCTTTATAGTTTTTAAGGCCCACCGAATACCATATGCCTTATTTTTGAGCCTCGGACCCATGAAATCCTTTGCCTCTTGACTCAAAATCTGGCACCGCTGCCCAAATCCCATATCTTTTTACACTGTGTTTAGTGCCGCTTAATGGAGAACACATCATACTGAACTCTGGGGGACTTTTCCGTAAGTAAATATACATGGGATTACACTGTTAGTGCCAAGTAAATGTGCATATAGGGTCGCATCTTGAAATTGCACAGACTGTATTCTTGCCGTTTGGTCTGCTTACGTCACTGCCCCTGGGGCACATCTCTGCCAGGGGAAGAGAGCCTTCCATGTGTCCGTCGTAGCAGTCCACAAAAACTTGTGCCGTAACCACAACCGTCTTAATCTCTGAGATGCCAAACAGCATCGGGTTGCCAGGTTTTTGCTGCCACATGTAAGGAAACTGAAACAGTGGATTGCTGAAGTTTCCACATCCCACTCACTTTCTGTGTAGCACGAGCACTGCATTAGGCTTTTTGCATGTTTACTGGAGCAATGTCTCAAGGCTACTTAAGTTATCCTTTTACAGACCTCTTCAGAAAGCCGCCACCTCCCAGATGAAGAACTGAAGCTTCCTGGTGCTGACTTAGTCGATGTTATTGATGTCAGTCAGGTAGGTTTGCCCATAGCCTCTCTCCTTCAGTGGAGAAAGGATCACCGTTCTTGATTAAAAGGTGGATACCAGGAAGGTACAATTTATCCATGCCAAATGATTTCTAAAGAAACAAACTCGCCAAGTTGCATTTGTAAAAATTCAGCCCTCACTATTGCAGTCACATTGATTTTGCTAGTTGGCCTGCATTTCACCTGAAGCTCCCTTAGAAAAACGCGCAACTGAAGCTCTCGCGGCAGCAACAGATGAGTGCAGCAAGCTGCATAAGTGGAAGGAGCGCCAGGAAGTCACCTGTGGCTTCTTATTTTCTTACTTCATTAGCAAACGCTTATATTGGAGGCCCTAACGAACTGTTTGCCAATGTAACTCAGGACTTCCACAAGCTGGCTGTTTTCCGCTGCTACCAGTCCACTTGAAGTGCTTTAAAACCTGCTGATAACCTGGCATTTATTTACTTTATTAAACTGATATTTTGGGCACGACAGAATAATATTTACTTGGGGAAGAAGGGTGTCAGAGGGGGGCTGTACCCACAGGGTGCCCAGGAGTCTGTTGGGTGCATTGTGGAAGCAAGCCACGCAGAGATCAAGTCTGCGAATGCTAGTGGGTCCCTTCTTTGCACTGGATTGTTCTCCTGCTAGGTGCACCAAGCCCACCGATGCACGCAGAAGTAGAATTCACCTGCAGGACAGGCGGCAGGCGGCATGTGCACCAGCCAGCCCTCTTAGCGTATCTGCAGTACGACGTGCAGCAGTCGGGCTCGCTGCCTGCCAGGCACTGTGTAAACACTCAGTGCAGATCAGCCCTGGGGCAGAGGAAGCAAGCCGGAGTCGGGTGCCCAGCCAGGAAAACACTGGTTCTCTAGACAAGTGCATTGGTGCCTCAAACTTGGAATGACCCTAAGTTCAGATGTTCCAGAGTTTGAACACTAAAATCCACATAAAATTGTATCCAAGTTCAAACATGCTTCTACGTTTGAACTGCACATGCAGTGAAAAATGTGGTCACTGTGGAAACATCATCCGTTGTGCGCCCAGGTTTTCGATCGTTCTCAGCGCCTTTTCAGTACATGCCTTTTCATTTGTTTTCAGTGTATTGAATATTGTTTAGGACTGGGAACAGATTAATTCACTTTCCATTATTTCTAATGGGGGAAATTGATTCAGACCTTGAACAATTCAGAGTACAAACAGCTTCCTGAAATGAATTAAGTTCAAAGTATGAGGCGCCACAGTATAATTTTGGTAGTTTGTGCTTTTTAAAACTGAATGTCCATGTTTATTTTCTTGTGCATCACTTCTAGAAAAAGCCCCCTTTGTGTTAACATTTATGAAACTTATATTGGCTAGTAACTCATATTGGTGATTGTCTAGACCACCTGTTAATGAAACAGTTTGGATAATCCTTGAATTTCAGCTGAAAACCTCTGCCCAGAGTATGGTCTGGAGGCACAGAAGGCATGTACCATGTAGAAGCTCAGCAGGCCTGGGGCTGGCCTGAGCTTGGAGGGGAGACCACCTGGGAAATGTATACACCCACCTTGAGTTCCACAAGGGGAGAAAGGTGGAATACAAATATAATAACGTAAAAACAAATATAGAAACAGAGTGAGTCAGAAGAGGCCTCCTGGGCCATCTAGTTTGCCCCCCGGCTCCAGCTGGCTCCGCTCACAACATGCCCACCATGTGCATGTCCAGCCTATCCTTGAACACCCGCACCGGTGGGGCCTCAGTCACCTCCCGTGGAAGCCCATTCCATACCCTCAGGTTCCTAACTGTCAGGAAGTGCTTCCTGGCATCTAAATAAATAATAAATAAATTTCATTACTGAAAAGACACCAGCTTGAGCAGCCGTCTTTGCAGGTGGCCCTTGCATCTGTCGTGGCTTTGGTGTTGATTTTTTGCAGTTTGCTTGCTTTTTTCCCCAGTCTAGAAAAATGATTGCAATATTCCCCACTCTGTTACATAGGCTGTAATCATGTCAGAAGCAAGGAATCGCCTCCTTAGGGAAAACATTTTCTCTTTGTTAAAAAGTAAAGAGAAACCACCTAGCCTTTTATTTCCAGCTTATGTGAAGAAAGCTTATGAACCAGCAATTAAAGAGAACAGAAGCACCATTTTTTAAGATGCAACCAAGTTTTTCCCCCTTGCCCCTTCTCCCATTTTCTCAGGAATTACTTTTATCCTGCATCCTTGGCAATTGTAGCTCTGTGTTCAACCACAAAGTCTTCAAAAGCATTCTAAGTCTAGCACATGTTTGGCTTTGGTTAGCTTCGACGATGAGCTGGAAGATGTGCAAGAGTCGACTTTAATCTGGAAGCATATATATTCTTACTATAAAGGGGAGAAACATTTAAGACATCAAAGGCAAAGCCTTTTAACAGCTTTGCTGGAAGCACAGGCACTCAAAGCGATGTCTCTGCGTTGTCTGGCGGGACGCTCACTTTTTGTTAGGCATCCTCTATGAGCTAAGAGTAGTATTAGCTGCCCCCACTGTTGAATACTCCCGGCGTGGTCAGGGCCCCTCCATAGCCCGGCTGCCGATGCTTTGGGCTCTCAGGAGTCACTGGCCTTGCCCCTGCTCGCTCTCACTGCTATTCAGCGCCACCGGCTGTGGCGACCCACGTGATTTCGCCTACAGGCCTCCGGGACGCCGCTGCACGTGGAATGCTGGCACTGCCAAAAGGGTCACGTGTGTCAGCACAGTTGCAGGAGATGACAGGGAGAGGATCACTGAGCAGGGGGCAGAGCAAACAGAGAGACAAGATGAATAACGTTCAAAATGCATTTGCAGGGAGTGTCAAAAAGCATTAGGGAAGAGGCAGCCGTGAAAGTGATACTGGGCCACGCCAGCCATCTCGGTTCAGCCCTCTGTGCCTCTCCTTGAACCCTTTAGAGCTGGTTGCGTCTAAATAGAAATGTCCAAGCAACTTCTCATTTGGTTAGCAAACTGTACTTCTGCCATCCAGTGAATTACAGGTATGAATTCTGATAGCCCGGTGGGGGAAAATGTTTGCCAACAGTTAGGTCTGTTGTTAAAAAAGAGCCTTTCCGGCACGCGGCCTTGATGTTAGGGCATGCCGTGTACTTTCCTCCGTGAGTGCAAGTGTGCTTAGTGTGCACCGAAGAAGTGTATCGGTTGCTCTGGCAGCCATCTTTTGAAACACTGAGAGTCTGCAAGGAACAGAATTGTGGAGAGGGGGCCTAAGTCTCGCGCAGTCCAGTCTGCTCACACAGATGGGCCTGGGCCTGGGCCTGAGTCTGAGGAGGCGGCGAAGGGGCTGAGGCGGGCAGGTGCTGTGGCAGTTCCGAGGCAACCTGGTGAAGATTCTCAAGCGGAGTGTGACCACCAGCCTGCCTTGGAAGAAGAGGGAGACGTTTCAGAGCTGGAGGGAGAGGAGGAGCAGGGGGAGCTGCTTGACCCAGTCAGGAGTCGGCAGGTGAAGCAAGCAGGCCAGTTGTGGAGTGGCTGGTGTTCCCACCATCTGGCCTCCAAGCAGCAAGGCCTACCCCGATGGCGGAATCGAAGCTTTCCTGAAAGGAAGGGGAAGAGGGGAAGTTTCTGCTTGAATTCGGCTCTTGCATGGGCAGATGCTTCTCCCACGTGTCAAGGAAAATGCTACTTTGATTTATACTGTTCCAGAACCTGTTCAGCTTTATTAAAAGAACTGGGCTTTTGAAATTTCATCAGCTGGAGAGGGAAAGAGGGAGGGGCAGACCTCTCATCCAGGATGGCGGACTTGAACTGGGGTGTCCTGGGCTCAGATATGATATCTGCAGTGGAGCCATGTTATGATCCCAGGCAAGCTGGCCACCCCCGATCTTGGCTTCCCAAGGGCCTTCTTTGTGGCCTTACTGTGTGGGCCTATTATGTAGTGCAGCATTTTTTGCTTCGTGGTTTTTGTGCAGCCACTTCCACGGCATCCACCCCTGTGTAGACGAGGCCTGGGGAGACTTGTAGAGACTGGAGGAGCTTGCTGGTGCTGCCTCTGAGTGGAGAAAGCCCATGCCCTGCATGGCTCCAGAGTTGGGACCGGAGGGAGGGAGGGGCCTCCCATGCACCCCTGAGCCATGTGCCAGTAGCGGGGGCTCCTTCCCAATCACTGGATTGTTTTCCCTCCCAAATGCTGCTCTGCACAGGCATATATCCCTTAGGTGTGACTGCACAGGCGACACACAGAACTAGTTCCAGACAAGCAGCCCTGAGCTTGAGGTTCAAGACAAGTTCTGCATCTAGGTGAGGAACAATCAAATGGCAGTGTGCACACAGCCTGATGAAAGCGCAGAATTTGAGCAGCAGCATCTGTGCCTGGGTTTCAGAGGGCTGCATGGCTCGTCTCACATGCTCGGGAGGGCTTTGATCGGTCCTCTCTCTCTGTTTAGCAAGAGCAGGGGTCCTCAGACTCTTTAAACGGGGCCAGTTCACTGTCCCTCAGACTGTTGGGGGCTGGACTATAGTTTGAAAAAAATAAGAATGAAGTCCTATAGACACTGAACATTAAAAATTAACATCAAAAATAAGGGAAGCATGTTTGCTCCCTTGGGCTGCAGCAGAAAACCAAGATGAGGTGGGGAAGAGCTGTTGGGCTTTTACAATTAGGCGCGTGCACCGGCTCTCCGCTCAGTTTCAAAGAATGCCTGTACCAGTTCAGGGCGTTTGGATTCGCTTGGAGATTGTTTTCTCTGAGTGAGTCCAAAAGCATTGAGGTGGGCTGGATCCAGCCTGCGGGTTGTAGTTTGAGGACCCATGAGCAAGAGCTTCCAAAGCCAGATGGCAAACCTCATTTCTGAAACTGGGCACTTTCAAAACTGGCTGCTGACAGAGCACAAGGGGTCTGCAGGTCACACAAAGTCAAACATCCCACTGGTCATGCCCGAAGCCACGCTTGTGCTCCTGCCCCCTTCCGTGTGTGTGTTGGCCCCCTTCTGTTTTTGTGATCACCCCGCTTCCAGGCCTAGGGTTTCCGCTGCCCCAAGGGACTCTCTCCACATGTAGCCTCAGGGTATGAAATTCTCAGGCACCTAGCAAAGACCTTAGGGCAGCTGGGAACCAGGTTAGGCAACAAACCGGGACCTGGTGGGGAAGAGAATCCGACTGTACCTGCTGTCAAGGCTACCTGTCGGGCATAGGCCACAGAGCCACCCACAGAGATGCAGCTGAGCTCTGTGAGGTGGGAGCGCTCTGTGTGCCGATTTGCATTTCCCCGCTGTTCTGTGAAGCAGAGGCGTCGTGAAAATGTGCTTGGCCAAGTTCTCACGAAATTGTCCCTGTTGCTATTAGGAAGAAGGAGGTGATGGAAGCGATGGAGCGCCAGACTTCCCAGAGCCAGTCCTAGAGTTCAGCAGACGAGGAGAAGCAGAGTCTCCCAAATATAACGGCCCTCCATTTCCGCCAGCAGCTCCTGCTCCTCAAGTCTCAGCAGACATCCTGGATGAGATTATAGAGAAGCGAGAGACTCTGGAGAACAAACTGGTTGGTTGGTGAGTCCCCCAGTCAGCGATTGTCGCACTTCACCCTCGCTTGGTAACACTTCTCGTTTCGTTCTTCCTGCCTCCCTCAGTGCACACAACATTTTGCAGCACGGCACACGCAAAACAGGAAGATCCTTGGCCTGAGGAGGTTGCAATCCAGTATAAGTTTTCTACACAGTGGATGCAACAGAGGCAGGGCGGGAGGAAAGGGGGAAGGCACAAGAAAGATGGAGAAGGCACGGATAAGCGCTTACTCCTAGTTTCAGATAGGCGTGCAGAATATTATTATTATTATTATTATTATAACATTTCTATGCCGCCCCTTGCCGAAACCTCGGGGCGGCTTACAACATGATAAAATACATTGAAATACAATAGTACATAATAAATTACCATTAAATATAACAATACAAAAAATACATTGATTTACAAATACAAAATTAAAATTATCAGTATAAAATAAAAATATAGGAGGAGAAAGAGAAGGAAGAAGAAGTTGCCCAGGCCAGATCATATGTTTTAACAATTGAAATGATGTTTAAATAAAAAGGTCTTTACCTGGCGCCGAAAAACCAGTAACGACGGTGCCAGGCGGACCTCTTTGGGGAGTGAATTCCATAGGTTGGGCGCCACCGCAGAGAAAGCCCTCCTCCGGGTACTTACTCTCCTAATTTCTTTCATGGAGGGTTCCCGGAGAAGGGACTCTCCCGCAGATCTCAAAGGGCGGTCGGGCATATACGGACGTAAGCGCTCGTTCAGGTAGCCAGGACCCAAGCTGTTTAGGGCTTTGTAGGTCATAATCAACACCTTGAATTGGGCCCGGGCTTCAATGGGAAGCCAGTGAAGCTGATGGAGGACTGGAGTCATGTGAGCATAACGCCCCGTCCCCGTCAGCAACCTGGCAGCTCTATTTTGCACCAATTGAAGTGTTCGGACTGTCTTCAGGGGAAGCCCCACATAAAGCGCGTTACAGAAGTCTAGGCGGGAAGTCACCAGCGCGTGTGTCACCGTCGCCAGGCAGTCGTATTCCAGGTAGGGGCGCAGCTGATTAATCAGCCGAAGCTGAAGGAAGGCGTTCCTCGCTACCGCTGTCACCTGAGCTTCCAAAGAAAGCTCCGGGTCGAGGAGTACTCCTAAGCTGCGGACCTTATCCCTAAGAGGGAGTGTTGCACCATTCAGGACCAGGTCAAATCCACCCTCTCCGAAACCCGATCCGCCAACCAACAGGACCTCCGTCTTGTCTGGGTTGAGTTTCAGTTTATTGGCCCTCATCCATTCCCTTACCTCGGCCAAGCACCGGTTCAGCACAGCCACTGCCTCACCTGGATTAGTGGAGAATGAGAGGTAAAGCTGGGTATCATCAGCGTATTGATGATTCCGCAGCCCACACCTCCTGATGACCTCTCCCAGCGGTTTCATATAGATGTTAAATAGCAGAGGGGATAGAATGGAGCCCTGTGGTACCCCATGGCATAGCTGCCATGACGTAGAGACATGGTCCCCCAGCACTACCTTCTGGAATCGACCGTCGAGATAGGAGCGGAACCACTGCAAAGCAGTGCCTCCAACCCCCAATCCCGCAAGTCTATCCAGAAGGATACCATGGTCGATGGTATCGAAAGCCGCCGAGAGGTCCAGAAGAACCAACAGGGATGTACTCCCCCTGTCCTTCTCCCTGCACAGGTCGTCGTACAGGGCGACCAAGGCAGATTCAGTACTGTACCCGGGTCTGAAGCCGGACTGAAAAGGATCCAGATAATCAGTTTCCTCCAAGAGTGCTTGGAGTTGTCCCGCCACCACTCGCTCCAGCACCTTGCCCAGAAACGGGATGTTGGCCACAGGTCTATAGTTAGTGGCCATCTCTGGATCCAGTGACGCTTTCTTCAGGACCGGTCGTATTACCGCCTCCTTTAAAGGGGCAGGCACTCGACCCTCCCTCAGAGAAGCGTTAACCACTTCCAAAATCCAGGTCCCAATCCCGTGCTTGGAGTTATTTATTAACCAAGACGGGCAAGGATCCAATAGGCACGTGGTGGGACGTACTCTTCCAAGCACCTTGTCCACATCATTGGGCCGCAATAATTGAAATTCCTCCAGTAATTTTGGACCAGACGGTGGCATTGGCGACTCCTCAGAGACCTCTGATTCATTAGTGGAGTCCAGCTCGTGACGAATCTGAGCGATTTTCTCCCTGAAATGCCTGGCAAAGTCGTCACAGCGGGCCTTTGAGGGTGGCATCGGATCTTCCTTAGGACCCGGGCGAACCAGGCCTTGCACCACTCGAAAAAGCTCCGCTGGACGGCATTGTGAGGAGGCAATGGAAGCGGAAAAAAACTTCTTTTTCGCCGCCTTCACCGCCACAGCATAGGCCTGATAGTGGGCTCTCAAGTGTGTTCGGTCAGATTCATCCCGTGATTTCCTCCACCTACGCTCTAGCCGTCTCCCAACTCGCTTCATCGCCCGTAATTCAGGTGTATACCAAGGGGAAGAGCGGACTCTGCCCGGTGGGAGAGGACGCTTAGGAGCGATCGTGTCCACAGCCCTGGTCATCTCTCCGTTCCACAGTTCGACCAGAGCCTCGACAGGAGCACCAGTCTTGTCAGCCGGAAATTCCCCCAGGGTCCCCAGGAATCCATCCGGATCCATCCGGCTCCGGGGGCGGGCCCATACAATCGGGTCCGCACTCTTATAGAGGGAGAGGCCGCTCTCGAGCACAAACCTCACCAGGAGGTGATCTGACCATGACAGGGGAGTCAAACATAAGTTCTTCACCCTCAGGTCATCCTCTACCTGCCCCGTCGTGAATACCAGGTCCAGAGTGTGTCCACGTTCATGGGTAGGGCCAGTGACGTGTTGAGACAGGCCCATGGCCGTCATAGAGGCCATGAAGTCCTGAGCCGCCCCGGTCAGTCCAGACTCGGCATGGAGATTGAAGTCCCCCAGGACCAACATCCTGGGGGTCCTCAACACCAGATCCGAGACGGTCTCTGTCAGCTCAGATAGGGAGACTGCTGGGCAGAAAGGTGCACGGTACACCAATAGAATCCCCAATCTGTCTCGTTCGCCCAACACCAAGTAGAGGCACTCCAGCCCTGGTCTCAAAGGGACTGGAAGACCCGTGAGAGAGATGGAGGCTCTGTAAACCAACGCGACTCCCCCTCCCCTCCCTTCTGGGCGTGAACAGTGTTGAACCAGATACCCGGGCGGGCACAACTGGGAGAGGGCAACATCCCCTCCCTCTCCCGCCCAGGTCTCCGTTATGCAAGCCAGGTCAGCCCCCTCATCCACAATCAAGTCATGGATGAGGGAAGATTTATTATTGATCGACCTGGCATTGAGCAGCAGCACCGTCAGACCCGAGGGGTGGTTGACAAGGCTACCTGGCGCCCTCTGGTTGGGGGCAGGATCAGAAGGAGGGACAGGTGTCAGCCATCTGTCCATCCTTCTTCTACGTGGACACGTTAAGCCCCTATTGTTGTAACGACCATTGCCCGTGACCACGCCAATAGCAGCCCCCGTGGGTTCCCCAGGATATATAAACGTCGACATGGCCAGGAATGACTCAAAGCACTAATTAAAGCAGGGTAAGATTATAAAGTAGGTCGGAGGAGGAGAAAAAGAACGATAAAAAGAAAAAAAAGAAAAAGGGGATCCTTCCTCTTCCCTGAGAATCAGCAGTAGGCAAGCCTATTTCAACAAGAGTCCATGGCCAGCCCAGCCCCCCTCTTGTCCCCCCGAACGGCACCCCAAACGGCGGCGACCCCTTTGGTCGCCGCCCTTCGGCCGCCGGCCCGAGGCCGCCGGCCCCGGCCGTTGCTGCGGCTTTGACTCCGCAGGGCGCCTCCGAGACCCGCCCCGTCGCGCACCGCGCGCGCCCGATCACCTGGGCTGGCGGGCGGCGCTCTCCGGCGCCGCGTGCGGCCGCGCTGGCCGGTGGAGCTGGCTGCCGTCGAGGTCGCAGCCGCGTGCGTCTGCCTGCATTCGCTTGCCCGGGAGCGGCGTGATGCTGGGGGTGGGTGGAAGCGTCTCTTGCAGCGCGGGGTCGGTGTTTCCTGCCTGGGGGGCCGTTCCCTCCTGGCCGTTGCCGCGGCTTTGACTCCGCAGGGCGCCTCCGAGACCCGCCCCGTCGCGCACCGCGCGCGCCCAATCACCTGGGCTGGCGGGCGGCGCTCTCCGGCGCCGCGTGCGGCCGCACTGGCCGGTGGAGCTGGCTGCCGTCGAGGTCGCAGCCGCGTGCGTCTGCCTGCATTCGCTTGCCCGGGAGCGGCGTGATAAGAATAAGGAGTCTTTGCAAAGGAATTGGCGTTCTGGGATTTGAAAGTGGAGCAGGGAGAGGCACCATGCAGGTAAAGCTGGCAGAGCCTTCCAGGCCATGTAGGAGAAGAGAAGCTGTCATTTCAGGGAGGATTCTGAGCTGCCTGTATAAAGAGCAGAGGTTGCCTCAGGCGGATACAGGCAGAAAGGCGGCTGAAGCCCCACGAGGGTGAGGGAAATCACACCTGACATGGGGGGACGGGGGGAGGAAGCTCATGAACGAAGTTCTTCAATTTCTCTGCTTGCTGTTACGGATGCTGACAGCATGATGGCACGTGGAGCACAAATGCAAATTGTGGTTTTGTTAGGGTGGAGCAAGAGGTAATGGCGCGAATCATCAGTGGGATGTATCCAGCCCAGAAAGAGGCAGTGCCCAACGCGAGCTCCTCGGAGAGTGAGGAGAGCCAGGCTGTGTCATCAGACATTGGTGAGCGAGAGCTGCTGTTTGTCTTTCTCCTTGTTCTCCCCAACCAGCTGGAGCAAAAGGGGTGCTTGCCTCGGAGGACTGAGCTGAGGGTGGAGGCTTGCACCAGCTCAGCCTGGCCCTGTTGGCACAAGAGCCAAGTGGCAACACAGGGCAGGACCTTTTCCTTCAGCCGAGAGCTGGGCCCCCCACTGCTGGCACGTGGCCCCCGGTGGGGTTATTTATTTTATTTATTTATTTAAAACATTTCTTTGCTGCCCCATTCGCCGAAGCCTCGGGGCGGCTCACAACATAAATTAAAATATAATACATTAAAAATATAAAACAAATTAACAATATAAAATAAGTTATCCATACCACATTCGCATCCCCTCCTGAAAATGGCCTCATCATGCGCTCACCCTGCAATTTTCAAAAGCCTCCAGTGGAAACGTTTAAAAATCTAAAGCAAGAACAGGGCCATTTTTTGGAAAGAAATCACTGTGTGAGTGAGGAGGGAATTTGCCCCTGCTCCCCAGCAACAATCCTGCCCTCCCATAGCACTGTTGGCTGCTGTATAGTTTCCCAGCAAGATTCAAAATGCTGGTGCTGAGCTCTGGGGCTATAAATTTTATTTATTTTTTATTTATTAAAACATTTCTTTGCTGCCCCTTGCCGAAGCCTCGGGGTGACTCACAGCACAAAATAAAATACAATAAAATACAAAAATAACAATATAAAATTAACAATATAAAATAAATAACAATATAAATGTTGTCGGGCTGTGGTACATCAGAAGTGGCACCCCGCTTTATAAACCTCTCCATCCCTAGATGGTCAAATGTTGGATTGCATGTACGCAGAGCGGGGGCTTCCCTGCAGTGGCCTCTTTGTTGTTCCACAGCCTCCCATATTCTCTGTTCCTTTGTGATGTGTAAAGCACACTAGTTGGCCCATCAGTAATGAATCTTCTAACCTCTCTGAGGCTTCACGTAAGCCCTCAGCCATGACAACATCTACTGGGAGTGAACTCCATAAGTGAATTATGCATTTTCTTAATAAGTGCTTTCAGAATAGATGCCCAGTAAAAATGGCTGGCAGTATATTTTGCAAAACACCGGGTTGTAGCGTTAAAAGGGAATATTAAATTATCTCGTCCCGGAATACATTATTTACCTATGGGGAAGCCGCTTTTACCCATGTGGAAAGTACCCATGCTTGCTTCTTCTTAAAACATGATCCAGTTTGTGTGCAAGAAATGTGAACATGTGGGGCTGCTTTTGCTTCATCAGCAGCTGGGTTGACGTCCAGAGGTGCCTAGCACAAACAGAAGGGCTGCTGAGCACGGGTGCATCTGTCTGTGAGCGCAGGCTTCCCCTTTCCACTGCACACACTCCAGCTGGGTCTCCGGATGCTTAGGAGGGGGTCCTGGGTGGGGGAGGGGAAGCACTGAGTGCGTCAAAGCTCAGGAAAGGCTGGGCAAGGTCTGTCTTGCAAGCAGGAGGTTAGCCGTGATTAAGAGCCCGTCCTTAGTGCCTACAAACCTAAACTGAGGTTCTGTGTGTGTTCCAATTTATCTTTAGTTGAAGTGGCAGGTACTGCAGGGCTCCAGTTGTTTGTCGATGCCGGTGTTCCCGTGGATTCAGAAATCATCAGACGTTTTGTGAATGAGGCGCTCGCCGAGACCGTTGCCGTCATGCTGGGTGACAGAGAAGACCCCAGAGCAGCCCCTGCTGCAGTTGCTCCTTCCACAGGGCCACCCTTGCTAGAAAAGGTGATGTATTTTTTCTGCTATTATCTATCTATCTATCTATCTATCTATCTATCTATCTATCTATCTATCTATCTAATCTATCATACTGTACCTTTTTTCCTTCCAAGGGACTTAAGGGGGCTTACATAATTCTCTTCCTCCTCTCAGTCTTCTCCTCTGAGAAGGCTGAGAGCCTGTGACTGGCCTAGAATCACCCAGTGAACTCCAGGGCTGAGTGGAAACTAGGACCCAGACTATCTGAGTCCCCACCCTGCACTCTCATTAAGGCTTTACTGTGTCCTTTCTGTGATCCTAAAGTTTTGTTTTCTGTGGTGGGTAGACAACTAAAGTTATCTACAAGTGCTGCCTGGTCTTTGCTCAACTGCAGATAAATTGGTAGAGACGGTACCCAGTACCTAAATCTTGTGCCAGTGCTTGGACTCCTGACCTGGGCACTGTAACCTCCCATCTCCAATGGGTGGGAACTAAGGGAGGAAGGACCATACCCTGCACATTCCTAGAGCCACTGGCTTGATTGCGGCTGTTTCTGCCAGGACTGAGTTTTACACTTCTACCTGTACTTTCTGTGTTGGACAATAGTGAGTTTGGCCATACACTTGCCCAGAAGAAATTGTTGCCTGCCCAGAACACATGGACATCCTTCTGGGCAGGTGTGTCTAACATACTAAATGTTAGATGTAGATCTCACTCCACTGTTGTTCCTTTCATGTAGAGAGTTTAAAAACCTAAAGTTTTTGAAAGAGGGAGCAGTTTTTGGAGAAACAGAAAGAGATTTTTTTTTTGTTTGTCCAAAAACTGCTCCCTCTCCTCAAAATGCAGTGTGCTTGAAATTAACAAAGGCTGGAGATTAGTGGCTGTTGCTTGCCCTTTTTTGCATGAAGCTATTGTAAGGAGAACAAATAAGAATAAATCTAATTAACCAGACCTCCTGCCTGCTAGAGACAGACTCTTCCAGTCTATAGCTGGCTTGAGTTCAAAGATTTGATCTGTCTTTGGTGATTTAAAAGTACTGAATCATGCCAGCTATTTGAAAGAGGAAATGCTTTGCTTCTTGAAAAGTTCTCTCTCGCGCGCTCAGTGAAATGTGGTGATTTTGAAAAAGGAGGGGAGCAGAATCTTTTGGAATAGTTTTACAAATTTCTTTGTATTTCCTTTGCTTTTCTTTTTTTAGGAAACTATATTATCTACTCCCCTGGTCACACCTGAAACTACTCCACCTCACTCACCGCCATGTCTGCAAGAACCGCTTCTAGTAAAAACCCCCGAGTCCTCCGGTGCAGAAACAGATGGAGATGCTGGTAAATGGCAGTTCACAATAGCAGCAGGTACCAAAGCAGGTTCTGAGATTAGAAAGGATCCAGATGTTTTGGCTTATAGCATTTCTAGGTCTAGCCAGCAGAGTTGATGCTGAGAAGATAGGAAATCTTGGCCAAGATCTGTGGAGGGCCACAAGCTGTTCACCCTGATCCCTTTGCTTTAACTCATGTCATATTTTTCTTTTCAGCCAGGACTTTCTTACTGGAAAGGCTCCTTTCGCTATTTTTATCCTCCGAAAGAGTCAGGCTACTCTGCTGCTGTAATTCTGCTGTTCAAAATTTCCTGTAGAAATTCTTTGTGCTTTGATATTTGGGGCTGGGATTCATCCCTGCCTCGTCTTATAGCAAGAATAGGACCTATCTGCAGATCCAAGAATGGTTTTTTCATGCTTCGTCCTCCTTTGCTGCCAGTCAACATTGTACCAGGCACTGCAATCAGGTAGCTGAAGAAGTGAGCTTAAGTTGGTTAACCCCTAATAATGCTGAATAGATCGCTGGTTAGCATCCAGACACTTTACACAAGGGGCCTCTTTCGAAGGGAGCAAGGAGTTCAGAGGCCAGCAGTACCGGCTCCTTCCACACACCTGCACGAACTGCAGGACTAGCCAAAGGCAGCTGAGCCTGCACATGGAACATCCGAAGTAACAGCAGCTCTCTGCATTCCCATCTGCATCCCTTCACCGCTTTTCACTTCCCTTTGCAAGCCAAGGCATCAGCCAGTGGGAGTGGGAGACACTGGGCTGTGCTGGGAGCATTCTTCCAGCGCTTCTGCCAGAATTTCTGGAAGTCATATACTGTCTTGGCTCACAACTGAAAGGCTTGGCTCCTAAGTCAAGTTAAAGAACTTAATGGAGCGGAGTTTCCTGTCCCCTCTTCCTCCCTGCCTCCACCTGGCTCCTCCACACCCCATAAAAGCCTCTCTTGATCAGTGTGGGCCAGAGCACCAGATGCTGCTCCAGGCAGGGCAGGACACTTTCCTTCTGCTAACGGGCTTACCTTCACTGAGCATCCAGGTGAAAGACTGCAATTTTATGCCTGTTTGTCTGGTCCTGAGCACCGTTGTGCTCACTGTGCAATGCATAATTAAGGGGGCATCCCTGGAATTGGACCAGGTGGAAAATCACAGGGAACTGTCGCCCACTGTGCCCAGATAGTTATCCATCCCTTTGCGGCATGCTGACCTTGTCATAAACATGCAACAAACATTGTACCATGTTTAAAATCTTTTATCAAATGTTCCTAGATTGCATCTTTTACCAAACAATTAGATCTCAACTTTTTTTGGCTCCAGAGGGCCCTCCAGGGTGGTTTACAGTGCACCAAATAAACCTGATCCCACTAGTAATAAAACACAGCACTCTGCAACAAACACAGTGATGCCATAGGAGGAGGAGGAAGAAAAATTGAGCCAAGCACAGAGTGAAGTGAATCTTGTGCCATTCCGTTCATCCACCAACATTCTTACCCTTTCCTTGTTTGGATATTAAAAATAATTTGAACATGAATTAACTGGAGAAGCAGCTGGGTATAAACCAGCTGGGGAATAAACTGCCTTGTGCCGACCAAGTAATTTCCAGGATTTTTTCTAAAGACATGTGGTAGCAGGTCTATACTTGTGCACACAAAGAGAGCAAATCTGCTTTATGCAACTTGAAAGTACGCAGGAAAGGAAACTGATCGTCATAACTTGATTTTGACATCCTGGTACTGCTTCACGTCGTGAGCAAGAGTTTCTAGGAAATAGTACGTCTTGTGTGCAGTACTTTAGCTTGACTTTGCGTTCTTTCTCCCCACCCCACCCCCTTTTGTGGTGGTTGTCAACACGTGTAGGATCAGGGGCAGCAGCTCCTAACCCGATGGACACGCCTGTGGCTACCCCTGTAGCAACACCACCCAGAGTAGCTACACCAAGCCCACCGGTATCTGAGCATCTCCCAGACAGAGGTGTGCTAGAAGGACGGATACCTCCAAATGCCTGGGGAGACACAGAGCTTCCTCTGGAAGAGGAAAAGCCCAGCCCGCCGAATGAGGAAGGAGGTTATCACCCCAGAGCAGTGTGAGTCCTTACAATTGCCCTAAACTGACTTTCGCATTTTCTTCCTCTGACCCAAGATGAAGTGCAATATAAGGCAGGCTTTTTGCTGAAATGAGGATGGCGTTTCTTCACCTGTGGTGGCTGGGCTGAAGAGGTGCGACTTAAGGGCAGCAGGTGGGGTTGATGGAGGAGCAAAGAAGCAGAAGGGCAGAGCGGGCAGGGCAGAGCGACGTGGCCCTGATCCAGCCAGGGCCTCTGTGCAAAACATTTCCTTATGTGGGAAACCAGAAAAGTGTACACACTCTCTTCTGGTATCCTTACATTAAATAATGTTCATCTCTGTTGCTTGTACTCTAAGCAGAAGTTGGGGGTCCTTCTTTTAAACAGTAATAGAGCTTTGCATTCTTTTTTTTCAATAATCAAAGGCTTTTTTAAAAGTCGGTGATAGGCGCCATCTCTTTTCAAGGTGCATTGTTATTTTTGTCATTTCAGCATAATGTCTGTGGCTCAGCATGAAGAACCTGACAGCTTGGTTTTGCCAGCCTCTCTGGAGCCTCCCAGGCCCCAGGATTCGCAGCCATTGGAACCCAGGGCTCCCTCTCCTTCTGTACGGACACCTAGTTCTGGCCCCTCAACAGAGGGAAGCAGCCCGACAGTCACGGAGACCGAGACAGAGACTGTCGACAGGGCAATCTCGGAAGGAGAAGTTCTGTGCAGTTACGGACAAGTGCTGGCTGCAGGAGGTGAATCGGTTTCTAGCCATCTGCCCTTCCTTTAGCATTCATTCTAAAATTATTTTGATGCTTCAAGAGAAAGTATAACACATCCCTGTGGTAATACAAGAGATTTAGTGAGTTGTATAAAAAATGGGTCAGGAACTGTTTTTCTAGAAACTACATCAAGATGTTTTTGCATCTTTAGACAGACTGATACGATAGAACACTGGGGTGGATCGTGGCACACTTCAAGTAGGAACATTAAGTTTTAATGTTCATGCTTCATTTTGAAAAAGTGAAGCCATGGCCGCTTGGCAGAGAGAAGCGCTTCCTGCACCCAGTGGTGCTTCCGTCTCGTCCTCCCCCGCCACTGTCGGCGTTGGAGCAGAGCGGTCGGCTTCGTTTGGCTTCATCACACTCACTCAGCCAGGAGCATTTATCTATGATGCGATGCCATGGCACAATCACGCACATGCTGTGATCCCTGATGGTCTGGGAACACGTGAAGGAAAGCGAAGAAGCTTCAAGTTGAAGCGGGGAGGGGTCATGTCACGCCAGAAGGCCCCGGCTGCACACTGTTGCATAACTCAGCGCATGGAGAACAGAAGCTAGGAAGAGAAAACTGCTGTTTCCCCCCATCCTTGGAAATATTTGTGGGTAAAAAGCAATAGCGCAGCCAAGCTACCCGCCGTGCGTAATTGTGTGTTCTTCATTATTCCAGCTTTAGCAGCAGAGGGATTCCCTTTTCCAAACCTCAACGACAGTTTGACCAGCACTCTTTTCGATGCCCATGAGATGGTAAGGCAATAATGTAACTGCACAGAAATTGTGAATGAGGCTTTCTTCTAGTTGGAGTGGCTGATTCAAAGTGTTTCAGTAATCCAAGCACTTTTGTTTAGATCACAAATTGAGAATAGCAGGTCTGAAATGCAAGAAATGCAAGAAGACCGATTTACCAAAAGAAGAAAAGTTTTCTAAAATGTTCTAAAATGGCAGGAAGGCAACCCACTTTGATTTTAAGTGCATGAAAGTTTCAGTAGGTGAGTCCAAGCTAAAAACCAGCAGCGACCCTTGTGAGGAGACCAGAGCAACCTTCAGTCTCTTAAGCTGGAACCGGCACTTCAGTTGCAATCAAATGTCCCATGACAACAGCATGGAAGAATTTGCCCCAGCTTGGTTAAGGCTTAGGGGTAGAGTCCCTGCGCACTGGGACATGTGAGGGCAGAGGTTCCCTCAGCCCATGAGCATGCTTTATAATGTGGCTTGCTCAAGGATGGGGAACTTTAGCCCACGAGGCCTCCAGTGATGCGCTGCCCTTGCCCCCGAAGGCTAGTGCAGAGACCCGGTGGGAGGCTGAGCGGCATCTGTTCATTCAGGTGCTTGCCCTGCCGCTAGTGGACAGGGCGTAGGGCAGCCAAAGCTGCTCCAGCTGTGTTTCTGGCTGGAGGATGTCTTTCCCCAGCTCACACTTCGGTGGGGAACCCAACTTGGCTGCATGCAGGCTCCCCCAGCTGGTTCCCCAACCAAAATGTTGGACACCAGAGTGCCCGCTGGCCTGGGACCAGGGAGCCTCAGGGACGGGCCCCACCCCGATGTCATCCAGCCTGCAGAGAGCTTGCTGGGAGACATTCCCTGCCCAGCTACCATTCCCTTCCCCTGCCCTCACTCTCAAGCTCAGCTTGTGGACCTGACACAAGACCTTTCAGTCCTTCCCGCCTGTTCAGTGCCCAGCTCTGATTGTGCCCTCCGTTCCGGGTGACACTCTACAAACTTAGTTCAGGCTGTTGAGGTCTTTTGGTGGCTGGCTGACTTGCTTCTAAGAGAAAAGGAGGGCCAGGAAGATGGCAGGAGACCCAGGGAGCGGGCAAAGGTGGCATTAGCTACTAGGACAGCTAGCCACGCACCCAGGAATTCAGACGGGTTTTTCCAGCCCTCCCTAGAGAAGCCGGAACCTTCTGCATGCAGAGCACTTGCGCTGCCCCTGAGCATTAACCCTTCCAAATTCAGCATAAGGTTGCTTCGTACATCCCTTACCATCTATCCCTCCAAGGATGCCCACATTAAAGCCACCTGACTCTCCGAGTATATGGAACCCTTTCCTGATCTGTAATAATGTGCTTTAGTGCCCCTCTATCACTAAGCGGATTTTCTGTTTTTACTAAGAAGCTGTTTCACCTGGAAGTCCCAGGGGTTGTGAAATGCGACAGGCTTTGGAATGAATGCCTTTCAAACAAACAAACCATACGCTCTGCTCTTCATCTTCTAGGATTATGATCCTCCTAGTGAAGGGCAGGTGTTGCGGCAACCCTGGAGAGGAAGCCACAAGGATCCAGTCCTCTCCTTCTTTGCAAAGCTAAACCAAGCACCGCTCGTTCCACAAGAACACATCTATCAGGCAGAGGTATTTCTATTTGGATAGAATAAGTGGATCGTGGCAGCGATTTCCTTCTGCCTGTGCCAGGTGGTAATGCCACTAAACGAACGGTTTCCTTTCGCCATCCAACCCAAGAGCTACAGCATCGCCACCTCTGGTGCTGCCAGGCCACACTGTTGAATGGGCCACCATTTCTCCCAGCTTGAGTGCAGGAGGATTCCTAGCCTGCCGTCTGAGCTTAGCACATCACTCAAGGTGGATCCCGTTACAACCCAGCAGCGGCAAGTTCCCGTCAAACAGATGTGCAGACCAGTCCCTCGTCTAAACGGGCAGAGCAAAAACCAGCTGGAATGAAATGGCTGGTGAAAACCAGCAAGGGAGGGGCCCCTCTGCGCTTTCTAGAGCAAGAAGCTCTGCAGTCCCAGGGCTGCCCGCTTGCTAGTTCATATCAGCTGTGCCCTTTCCTGTAGCAAAACCCAGAGAAGGACTTGTCCACCGGGTTTTAGGCCGTTCTTAATCCGAAGGCTGGTATAGGTGGAGGCAGTCCTTCGGCTGTCTTGGAGCAGAGGGTGCTAAAGGGGAACACCAGCCCTCCAGGGTCTTGTGAACTCAGAGGAGCCTCACCTTTCTACTTCTGTTGGGACGCTCCTTTTTTTCCATCCCCAGCCTGTGTCTGGAGGAAAAAAGGGGAAGCAACCATAGCCTTGTGGACATACCGGGGGACGTGGGGGGGGATGGGGGACACCAGCATCTTTACCTGGGGAGCTGGAGGGTGGTGCTCCCCCACCCCCTTCATCCTGGCTTCTCAGCGTGTTGCTGCTGGTCTGGGAATTAGATGGTTTGGGTATGAGTGGTGAGTACAGCTCCAGTTGCGGTCAGCGTGGGGCCCGTGGCGTGTGTGTGTGGGGGGGGGGCAAGGGGAATGCCGGTTCTTCTCCCAGACCTGTTTCTCTCCCTTTCTCTTTAGAACACCGATGAGGGCAGTGCTGGGGAGCTGAGTCAGGGGCAGAGGCCAAGGCTGACCAAAGCGGCAGAAGGCATTCTCCTGGGGCGTTCTCTTTACGTCGACCAGCCTGCTAGCCAAGCCTCAAAACCATCAGCCCTGCTTGTGCTATCACCAGGACAGTGTGGCAGAGTCTCAGGTGCTGGTTGACAATAAATAAATCTCCTTCCGCATTGCCCCAAGTAGAGCATAGCATTGCTTGAAAATGTTCCGCGCCACCAATTTGCATTGCAGAACCAAAGGTTTGAGCCAGCAACAAAATTGCTCCCTGTTAGCCCTGTGCACTAGGTTCTCGTGACCCCTAGTGTATAAAGGAATCATTAAGTCCTGGAGATCAGAGGAACTGAAAATTATATCAGCCTTAGCTGAGGCTGGCTTATAGAGAAGGCTGCCGCACGCGTGGTCAGGCCGGTAAATGCTAGTCAGTGGAATACAGGGTTGTGGGCTGCAGTATAATTCTGGCATTTGCACCTTGGTTTGCATGCTGAATTTCTTTTGCAGACTGGGCAGAAGCCCTTGGTGGTGCTCAGAGCCTCCTGGGAGGGTGCTTGGCTTTCTGGCTGAATGCCTGTTGGAGAACCA